AGGTGCTCACATAGAAATTCCTCTAGATAGTAAACAACTATATTGTTGTATTTAGTGTATTGGTTTCAAAAAAGCTCTAAGAAAATTGACTGACTGATGGGGCTGGAGCGATAGTACAGTGGGTAGGGTTTGCCTTGCACGTGGCCAACCCGGGTTTGATCCCCAGCATCCCATATGGTCCTCTGAGCACTGCCAGGAGTAATTCTTGAGTGCTTGAGCCAGGAGTAACCCCTGTTAATTGCCAGATGTGACCCAAAAAGCAAAAAAAAAAAAAAAAAAGCTGGCTGACTTAAAGTTACTGTCCAGGGCTATGGGTGGGATGCTTGCCTTGCATGTGACTGACCTGGGTTCATCCCAAGGTCCCGTATGGTCCGCTAAGCCCTGCCCGGAGTGATTCCTGAGTGAAGTGCCGGGAGTGAGCCCTGAGGTCTGCTTGGTGTGACCGAACAACAAACAAAGTCTATCTTTTGTAGAACTGTCTCATCAGTAGAATTGATCTAAAGGTGTGGATGTGGCGGGGTGGGGGAGTGGGTAGAGGGTCTCAGTAAGGGTGAGAGGATCCATCCTGAGAATCGCACATATAACACATATAAAACGATATCATCACCTTCAAATTCCTTGCTTGCAAATGTATGGTGGCAAGTTTAGTCCCAGTGTCTCCTGTGTGCCATCACGGCAGCTGTTCTTGAGCCTGGTGGCTCTGCTTAGCCATGGTCTTTGTCACCGCACATTACTTGGGGCTGCCTGCATCGTCAGGTCTGTGTGAGCACGACTGCAGAAATCTATAACCCCCAGCAGGCACTCTAGCTAGAAACCTTGTGAGTACCATGGCCAGAAGTGTGACCTGTAGCGAGCCTGTGTTTGGGCACCATGGTGACCCCTCTCAAGCCCTCCAAGCAGAACCTGCTTTCTGCAGCTAACAGCGCGACCCCTGGCGAGTACATCTACAGGCGCAGCTAAAAACATGTAAATCCTGGTGAGCACTCACCCTGATCTGCAGCTCCCCACAAGTGCTACAGCTGAATATTGTGGGAGAACCCCTGGCAAGCATTTGTTTGACTCTAGTCAGTGTAGCGTCTCCATACGAAAGCAGGGGAGTCGAGGTTCAAAGAAAGGCAGGAATTCGAGGAAGCCTATCATTCCTGGGGCCTGGATCCACCCAGTGCATGCTTTTGTGTGTTTGAGGTCCTGGGTTCAATTCTCGAGCTCCATGGATGTGCACTCTCAAACACAGCAGATACAGCAACTTTGAAATGCTTATTATTATTGGGGGGGGGGGTGGTTGTGGAGGGGATTGAAACAAACCAGGTGGTGCTCAAGGGATAGCTTCTGACTATAGGCTCAGGGCACCGTGTGGTGTCAGGAATCAATTTAAGGCCTTGAGCATGCACTTTTGGGGGTTTTGTTTTTGTTTTATTGGAGGGGGGTATTGGGTCACACCCAGCACTGCCCAAGACTTACTGTCTGTGCGTTCATGGGGGGCTCAGGGACCATACAGGATTTCGGAAATAGATGCATGCAAGGCAGACGCCCTGACTTACTGTACTATCGCTCTGTCCCTGGCCCCCAGCCCTCAGCATGCAGTGCCTGTGCTTCAGCTCATTGAGCAATATCTCTCTGTCCTGAAGTGCCTATTTAAATTCTTCTTAGAAGTCAGGTAGAGGCTTTGGAGCCGGCAAACAATTAGCTGTGCAACTTTCGATGTTTACTAACTTTGTGTCCCAATTTTGCAGCTATAATGTGGGGATGCTGTCCGTTTTTAGAGTTAGTTTCTGTGATGAGGATTGCTATCAACATAGACTGAGTTCATGCATCTGAAGTCTTTGGAACATCATCTGACATGCACATCATTTACTAAGTAAAATTGCCTTTTACTAAGTGTTCCTTGAGCAAAAGGTTTACAAAGGATACAGTGTCAGCAGCCTTTGGACAACTTTTTAAGAATGTGACCTTTCGGTAAATTGCATTGTGTAATGGGAAATTATAGATATTAACTTTGGGTTTCCTTTTGTGTGATAATTTTGTAACCATTGTATATCCATTGTATAACCATTGTAGAGTTTTGCATATCCATTGTGTGGAGTTTGAGAACTTGAGTCTGAGGTTATTAAGCTGGTTTGCTTCATTGTTGAAACCCGGTGTCCAGTATTTCTACAGAAGAGGGGTGTTAGTTGGTGCTGCCTGTTTTTAGGTCACAGGTGTGACCTCCCTGACAATCTCATGGGTTGTGCTGCTAGAAGAACCTCCTTGTACACTTTGACCTTGGTTGTAGTAAGCAGTTTATAAACAGTGACTATCTCCTGTTAGATTTGGAAACTGTATCTACAATCTCCTGTTGTTTGTAAATATGGAGCATAATACAACACCCGTTCTGGACTGTTCTACCTCTAGACTATACTAAATTTAGCTGTATTTAACACTTTTTAAATTCACATTGTGAAAACATGAGGCTTTAAGTAGAGGATGGGGTTCCTGACACTGAGATCCTGGAAATAATCACCAGTCCTTTGCCATACTCAGGTCTCAATGCTTGACACCCTCCCGCCCCCCAGGAAAGGAGAAAACTTAGGAACTAAAGGCTGAAAGAAACGCATTTCCCTTGATAATGTCCTGCCAACAAAACTTACCTGCATGGAAAGCCCCTAGTGAGCACTTTGGAAAAACCCTATAAAACCAACTTTGCAAAAGCAAGCAGTGTGTGTGCATTCCATTCAGGAACGGCTCATCTCCCCTCTTGGGGTGTGTAATTCCTTTCGTTGTCTTTGTGGGGTTCCCTCTTGTTTTGGCTCCTACTTCCTAAGGAGCTGTTTAGCTTCACTGTCTGTCTTATCCAGTCATTCCTTTCTGCCTTGGAAAGACAAAAGCCTGAACACGGGCGAGATTGTTGCCTTGCCTCACACATCACCCCCAAATAAGAGTTTCATTAATACTATCAAAGCGTGGATTTCTTTTTAAAAACATGCTTTGGATTTTTTCTTTTTTCTCTTAAGACCCATCAGTTGGTGTTTTTCATCAGTTCTTTGGGATATTGTCCTTACTGGCCCTTTAAAGATTGCTCTCGTCCATTCATCTCCTTTTCTGGAACTCTGATTAAAGCATTTTAACTACATTCTGTTTTGCTCATCCCCTTTAAGGAAAATAGTTTTGAAAAATAAAAATTAGAATGATTTGACAGATCTAACTGGCTTTTTTAAAAGAGTGGTCATGAATGTCCTCTAACAAGTAGAAAGGCACAGCCAGGGTCTTGCTCAAGTTTGAAGTTTTTTGTTGTCAGAAAGGGTGGGACGAGACTGCTTGCAAAATAGAAGTTTTTCTCAGGGGAATTTTCTCAGGGGAAGAGAGTTTGTCATGCAGATTATCCCTCTAGTGCTAATCAGGAAACAGATTTGGGTTTAGGTTCTTGGGAGAGGTTGAAACTGCTCTTAGTTACACATTTATTGTCTTGGATGGGGGAGGGGGTGGAAGTGCCAAGAATGTGGCTGTTTTGTGCCTGTTTTTTCTATTTTTAACCCATAGCAACTTGTATTCTACTTTTAAATGGCTTTTTATTTGCGTTGGCATAATGTACAAATTGGATGGCATTTAATAAATTCCCCTTTGAAGCCACGTTAGCAATTTAAAAAGAATCCTATCACCACTCACCTGGAACTAACTTGTTTGCCGTTTATCCCTGCTCTGACTCTCTTAGCCCCAGGGAATAAACTCACTGTTTCTATGACTTTTGCCTGTTCTTGAGATTTCTAAGTACACTCAGTTGCCAGACTTGAGGTGGGCGCTCAGGGCACCTAGTTTGAATCTGAAAAGGCGTTATCTATCCTGTTCCCCCCTCCTTCCCTCCCTCCCTCAAGATTTAAGCTATCGCCCGGCGGCTTGGCTGGACTCTTGCTTGGCCAGTGGGAGGCCTGATTGCTGGGTGTGTGAGTGTGGCCCCCACACGAACCAAGAGTCCCAGCCCAGAAGGCCCTTTCAGGAGTCAGGGAGCAGAGAGATAAGAGGCCACTCTTGTCTGTCAGCACTGTTCTCCCAGACACCACCGGAGCACTGAGTCAGGAGTAAGCTCTATAAGGAGATAGTTCAGGAACTGACTCCCTGATAAGACTGAGGGATGGTCTGAGTTCAGCGTCCTTGACTTTGCCCTAGTAAACACGGCTTGGGAAGGACCTGTATATAATCAGCTTCTCAGGCAACACCCTGCCATCCCATTCTGGAACAGGGTGATGGCTCTTCACAGCACTCCACACTGGCCTTGCCTGTTTAGACTTGAGAATTTCCTTTCCTTTGGCGGTTGTGGTGGTGGGATGCTTTGTGTTTTGGGTGGATTTCTCGGCAGTGCTGGGGCCACCAGGGCTACTTGGCGTGCTGCTGGGAGACCAGGGGGTGCAGGGACCAACCCTGGCCCTGTGCTGGCCAGGCATGTGTTCCAGCCTTACGAATGTGCTCTGGCGCCACATTTTTCAGGTTTCTCCTGTCTTGGTCTGGTGAAACCCACAACGAAACAGTATTCCAAATCTTACCTCCATACTGTAGAGATTCTACAGCGAAAAGAGAAAGACCTGCAACCGGGGTGGAGACTGGGCCTGACTTCTAAGAACCCACAGCTCCCTGAAATTCAGCTGCCTTCCCTGTCATGCAGCTCAGGTGCATCACAGGGCCAATTGGGCCGCGATCTAGAGGCTGTGACTGCACTTGAGCCCGCTGTGAATGACCTTATGCAGACTGTCACCAGTCATGATGTTCTGGCACTCACCCCACAAACAAAGTCAGCATAATAAAAAGTCAGCATCATTGAAAAAACAAATGGGGGGGGGCTGGAGAGGGGGCAGGTGGAGATTTGAATTTTTAATTTTATTTTGGTGGTGCGAGGGATGGAACTTCCAGGGCCTCACACATGTGAGGCATTCTGCCGAGAACATCCCCAACCTCTTATTTTTAAGAGCAAAATTGAGAGAATACCATTCTATGGAAATTTTATTTTTTCTGGCTTTTAAGAAGAATGCTTCATACTTAGCTGGCAGGGGAGATAGATACCATGATCACAAAGTTGGTTTTCCCAGGGCGAGTCTTACTCATTGCACTTCAGATGTACTGACCCCTGCAATTTTCCCCAAAAGTGGGAAACCTGACTACATAATTGGTGGTGGGGGGCTACATTCACATTCTCTCTGGGGGGGCCAGGGTCTGGGGGGGGGAGGAGAATAAGAATGCTTTTTTGAATGGTCATTTAGCTACAAATCTTTGTGGGAACATACTTTCGTTTTTCTTGGAGATGCTCAAGTGTGAAACTGCTTGGGTCATACATCGCTTAACTTTAATGAACAGCTAATCCATCCAAAGTGTTTGTATACTGTTCTGTACTTCTACTAAGAAAGGGAGTTCCACTTTATGCATCCTTGCCAATATTTGGTATCGTCAATACTTGGTGTTGTCAGCCTTTGATTTTTGTCCTAGTAGTTTTGAAGTGGTATGTCCTTGTCGGTTCTAGATCTGTATTTCCCTAAAGACAAAGTTTTTGGAGTTTAGAATCTCTTCATATGCTTAGTATTATTTTTTTAAAGTGTGTCCTCTGGTTAAAAAGTCAGTGTTTTGCCCATTTGCTGATTGGACATATATATGTATTTAATTTATTTTGGTTTGGGGGCTGTGCCTTGCAGTGCTTCAGGCTTATTCCTGCCTCTGCACTCAGGGAGTCACTCCTGGCAGGGCTTGGGAACCATATGAGTTGCTGGGGATCAACCCAGGTTGGCCACATGCCTTCTGTACTATCAATCCAGCCCCTTATTAATTTTTTTCAGGTATTGAGTTTTCAGAGTTCTTTATTCTTGAGCTCTTTGAGTTATCTAACCAGTCCCTCCACTGTATTTTTAATCAACAGATTTGTTCATGCTTTGTTTACTGTATGCCCACCTTTAATTTATATTGTAGACTTTATTTGTATTTTTAAGAGCTGCAGTTGATTTTATTAACTAGAATCCAGTTTGATCCTCAGTACCATTTACCTCTGCCCCCAAAAGAAACTATATACTTGGTACTAGAGTAGTCTCAGTGCTGTTTGTTTAATGCATATATAATCCCACTCTTTTAGTAGCTTTCTTGAATACATTAAACATGCAATTTTCATACCTGATTTTGATACAAGGTGAGGCTGGACTTGCTCTCTCGTCCCAATCAAGAAAGAAGTCCAGTCTGAAAGTTTTCCTCTATGGTCCCGAGGGCTGTATGTGGTCCTGACTGTAAATTCTTCAGGGCAAATTTTTCTGGCCCTTGATAGCAAATCCTCACCTCTGCTTCCCACGGGAATAGAGTGAAATTCCTCATCCTTGCTCAGTATTAAGCAACTTGCTCACTCTCTGGATTCTGGATTCCTCATCCTTGCTCAGTATTAAGCAACTTGCTCACTCTCTGGATCAATCACTCTGCCTTCTTGGTGGCATTGTAGACACCTACAGGACATGTGTAGTTGTGTTCTTGCTCTGTGCCAGTCTTCAGAACCCTGTGCAGCGGGCATCTGTTAATGCAGACCAGTGAACTGTGCATAGTTCTTGGAACTGAGTGCAACATTTCCTGGCAGTAGTGAAGAAAGCTGCCAATTGGACAAAGCTTTTGAATTTTCTCGAGTTTAAAAATCCCCAGTCCTCTCTTTGGGGAACAGCTAAGGCACACCTTGCCCTTTGCTTTTTTTTCTCTTGTCTATAAGCTTGCAATCAGCAATGCCCAAATCTCTCCTTGGTCTTGCATTAATTTCTGTTTATTCTGAGAACCAAAGAACCCTGGAATCAAAAACATTTTTGGTGGAATTCTTACCATAACCTGGAATGAGCTGTTGACAATTGCCATTTGATGCTGGGTAGCTCTCAGGAGGAGATTTCAAATGAAGTCTCTATCCTGAGTGGTCGCCCATATGATAAAACCTTGACAGCGCTACTGCAAGTCATGCTTGCCCCACCCTCGCCCCACCACCCCTCCCCTTTGGTCTCCCCTGGGAAGTATTGGGGTTAGTATTGGGATTAATAAAAAGTCGGCCAGTAGCATCTGCCACTAGTGCCACAAGGCAGCCCTCAAAACACATGAGTTCCACTTGATTTGATACCACCTGAGATTGGATGGGGTGAGTGGTACGGGGCAGAGGTTGTGGTCTCATGTTGGAGTCAGGGATTGCTATTTCCTGACAGACTAAGTTTTCCAGGTTCAGCATTTCAGTACAAGACAAATAGTGGGGTAAAGCTCTTTCATCTAGGAAATACATGGGTGTGGAGGTGGGGAAGAGAGAGGCATGGGCTTCTCCAGAGAGGAAAAAGCCCATGAAGTAAAAGAAAGGAATTGCAGACCCCAAGTTGAGATGTGAATGATCTCACAAAGTCACGAAGTTGGTTCTGGAGGGTTTTCCCAGCCTTCCCACATCTGAGACTTTCTATGTAGAGTGGATTGCCAGTATATTGTCAACTTTGAGCTTTTGGTGTTCTTTACGTTTTTCCTGTACTTTTATTCTTGCTGCATTTTCTCCCTCCTGAGGGCAAACAGCTTTCTCTGGGCCTGCACTGGCATCATTGAGTATTATCAGGCCTCAGTTTGTTCCCAGGAGGGGCTCTGTCTTCATGCTTTTGGGCTGCTTTAGAGCTGGTGACCAGAGTAGCTTTTATAGATCAAATCTTGGTCTTATTCCAAAGAGTCCCATTGCCCCCCAGGCTGTCTAGCTGCCTGATTTTTCTAAAAGAATAGACCTGCTTGTTATTTGGGGGGGGTGGGGGGTATACCCAATGCTTTAAAGAAATGGGAAAAGGGGCCAGAATAGGGAAAATTTTTGCCAGCAGCTTAACATGGAAATGATCAGATCTTTTGGTTCTCAGGGCTATGCTGTAAGTATGATCCTGGGATCATTCTATTGTGCTGGATCTCAGATGTTTGTCCAGAGAACAAGGAAATACACTAGATAGTGTTTCAACAAAGGAAATAGATTAGGTTCAGGTTTCAATCCCTGACATTTTGCACTCTGTTACAGTACGTAGGGGAGATGGGAATTTTTCTCCTCCATCACCAATCTCTGACTCTAGTTGAATATCTAAACTATTCAGTGAGAGAGAGACTGCCCTTTGCCTCATTTCAGATGCTAGACAAACAGCCTGATGGCCTCGTGCTGCTGTCGGGCTGTAGTTTGGAGGTTCCTACTACAGGGTTGACTAAATTTGTCAGTGGCATACAGTTTAGGAAACAAATACTTCTTATAAAGGTCAGTAGTGTTCATATGGTAGAGATCTGGTCCCTAGCCAGAAGGCAGGGAGTCTGCCTCTGGTCCTGAGTAAAGCCAGTTAAGCTGGAGATTAATTTCACCTGAAAGGGTGGAGTGGTCAGCAGAGGAATTTTCAGTTGACTTTTACATGATCCATTTCCAAGGATCACATTAGTCCCTCTTGAGATTTTGGGTTCACAGGGGGAAATCTCAAACTTGGTTTTCCTCTCCTGGGTATTTGTTTGACCCAAGCAGTATCGGCACAGCACAACTCTAATGTCACATTTAATGTAATGGAACACACTAGACTTAAATGGAATGATTCTAATCTTTCTGGTATGCTTCTCTCAGAAGCATTTAGTGTGTAGCAAATAATCTAGTGAATTGAAAATTTTCCTTTTATTGTAAATGAGTTTGCTTATAATCCATCTTTTAAAATTTTTGTTTTAGTCCCAGAAATCCTGGATAGAAAATACTTTGACCAAGAGGGAATGTGTATATATTATACCAAGTTCCAAAGACCCTCACAGGTAAGCATGCACTTTCGTTTCTTCTAGACATTTTTCCCTAGGCATTTCTAGATAAATTGTATCTATTGCTAGATAATAGATCATTGTATCACTGTCATCCCATTGATTGTCGATTTACCCAAGGGGGGGTGCTAGTAACATATCTCTATTCCTCCCAGCCCTGAGACATTTATTTTATTTTTATTATTATTTTTTAAAATTTTCCAGCATCTTTAATAAACTAATTTTTTTTACAGTGTTACAGTGCTTTTTTTAAAAAAAATTTTAATAGTGAGACATCATGAGGTATAGTTGCAGACTTACACATTTTTGTGCTTGGGTTTCAATTATACAGTGATCAAATACCCATCCCTCTACCAGTGCCCGTTTCCCACCACCACGGATACCAGTATCCCCCCCCCCCCCCCTCATCTCACCCTGCCTCTGTGGCAGGGAATTCCCTTTTGTTCTCTCTCTCCTATTGGGTGTTGTGGTTTGCAAAGGAGGCAGTGGGTGGCAGTCATGTTTGGTCTATAGTCTACTTTTGGCATGCTTCTCCCATCCTGGGAAGATCCTCCCAACACCTTTTATTTGGTGCTCCCTTCTCTATCTGAGCTCCCTTTTCCCCTAGCATGTGTGCCAGCCCTGAGATTTTAGCAGCCTCTTCTAACTCATCTTTTCTCAATGATTGGAGGCTCTTTCAGGGTCAGGGGAATGAGACCTGTTGTCTTTCCTGTCTTTGGCATATCGAATACGCCACAGGGAACTTGCCAGGCTCTGCCGTGGGATACTCTTCGGTAGCTTACTGAGCTCTCCGAGAGGCATGTATTTGTATATTTCTCTCTATGATTTGTTGTCTACTGTCTGAACCCCATCAGATATGGTGTAGTAACCATGGAAAATGGGTAGAAGTGTCTTATAATGTGGCCGTGTGGTCCGGAAAGCGGCCTGGAGTGTAGTGTTGGTTGGGCAGTGGAGGTCAGCTGCCGGGGCTGGGTCCCTTGGGGTGGGAAGGGCTCTCACCCACCCCACAGCCTGGCGCAGAGTCCCAGATAATAGATATTTCTAGATAATATATATTTCTAATAGGTATTTCTAGATAATAGATATTTCTAGGTAATATGTCTTTAATTCTGTATATTTCTAGTTAAAATGGCTGCTTATTCAAACAAGATTGTATTAATTGTAATTACTGTTAGTGTTTGTTCCTTTTATGAGTTCAGAAAGAGCTTTACCGGCAACATGCTGGCAGGTTGGAAGATGTTGGACTCATGCTCCTCAAAGTAGGTCACAAGATGGGGCTTTTATAGAGTAAGAAAGCAGGGAGTCATATTGTTTTGCAAAGATGAATTACAAGTTGGTGGCACCCGGATGACCAGATCAGTTGATCTGAGGCACAGTTCCAGTGTAACTACAAATAAAGATTTCTGATTGAGGTTTTCTTTCTCTCATCTTTTGGGTAAAGGTAAAAAACATTCTTGACACTTTCAGCCATCCCTAACTAGACAGAGTTCTTGGTTTCTACTATTGAATTCAACTCCTACTTTTTAGTTTCAGTCCTCACTGTCCCTTCTTCCATTTTCATGAAATTTAGGTTGTTGAATCAAATCTACTTCATGCTGAAATAATCCTTTTTCTTGGGTTTGTTTTACTTTTGTGTTTTGTGCCACACCCAGCAGAGCTCAGAGCTCACTCCTGGTGGTGTTGGGAGACCAGGTGGGTGCCGGAAATGGAACCCGGGTCAGTTGCTTGCAAAGCAAGGACCCTATGGACTATATCATCACATCTTTATCTTTCTTATGCATTAGTTCTTCTAGTCTTTGCTCTTAAATTGCTCATTTTAGAAAACGAGTTCTGATTCACAGAAGCATGGGATAGAGCATACTGGCCTGGGGTGTCCTACAAAGCTAACTTTATATTCTACCTTCAGGTCCCTCCCAGGAAAAGTAACCTTTTCCACTCAAGGCATATTTCTGAGGTGGCAGATTTTTGTTTTGGGACATCCATAATTCAGTAGATGATTTGCCCAGTTACTTCATAGAACCAGCCTCTCAGTCCTGAGGGTAGATGACTAGTCCATGGACTACTGACCCATGTCCTTGATAAAAGAAAAATGGAAACAAACTGGAAATCCAGGGAAGTGCTACAAGAACTGCAGGTTCTACCTCCCAGTCCCAGCATGTTCAGATAACCGTTTCCCTAGTTTGTGGTCTCTGATGTCCTCACACATAAGAGAAAAGCGCATAGTCACTATTCCATCTCTGAGACCATGTCAGGTTCTCCCTCTTCTGCTGGCATGGTCCTTAGAAGACAGAATTGTTAATGTTGATCTGTGCAACTGAGGTAAAAATACTTACTAAAAACTGGAAACTATTCTAGAAAGTTACAGAAGAATGCAGGACTTGTTCCAGGTTTATAAGCAGAAACTTCATAAAGAGAGATTAAGAACAGAATCTAATTTCCATGAAAAGGAATATTACCAAAACGTGTTTTTTTTTTCTCTTCACCTTCACTGCTCATCTACTTAGAGTAACAGATGACGTTCTAATAATGGGCTCAGTCATTTTGCATAGGCAGAGTAAGAGTAGGTAGTTCCGGAGGTTCCTTTAGCAGTCAGCAATAGATGGAGAGCTTGAATGACTTCGTGGAGCTCAGGGGTCTTGTCACTTTTTCTCAGAATCAGTCTTTAATGAAATCTGTAGTAGCATAAAAGTATCCTGGGAGCATCTTACCCTATGTCAGAATACAAGCCTCAGGCCAGGCTGCTTTAGCTTTTCTTAGCTCCAGAGTCTTTTAAGTCCCTCCTCCCTTACCTGTCCTTTGGGTCAGTTTGCCCTTTGTCAGTGCTTTTGACCAGCTCTAGCTAGATTTTTTTTTGTCCCTTAAGTCCTTCTGTGGTTGACACTGAAGTGTGGCCACTGCTCTGAGATCCACATTTTGGGTGTTAGAAATTAAGACCAGTTTTAGGATTTGAGCTAATTTGTCAAAGACCTGGTCTTATTTTTAAAAGTTATGTATTATCAGAATCCACCTGTAATGCTTGTATTGGGTTAATTACTCAAACCTTGAGGTTCCACAGTGTCCTGAGGCTACTGTGACTCACCTTGCTAGCAGATGGGAATCTTTTTCCCCCCCATTATTATTTATTTCTTGAGTTTGGGGCCACACCTGGCAATACTCAGGGCGGGGCAGGGGGTGGACTTACTCCTGGCTGTGCACTCAGGAATCAATCCTGGTGGTGCTCAGGGGACAAAATGGGATGCCAGGTATCGAACCCGGGTTAGCTGTGTGCAAGGCAAGCGCCCCACCTGCTGACTATCGCTTTAGCTCCCATAGACTGTTCCTCTTTATTGCGATTAATCTTAAATTCTAAGGTTATATTGCCAGTCACACTCCAGAGAAAAAAAAATCTCAGTATTATGACCAGTTCTCAAATTGGCTATTAGAACAACAAAGCATTGTCAGTCTTCCTGAATTTCTTCCAAATAAAACATTGCCCTGAAGTGCTAAAACATACTAAAAGGTGTCAAGAAGAGAGCACAGTGTGTTTTTCAGTTCTGCTTACAAGATACAGTTGAATCCGGTTTCTTTAGATCAAACATTAATTCTGGGTACTCCAGTTCTACATTAGAAATCTTCATTTTTCTGAAATTTTTAAGTGTTCTATTTTCCCATGAGCTAGTTCCATGGCAGATCCCTATTCTGGAGTATTTGTCAAAGACCTTTTCCCCCACAGACTTCTCAGAACAAGGTATTAATAAGTTAGTTACACAAATGGCAAAAAGCTTTAGAGTGCTCTCTGTCTCTCTGTCTCTATCTCTGCTTCTCTCTCCCCCCTCCCTCCCTCTCTCTCCCTCTCCCTCCCACTTTCCTCCCCTCCTCTCTCCCTTCCTCCCTCCCTCACTCTCTCTCCACTCAGCTCTCTCTAAATGTCTTTCAATAAAAAATATTTTGCTTCACTAAGACAAAAAACATAGTGGTCAAAGAAGAGGGAGATGCTTACCAATGTATTAAATTGAGGAAGCTTGTTAAATATTAGGCATCCTCAGTTTGGCATTAGACTATTAGTGGTGTACTATTTTGCAGCATAGAAATGTGTTTTTATGTGGTCAAAGCTGTCAGTCTTTTAAATTTTCTGGATTGTATGTTGTACACAGCCAATTTGTTATATTTAAAATATAGAACTATGAGTTGGAAAAATTGCTATTAGAATAAATAAGAGTATACATAATCTGTGATAGCTATTGAAAAGTTAAGCTAAAGTATAAATTTTAATTTTGATACTGTCAGTTGTACCTAAGGGAAATATGTATATTCTTATTTTTTATAAATAATGTAATTTTGAAGTGTGCTGAACTAGCTCAAAGAACTGAAACACCTGCTTTGCATGCAGGAATCCCAGGTTTAATCCAGCACCATATGGTCCCACTGGGTGTGGCTCTGTTACAATAATAAATAGAAACTTTAATTTTTTATTTCTGTTTATACAGTTCAGACTAAAATTTTTACTTTTTTTTTTTCAATAGATGCCTTCCAGGATGTCAGATTTGTCAGCAGCTTGTCAGGTAAGTTGAATAACATCATTCTGTTGCACAGATTTGGAAAAAAAAAACCTATTAGAGGTATCAGTTAAAACGGAGTGGTAAAGGGCAGGAGAAATGGTGCAAGTGTTAAGGCCCTTGGCCTGCATGAGACTAACCTGGGCTTGAGCAATGCACCTGGCCGGTCCCCCAGCACAGCTGAGAAAGATCCCTGAACACAGAGCCAGGAGTGAGCCCTGAACATCACAGAGTGTGGCTCAGAAACCAGGAAGAGAAAAGGAAGGAGGGGGCTGGGATTTGGAGGCTGTTAAATTTAAAGTCTACTTCTCGAAACGCAGGTGAAGCTAGCCGAGCAGTGTTATGTAGTTGATTGTGAGTTTGCTGGGAAAGGGAGTTAAGGCAGAGAGAACTGAATGTGGGAAGGCCTGACACTGAAGGAGGTGGACCTGGTTCTGTCAGACCAGGTTCATCTTATATTGTAGACTCTATAAGACCACGATTGTGGCTGCATGATTCTGATTCAACACAGCAATGCTGGGGTCACAAATTGTGTTAATTAAGCCACATCTAAGTGTAAGTGGTGGTGCATGCCAGCATCAGCTTGTTGAGATAGCAGCTATGGTGAGGAAGAGAGGCAGACATATTTATGGGATTAATGTGATAAACTCAGTTGGACATGGTGGATTTGTAGGAAAAGGGAAATCTTAAATGTACCTCAATTTCTTTTGTAATTAAGTTAATAACCATGTCCAGGAAAATAAGATCAAATATGGGAGGAAGACAAGAGGTTAGTAGACTAGAAACAAAAATGATAATGAATTAATTCATTTTAGTATAGTGAGTTAGTATAGCCTCCAGTATGGCAGTATTGGGAAAGACGAGTAAGGAGAGGCAGCTAAAATCTCAAGGCTGGGACGAATGGAGTTACTGGCGCCCACTCGAGTGAATCGATGAATAATGGGATGCCGGTGACAGTGATAATGAGTTGTTTCCAGTCCTCTTCATTCTTTCCTCTAGATGGGAAATTTTATTTCTTTGTTTCATTTACTGCATTTGGTTTAATTTAGATTTAGTATTTCCTGCATTTGGTTTAGTACAGTTATAATGGAGATGAACCTTCTAAGCTTGGTTGATCTGAAAATGTTTATTTCACTCCAATCATTTTTTGGCAATAAAAACTATATATATACACATATAAATATATATATATATAAATATATACACATAAACATATTTTATCAAGATATTATGATTTACAAAGTTGTTCATAATAGAATTATTTCAGACATAACAATGCTGTAACACTGGTGCCACCACCACTGTCCCCAGGTTCCTGCCGTTCCCACAGCCTGTATCCTTGGTAGGCATTTAAATTTGTTAATTTTTTTCTTCTTGGATCTCCATGAACTTCAAAGTTACAGAGTTATTCATGATTGAGTTTCAGGCATACAATCACAGTCCCTTCACCAGTGGCCACTCTTCAGCACTGTCCCCAGTTTCCCTCCCTCCCTGCAGCCTAGGTAGGCACTTTTTACCTCCTTTTCATCTCCTCTGGAGTATTTCACACTGGCAAGCCATCTCTTTTGGGAGGAATCTTTCTCATGTTCCTGGAACCAGACTTGCCCCTCGAAGCACCATCAGAAGGAGGACCTGGTTTTCTTTCTGCTTGTTGTGAGTTATTTTGCCTCTTTCTCGATGAAAACTTAGCAGTCACAGAGGATCAGTCACTAACTTTCAAGCCTTTAAGATGCCAGTGAAGGGAATGCTCACTGTCTTGCATGCTGCGCCTCCATCTGTGGTCAGTGACTTGCTGTGGCATCATTTTGCATTTATGTACAGTCTTGAAGTTTTGATGTGATTTCCACTGGATTCTCCCTTCTCAGAGGTTTAGATTAGTCTTACTTACAGATTCTCTCTTGTAACTTAACCTACACAGTTTTTTTTTTTATCTCTTTGTTTTCTCAATTGAATCACTGTGAGATAGACCATTACAAAGCTATTCATGATTGGGTTTTAGGCATACCAGGTTCTAACACCCATCTGTTCACCGAGGTACATTTCTCACCACCAATGTCTCAGTTTCACTCCCACCACCTTCCTCCATAATATGCTGTGGGTGGCGCAGAATGGTTGTGGGAAGAAATGGTGGTGGGGTTGCACCCCAGCAACTCTCTGCCAGGTCAGTTAAGTTCAAGGAAGCATCTTACCACCACTGCACCGTGTCTCTGGCCCCTGCTAACTTTTCTGATCTGTTAAGTTCAGCTCTTAACAGACACGGAGTGTGGAGGACCATGTGATGGTGGAACTAAGCTGAAGTTTCCCTCATGGAGAGCATGCACTCTAGCCTTTTGGGCTTCCCCTCTGACCCACTTTATAACTTTCTTGACAAATTTGGTAAATGGTCTTTTGAAACTCATTTTTCCCCTTTAGGTGTTTTTGTGGTCGCTTGGTCAAGCAGCATGCTTGTTTTACTGCAAGTCTTGCCATGAAATACTCAGATGTGAAATTGGGTGATCATCTTAATCAGATAGAAGAGTGGTCTGTGGAAAAGCATACAGAACTGAGTCCAACAGATGCTTATGGAATCATAAATTTTCAAGGGGGTTCTCATTCATACAGAGCAAAGGTATGTCTCTCATTTTTTTTAACTTAATTTTTTTATTATTAACATTTACTATGTGGCACTTTATGTAAAACTGTCTCAGAAAATTAGTCTCAATTATCTTTTAACTTTTTTTTTAATGCATGCAAATACTTGTATAATTGTGAGATCTTAGTGACTTGAACGTTTCATGATTATGGAGTGTTTTATCATTTTCCTTGACAAAATATACTTTTTTCTGAAGGCAGTATAGTCGAATTTTTTTTTTTAACTTTCTTTGCCTGGTGAAGAAGTTTCTCTTTAAGTACAATATGTCTTTTTCGTTTAGTCTACTGTCTTACTTTTTTTGGTTCCCGTTTCCTTTATCTTCTGGATTAAGTATTTGAATTTTTTCCTTATTAGCCCGTAATCTATATTCTTTTCCTGTTCATTAATCTTAGAATAGACACTAAATTTATTTTTGGCTTGTTACTATTCTGAATTAATACCTTCTCTACTTATGGGCAAACTAGAGACCCTCTAGAAATATAGCTATTCATTGTGATTTACCAGATATGCCAACATTGTACCTTTTATGCTTTTCTGCCTACCTCCCTGAAAGATAGAAAAAAGCAGTTAAAAGGTGGATCTGTCTCATGTTTCTTGTTGTTCCTGGATCCTCTGATTATCCCTCTGTCCCCACCCTATCCTCACTATCTCTCTGATGCCTTAAAACATTTTTATGGGGCTGGAGCGATAGCACAACTGGCAGGGCATTTGCCTTGCACACTGGGTTTAATCCCCAGCATCCCACATGGTCCTCTGAGCACCGCCAGGAATAATTCCTGAATGCAGAGCCAGGAGTAACCCCTGAGCATTGCTGGCCCCAAAACAAAACAACCTATTTTTATTGTGTTTTCTAGGTCCTCTGGTTACTGAGGGGAAATTGAAATTTAATTAGAAGAAAAAAAATTTTTTTTGGAATTGCCAGGGATCGACCCCAGGTCTCACCAAAGGAAGAATTCATTATTGTTAGAAATGAATTCCTCGTTAATTCCTAGCATTTTTGTGCATGTGTGGTTTTTTTTGAGGGGGGGGCATACTCAAGTGATGCTTGGGGGCTGCTGCCAGTGCATAGTTCGGGGTGTTTTCTTGGGAGTCCTCGGGAGACCTGTGGTGTGGTGCCAGGATGAAACTCAGGCCTCCTGCATGCAGAGCGTGTCCTCAGCCTGCTGGGCATATCCGTCCAGCTTTGACATGCTTTTTTCCCAAGCACTACTTTATATGCCAAAATGAATGAATGAGTTAAGAATTCAGCACATGGCTCACAAAGCTTTGATTCTCTGTGCCACATGGCCCCCCAACACTGCTAGGTTAGGTGTGGTCCTCATGCTCCCTAAACACCTCCATATGTCATCTTCCTCAAATTTTTTTTAAAGAAATAACTGGAAGCTGTGCCATCAGATTTAGTACAGAACAAATACTATTGCAAAATAGTCCTTGAAACTTTTTTCCTTTTTATGGTACTGGAGGTCAAGCTCAGGGCTTTACACATGTAAGGTACAAAATTTTCTTAAGGAACGCTGGAGTTTTATCAGTTTTATAGGATTTTGATATTTGGGGGTATGATATTTTGGGGCATATTAAATACATTTTTATTGATGTTTGATCTCTGTTTGTAAAGGAATGGACAGCACATTGTTTTGCAAAGAACCTTTCTTGAAGATGATTAAAAATATTCTTCCAACATCTGAATATTTCAGATTTCTTATGAGCTAATTCATATATGTGCTTTAGACAAAGAGAATGAATTAAAGTTATAGCAAGTAAGTTTTATGATATCACTTAACAGAAAGATAATTTTTTTAATCTTTCAAGACAAAGGAAGTTATTTCACTGATGTGATAGCTTATTTTCTAGAAAATGGTTTTTTAAAAATTAAACCATTGAATCCATTTGAAATGATTAAATTTTTTCAGTAATTTAATATTTAGATCAAGTCAGTAGTTAGCTTTAGTGAAAGAAAAAAGTCATCCATATTATAAAATACCTTTGTTATTTGCTAGTCACAGTTCTGTTATAATGGACTAGGTCACTGACTAAATAAATCTTTGAAAAAAAATATTTTCTCCTATTTTAATAGCTAAAGTTATAGAAGCCCTCATTTTTTCCCCCTCATTTTCTTCTTTTTTCCCTTTCTCTTCATTCTAGCTAGCCTTAGTATTTCTTACTCACTGCTTACTCATAGTTAAATAAGGCAATGAAATTTTAAGTTGGATAAATAGTAATTTAATTATTATAAATAAAGAAAATAGCAGTTTGTGTCTTAAAGTATAAAACGTTAAGAGTTTTGTATGTCTTTCATAAAATGAGTTTTTAAACTTAAATAATTTGATATTGCTTGTTTTTAGGTAATGTAAATGTATTGAAACTAGTCTAGGAAACTTATTCAGTTCAAATGAAGTTATATAATACTGCACTAAAAAATGTATTAACAAGTAACGATGTTTTAAAAATCTTTTTTAGTATGTGAGATTATCATATGACACCAAACCTGAAGTCATTCTGCAACTACTGCTTAAAGAATGGCAAATGGAATTACCCAAACTGGTTATCTCTGTCCATGGGGGCATGCAGAAATTTGAGCTACATCCACGAATCAAGCAATTGCTTGGAAAGGGTCTTATCAAAGCTGCAGTTACAACCGGAGCCTGGATTTTAACTGGAGGCGTAAACACCGGTAATGTTTTTTACAAAATTGTACCAGTTTTTATTTAGTGTTCTTACATATTTCTCTAAATTAGGTATTTGAAATAGTGGTGTATGCTGAATGATCTTCAGGTCCTAGGTGTGAATGATAACTGTATAAATATTTGGTTTTCATTAGGCTTTTAAAAAAACCAACAAAACACTTAGAGCAAGAGCTGGTAATCAGAGCCTTTTCAACAACTAAAAAAAAAGAGCTGGCAATCTGTTGAACTCCATCACCAAATTTGTCATACTCTTTTTATTTGTAAATAAAGGTTTATTGGAACATGGCCACACAAGTTACTTTTTATATTGTAGGTGGTTATAACAGCAGAGATGAATGATTCTTATAGAGATTCTATGCCCTGCACAATCCTTGCAAGGTCTTAAAATATTTTCTCCATGACCCTTAACAGAGATAGGTTCCTGACCCCTAATTTAGAACTCAGTGTTACTCCTGTCACACTTGACTACTTTTACATTGTTAGAAGAATGTAAACCTATTGCTTAAACAGTGATAGAAAATAGCTTTCAAAATCAATCTATATTGTACTAAAATCTTTGTTTCCCTTCTGGGATATGCAGGTTAGATAAAAGGAAGACAGATGTAAAGTAAAACACCATTATTAAGTTAAATAGCAAGTGTCTTACTTGTTATCAATAACTGGGGAAGGCGTGTTCTCCCCTGGAAGTGCTTGGGATATGACTCTCATCTGGTGGTGGTCGGTGTGTGTACATTCAGCGACAGTACTTATTAAGGTTTGCACTCCTTTGGTTGTGGTGCCTGTTTGCGCACCCAGAATCATACACTGGTTGGCCCATTAATGATGATTGTGCTCCCTGGGGTCACTGCACTTACCTATGGGTTCCCAGGAAGTCGTACTTCCCTGCCCACGGTGCTGACACATCTTTATAGTTGCAGTGCTCACTATGGCTTACACCCTTTTGTGGTGCTTACAGGTACCTGCCTGTGTGTGGTACAGCCAGTAAACAATATAGCTGAAATCACAGCAGTGTTACCAGGACCATACTTGGTACATGTGGGGGGGGGGGGGGATTTAATCTCATACTTTTAGGCCTAGGTTCTCTGATTGCTGCTATTCCTGAGGGCCCATCATTAGAGAGATTCACGGAAGACTGCAGACACAGCTCATAACAAGTGGTAGTGACACATTCTATGCACTTCTGTGTTTTACTTTGTACTTTTCTCTATGCTTGACAACTTGTGCAGTTGTTTGTTGTATGTGTGTATTCTTTGCTGATGCAACTGACCCACAATCTTCATTTCATTTAAGATGATAGAGAATTAATCCCTAAAATGTAGTTACTTCACTAAGGAATGTAAGAAAGGACTAGTCTACTGGCACAGTGGAATTTTTTTCCTCTCAGCTCTAGTATTCATACAAATTGGGTTTGTTACCTTGTATTTTGTATGTGTAAAGGGTAAATGCCTCAAGTTGTTACAGATTGAGTACAGAATTATTTGTACCACAAAAGCCTTTCAAATAAGTAAATCAAATTTTGTATAAACAGGTGTGGCAAAGCATGTGGGTGACGCCCTGAAAGAACATGCCTCCAGGTCCTCCCGAAAGATTTGCACCATCGGGATTGCGCCCTGGGGAGTGATCGAAAACAGAAATGATCTGGTTGGAAAAGATGTGAGAATGCTTTCTTGAAATTTCTTAATGTTCTGAACTTAGGTGTCAACAAAATTACACAAAAAATGTTTTTAAAAAAAAGCAATTTAAGATGCTTATACCATGCTAATGAAGTTTCAGATTATATTTTCTTTTGAAAGTGTGTTCAGAGATTTAAATTTTTATTTTTTTTACATTTGGGACTATGACCTTAGTGGGAAGGGGCTCACACCCAGTGGAGGTCAGGGATTTTTCCTGGCTCTGTGCTTCAGAATGACCTTGGGCAGCACTTAGCTTACCATGTTTGGTGCTCAGGATCGAACAAGAGTTGACCACCTTGCAAGGCAAGTGCCTTACCCCCTGTTCTACAGCTCTGGCCCTGCCCATGTTAATGCCCTTTTGTGAGAGTGGGAGTATAATATAATTTCACTTTTTTTATATTAGGCTTATCTTTGTAATTTAAAAGCTTTGTGGACCACATCTGACAGTGCTTGTGGAGCTACTTTGGCGTTGGCGTTGGGGATGACTCCTGGTAGTGTTCAGGGGTCCATGCCATGGCAGCACTGCAATTTGGGTTTCTACACGTAAAGCTCGTGTGTTGCCTCACTGCACTGTATGTTCTAATCCCAGAAATACTTTTGTTTGTTTTCTGGTTTTGGTTCACCAGTGGCTACTCTTAGCACAATTCTCTGGAGTTACTCCCAGTGGTATTCAGGGGACCCTGCAGTGCTGGGGGTTGAACCCAGTCCTGCCACATGCAAAGCTTGTACACCAGCCCTTTGAGCTGTCTCTCTGATCTATGTAATCAAATTTTTAATGGCTCCAGGATGCTAAGAACAAGTTTTTCTGTTGCCAAGAGTTAATGATAAAATGCTATTGTTTTATTTGGTTAGGTTGTAGACATGTGAATTCATTAAATAGAATTTTTTTAAGTTCTAAGTTACTCCGTTATAATGATTAACTTTATCTTATAATGGTATTGTATTTTTAAGGATTTTACTTATGGCTTGGACAATAGTGATTTTTGTTTGCTTTTATTTAGTGTCCTTTTTATATATTGTATTGTTTTTGTAGTAATTCAGTGCTTTCCTCACTTAATTTGCTTCCTTTTCCTTTGCAACAGGAATGAAATATTCTTCAGTCAGGGTCAAAATAATTGTATGGTTAATGCATTACTGATAAATTTTTAAGCACAGTGTTATATTTTATCCTTAGACACTTTTCATTGCTATACTTAAAAATTTGTAGATAATTTCAAAGTTTATTTTTACTTTATATTTTATTGTGCCGACTAACCCTTACATTTACTGTTTAGGTGGTTGCTCCTTATCAAACTTTATTGAACCCTCTGAGTAAATTGAATGTTCTGAATAATCTCCATTCCCATTTCATATTGGTGGACGATGGCACTGTTGGAAAGTATGGGGCAGAAGTCAGACTGAGAAGAGAACTTGAGAAAACCATTAACCAACAAAGAATTCATGCTAGTAAGGGATTTTGTAACTTTTGTTACTGTTGAAATTATTCTGGGATTGTGTTAATTGTTGGCAACATTCTAAAAAGTTAGTGCTCTTTTCCTAATTTTCAAGGAAACACATATGAAGCCATTCACAAATGGCTATAAAAAAACAATAAAAGAAGATCTAGGAAAAAAGGTTTGAGGCCAAGTAATGTACTTGGATATCAAGGCCAAAGCCACAAAGGTTCATTGCAATCTGTTGCTATTGTAACCTCCTTTCAGGCTCATTAAATCAGGAAACTGTAAATGTGTGGTATGTTTTTATGTAAGACTTGGAAATTTGTGTTTGAAACATAAAAAGGGAAACTTTTGTTTTAAAATCAGCTTGCCTAAAATTTGTAAGAATATCACTTTTTTGGCACCAAGTCTTTTTTGCCAGACAATGCTCCAGTTTTCTGGAATTCAGCATGGTTGATTTTTATCTAACAAAGAAATACTTTGATCATAAGACATCCAAGAAGGTGAAAATTATGACAAAGAAAAATAGAAATACGAAATTATATGACTGTGCTCTGATCATGGTGAAGTCACGTAGCATCTCCTAAAAATTCCTGCTGATTTAGGATGGGGGAATGAAGCCCAGTGGTAGATGCATGGCTTGCATGTGAAAGGCTCTGAGTTTGGTCCCTGGCACTGTGGCAACAACAAGCCAAATTCATTATATGTTAAAAAATCTTAGTTACCTATAGTCTAGATTCTTTCACAGTATTGCAGATTGTTATAAAAAAATGATAGGTTTTTGCTAATTTTTTTTCTGTTACTCTGATACAGTCTTGTATTTATTGATCAGTTCTATTTATTAAATCCTATTTTTTATTTACTTGGTATTAATGTTCCGTTCATTTGGAATTGATACATTCTTTTGCACACACTTTAAGTGGTGCTGGGGGTCCATGCAGTGCTGTTCTTAAACTTGGGACTCCTTGTGCAAAGTATGCATTCCAGTGCTCTTTCTCTTTGTGGGTGAGTGGGGTGAGAAGGTTTGGTCCATGCCTCAGATGATCAGGGCCTTCCTTACTCCTGGCTTTTTGCTCAGGGATTACTCCTGGTGGTTCTGTGGCAGCTGGAGTGTCAAGGATTGAACCAGGGTCAGCTGAGTGCGGGGCAAGGCAAGTGCCTTAGCTTCTGTGCTATAATCTCTGGCCCTATATCCAGCCTTTTTCTATATATTCCCCAACCCACAAATACATATTTATAAGATGAATAAAACATATTAGAAGTTTAGTTATATGGTCTCAGAGAAAAATGAGGGAAAAAAAAACCAAAAATCATAGGGCCGGGGTGATTCCCTTGCATCTCACATGGTCCCCCAAGCCCACCAGGAGTAATTCCTGAGTGCAGACCCAGGAGTAATCCCTGGGCATCTCCGGGTGTGGCCCAAAGACAAAGCAAATTTGTTAAATATATTTCTTAAGAGCTCAGTTTAGACATACAACATTTTGTTTTATAAATATTATAAGTTTTAATTCATATATATAATGTATGTAAGTATATATATTATATGTTATATAATTTATATTATATGTAATTATATGTTACATAATTTTTGTCATATGCCTAACTGGTTTTCTAGATTTTTTTCTTTCATTTTTGTTTTGGGGATACACATGGGTGTGTGTGCTCAGGGGTCACCTTTGCTCTGTGATTGTGGTTATGAAGCCCAGGCTTCTGCTGATAAACCCACACATGGCCTTTTCAACACTCTCTCCAACCCCTAGGTGTTACAATGTTTTTCATTTTGGAAAGATTTTAATCAGTGGTTAGAACCCTGGAAGTCCCAAAGCACTGCCTGGGAGGCCTGGGTAATTCCTGGCACCATAGGGCCTGAGCACACTGCATCTGTGTGTCCTTGCTTTGAACCAGGGTTCCAGGTACCTAAGAATTTTGAGGATGGGCCCCTTGAGCACCACTTGAAATGCTCTTTCCTCCCACCCCCAAAGGAGCCTTTTTTGGTTTGTTTTAATTGAGTGTAAGCTTCATCTGTTCAATTTTGCTTAATATCTAAACTGTTTTTTTGCAGGAATTGGCCAGGGTGTCCCTGTGGTAGCACTTATATTTGAAGGTGGGCCGAATGTCATTCTCACGGTTCTCGAATACCTTCAGGAGAGCCCTCCCGTTCCGGTGGTTGTGTGTGAGGGAACCGGGAGAGCGGCAGACCTCCTGGCGTACATTCACAAACAGACAGAAGAAGGAGGGTGAGTGTTTGATTACAACAGAAGGAACTGTATGGGGCCAGAGCCTAGGGCACGCGCTTGCCTTGCAAGCAGCCAACCCAGGTTCAAGTCCTGTCATCCTTTGTGGTTGCCCAAGCACCACCAGGAATAATTTCGCGGTGCAGAGCCAGGAGTAAGCCCCGGACATCAGGTTGGTCCTAAGGCAAACAATAATAATAACTTAAGTAGCTATAAAGATGCTTCAGGCTTAGGAAGTTTTAGATTTTCTGTTTTTTTTTATTATTATTATTTTGTTGTTGTTGTTACAAAGCTTTTCATGATTGAGTTTCAGTCATAAGTATTCCAACATCCATCCCTCCACCAGTGTACATTTCCCAGCACAAGTGTCCCCAGGTTCCCACCCATCATACCCCACCTCCCACCCGCTACTGGCCTCTATGGCAGATGCTTTTCTTCTCTCTCTCTCTCTCCTTTTGCGCACTGTGGTTTGCAGTGTTGATACTGAAAAGTTATCCAGAATATCCCTTACCTTTTTTTTTTTTTTTTTTTTTTTTTTTTTTTTGCTTTTTGGGTCACACCCGGTGATGCACAGGGGTTACTCCTGACTCTGCACTCAGGAATCACTCCTGGCTGTGCTCAGGGGATTATATGGGATGCTGGGAATCGAACCCGGGTTGGCCGTGTGCAAGGCAGACGTCCTACCCGCTGTGCTGTTGCTCCAGCCCCCACCCTACCTATTTTTAACCCTCAGCTCTTGTCCAGTGTGATCATCCCAGCTATTATTGTCATGACTGTTTTTTCTGTTTATTTTTTTTTAAGCACGAAAATTTCAAGTTTATTACAGTACCTCATTATGATTTGGGGAAATATCCTATCTGATGCATCATTGAATGAGGCTAGTTTTACAAGATCTGTCATGTATATGGAGACACATGTTTCTTGACTGACAGTTCTTTTTCTGTGTACTTGTGCTGGTGTGAATCAGTATGTATATAATTATAAAATTGTGTAACAGTAAAAGTTGAAGAGCAAAATAGAGCAAATATCACGCAGACCAAATAAGTGAATATTTGTATGGTGGAATAGTTTGTAGATATGTAAGGTTGATACCTGTGTATTCAACTTGAGAACATTATCAAAATTCATGGGAAAAGGATGATAGAAGAGTAGTAAGTTTGTTGTTACCTTCTAGTAGAACAGGAGTGGGAATGTATACTGTGTGCATGTTTGTATGTATGTGTGTGTCTGTGTTCTACACAGGTAAAATTACAGGGTTTCTTGAAAGTAGAGGTGGAATTTGGCAGATATGACAGTAACAACGATGCATTGACTATGAATGTTTGTGTGTTTTATTTTTGAGCACATAAGCAGTTCCAACTGAGATAAGTTGGTAATCATTAAATCTGTAGCACTGTAGCACAGTTATCCTGTTGTTCATCGATTTGCTTGAGTGGGTACTAGTAACGTCTCCATTGTGAAACTTGTTACTGTTTTTGGCATATCGAATGCGCCACGGGTAGCTTAGCAGGCTATGCCATGCAGGCAGGATACTTTTGGTAGCTTGCCGGGCTCTCCAAGAGGGACAGAGGAATCAAACCCCAGTTGGCCGTGTGCAAGGCAAACACCCTTCCCGCTGTGCTATTGTTCCAGCTCAATCATTAAATCATTAACATTAATTCATTAAACCATTAACATTGAAATCTTAACATGCTAATGCTTAAGACATCTGGGTGAAATATTATTTTACATTCCAGAGTATCTTACAGTTATTTTTATACAATACTTGTAAGAAATGAGCACCTGTCTAGGGATGTTGCTCAAGAGGTTGAGTACTTGTGAGGCTCTGGGTTCACACAGTCTGGGGGACCCCACAGTCGCCAGATGTAGCCCTTATGGCTCTTGAGTTCCACAGGAACATATCTCCCCTCCCCCAAAAATGAGAAAGTTCTACTCTCCCTCCCCACCCCCACTTATACTGGATACTGATACTGGAATAAATGTCTTTATCTTGGTTTTGGGGCCATACTTAGTATTGGTCAGCTCAGTGTTGGCTTATTCCTGACTGAGCTCAAGAATCACTCCTGGTCTACAACCACACCACCCTGATCATGCCCGATCTGGGGATAATCATTCCTGGCAGTTCTTGGGGGAACGTGTGCAATGCCAGGGATCAAGCCCAAGTTGACCATGTGCCTGGCAAGCACCTTACCCTCAGTATTATCACTCCAACATCATACACGCCTGAATTTAAAAAAAAGAAAGAAATTCAGGGGCCGAGAGGTAGTAAATGGGTAAGGCATTTACTTTGCATGTGGCTGACCTGAGTTCAATTCCTGGTATTCCACATGGTTCCCCAAACACTGCCAGGAGTGATTCCTGAGCACTGAGCCAGGCAGTAATAAGCCTTGAGCGTTGCTGGGTATGGCCCCCACACCAAATATATCTTCCATTTTCCTTCTCTTGGTAGATATAATGGCTGTTTCACAAAGAGAAATTTACACCCAATATCAAATATTAGTGATATCTCTAAAGGTCTTACATGGATCCACATGGACTTCCACATTAGAGTTTACCAAACATGAAAATTGAAATCAGTAATGGGTATGTTTCTTCGTATTTCAGGAATCTTCCTGATGCCGCAGAGCCTGATATTATTTCAACCATCAAGAAAACATTTAACTTTGGCCAGAGTGAAGCAGTTCATTTATTTCAAACATTGATGGAGTGCATGAAAAGAAAAGAACTTGTAAGTAAACTTTAGCAAAATGTGCCTTTTCTCCATTCCTTTAAGGGACAGCCAAAATTGTGTGTTGGGCCATTTGCCCAGTGGTTCTGAGGGGCTATTCCCAGCTCGCACTCATGTGTCTTATGATGGTGTTGGGGGACCATGCAGTGCTAGGTGTTTCATGTACTTTGCGTGTGCTTAGCTCATTGAGATATCTTCAGCCCTGGATTTAAAATTGCTTAATCCTGTACACAGCTCTGATCTTGAGTTAAGTCCCCAGTATTGCAAAAATCAAAATTTTTTTAAATCAATAATAATGTTATAAAATTCTTATAGTCTTACAAGACTGTCATTTAAAAATATTTTATTGAGGCAAAAATATTAGACTCCTATGAGGAGGACAGGTTATTTTTTGTTTTTATATTATTGAAACATTTATACTATATTTTAGGGTAAGTTTGACAACTAGGTCTCAACATGCTATGTCAGGATCAAGAAGAAACTCCAAAATTGTGATTGGCTTCTTTAAAATACAGACAAAGGGGCTGAAGACATAATGTTGGGATAGGCCCCATTTTGCTCTTATGTGTTAGGCCCTGTGCTGGCATTCAGTGACCAAAAAAAAAAAAAAATGAAATGAGTGTGGGGGGGGTGGGGGGCGGACCTTTAAACTGAAGATGATCCCAGAGTTACAGTAATTTGATTAACCAGTTTTCAGTTTTACAGTGACTTGAAAAGTATGCACATTGTTTAGAAACTGCGCTTCAAATTTTGAATTATGGTACTCTTTTTCACTTTTTTTGTTTTTCCCTTTTTGGATCACACCCAGCGATGCTCAGGGATTACTCCTGGCTCTGCACTCAGGAATCACTCCTGGCGGTGCTCGGGGGACCATATGGGATGCCGGGGATTGAACTTGGGTCAGCCGCATGGAAGGCAAACAAACACCCTCCCTGCTGTACTATCGGTCTGGCACTTCACTTTCATGTTAAAGAAATTTATACAGTATTTCAAATAAACTCATAAATTTGTACGATAATTAAAATCACTGTCACTGTCCTCCCGTTGTTCATCGATTTTGCTCAAGGAGGCACCAGTAACGTCTCACAACAAATTGTGGGACTTGTTACTGTTTTTGGCATATTGAATACATCTCCGTAGCTTGCCGGGCTCTCCGAAAGGGGAGGAGGAATTGAACTGGGGTCGGCCATGTCAGCTGCGTGCAAGGCAAATGCCTTACCCACTGTGCTATCGCTCCAGCCCATATTAAAGAAATTTATACAATATTTCAAATAAACTCATAAATTTTTATGATATTTAAAATAAACTTTATATTGATGTATTTTTTTCCCAACTATAGATTGGTGTTTTTGAACATGTTTAAGCTGAGTGAAGCTTAACTGGGCTGGAGCGATAGCACAGCGGGTAGGACGACATGGCCACCCCGAGTTTGATTTCTCCTCCCCTTTCAGAGAGCCCAGCAAGCTTCCTAGAGTATCTTGCCTGCACGGCAAAGCCTGGCAAGCTACCTGTGACGTATTTGATATATCAAACACAGTAACAAGTCTAACAATGTTACTGGGCCCGCTCAAGCAAATCGATGAACAACGGGAGGACAGTGACAGTGACAGAGGCTAAACTGTGCTATTTCTTAGGTTAGCTATAATAGTAAGCGCTTTTTTGTTTGTTTGTTTTTTGTTTTTGAGCCATACCTAGCTAACTATACCCAGGGTTTACTCCTATTTGTTCAGTCAGAGACTATTTTTGCTATCGCTCCAGTCCATATTAAAGAAATGTATACAATATTTAAAATTAACTCATAAATTTGTACGATATTTAAAATAAACTATATTGATTTAATTTTTGCCCAACTATAGATTGGTGTTTTTGAACATGTTTAAGCTAAGTGAGGCTAAACTGGGCCAAATTTTTGGCAATTCTCAAAAGTATCAGATGAGGTGTCAGGGATTGACCTGGGTCAGTTTCTTGCAAGGCAAGCACCTTAACCACCCTGCTATTTCTTCATCCCCAATACTCCCCCCCCTTTTTTTTTTTTTTTTGCTTTTTGGGTCACACCCGGTGATGCACAGGGGTTATTTCTGGCTCATGCACTCAGGAATTACTCCTGGCGGTGCTCAGGGGACCATATGGGATGCTGGGAATCGAACCTGGGTCGGCTGCGTGCAAGGCAAACACCCTACCTGCTGTGCTATCACTCCAGCCCCAATAATCCCCTTTTTAATTGTATTCCACCTTTAGTTATTTTCCAGATGTGATGGACTTACAGGCTATAGTCCCACATTATATTGAGGAAGATTTGTATTCTACTAATGAGTAGTCAAATGTCACTCTGTTTCACTTCAGTCATCTGAAAATGGGCTTAAATGTTTATTGTATTGTATTGTATTGTATTGTATTTTTGGGCCACACTCAGCCATGCCCAGGACTCACTCCTGGTAGAACTATTTGGGGTGCCAGAGATCAAACGCAAGTCGCCACATCCAAGGCAAGCACCTTACCTACTATCCTGTTGTTCCAGCCTTACTTAATCACTTAATCACTTAACTTCCCGTTAGTCGTCGATTTGCTCGAGCGGGCACCAGTAACGTCTCCATTTGTCCCTGTCACGTGCTAGTGTTGCCCAATGGCATCTGTTCGCTCCGGGAACATGAAGGGCCTCAAACCGATCGTTCATGATCTTGACGAAGAAGTCTGACCATCTGGTAGGTGGGCGGCCACGCGGTCTCTTGACATCCCGTGGAATCCAATCAGTAACAGCTCTAGTCCAACGGTCGTCTTTAAATCTCATTACGTGACCAGCCCATCTGATTTTCGACACCTTGGCAAATGAGACAGCGTCCCTGATCCTTGATCGTCGACGGATGTCAGAACTCCGGATTCGTTCTCTCATTTGAGTGAAACAATGAATGTTAAGCAGAGCGGCATTTTGAACTCCTGAGAAACTTCAATGAGCTTGGTTATCATGTGGATATGGTCGATGGTGCTGAATCCTTTGCGGAACCCGGCTTGCTCGCATGGTTGTCCTTCATCTAGTGTTCTGCCAATCCTATTCAGGATGACTCGAGTGAACAACTTGTAGACGACAGACAATAGGCAGATCGGGCGATAGTTGCCAATGTCATGGATGTCTCCCTTCTTGAACAGTAGTACGGTCCTACTGGTTTTCCATTGGGACGGAACCTTGCATTCAGACAGGTAGCGAGTGAAGAGCCGAGCCAGTGTATTGATGAGTATTCAGGTATTCAGGTATTCAGGTCTGACCTTGTCTGGGCCGGGTGCTGTTTGTTTCTTTACCGACGAAATGGAGTGTCGTATTTCGGAAGGGAGAACGTTGGGAACGACATATCCATCCTGTGAAATTCGGTATGTCGGCAAGTGGACATGGCTATCGGAGAGATTTGAGTAGAAGTCATGGATAATCTTCTCCATTGCCGTTCTGGAGGATGTGATGGATCCATCAGGACGTCGGGGGGCAGTCATCTTGGTCTTATAGTTGGCGAAGGACAGGCGGGCATTACGAATACTTTTCCCGGCTTCTGCTGCATCTACCAGTACTTCTGCTCTTCTCTCTTTGAGGTCTTCCTTGATCGCATCTCTGCACTGCTTTGCAAGCTCGGACATTAGCTTGCGGTTGCCTGAGGCATGTGCCAAACCACGCTGGCGAATTAGCTCAAGAGTTTTCAAAGATAGGCGACTTTTTGTGGCTATCTCTCTTTTGGCGTTCCTCGCACATTCATGGAGGTGCTGAACCAGTCGATCGTATTCCTCGTCAATGTTGTCAACAATGGCATCTTCCCATGTTGCCGCAATAGTACCAAAGAGTTCCCAGTTGGTAGTCATTCTGGGAGTTCTCTTTTTGAACTTTGCAGCCCTTTCTTCCCGCTTTGTGAAGTAGAATTTTGCACGAAGGAGACGGTGGTCCGATCCCGTTCGAAATTTTGGGACAACAGCGACATCAGTCAGGCAAAACCATCGATTGAATATGATGTGGTCTATTTCGTTGTGGAATCGTCCACCGTGAGACTCCCATGTCCATCGTTTAGATTCTGCCTTCTGGAACTGTGAGTTACCATGAATGGTCTTGGTCGACATGATGAACTCAGACAGTCTCTCACCCTGTTCGTTCCATTCTAGGCCATGGGTCCCGATGTGAAGTTCTTCAGCTGATCTTCTCGGTCCTATCTTGGCATTAAAATCAACCACAATGATCTTGTAGAAGGTGTGGTCTTCTTTATAGAACTTCTCTAGCTCCATGTAGAACTTCTCGATTTCTCTTTCATCATAATGAGATGTTGGTGCATAGACAACGAAGATAGAAACTGCAGGCAGTGAGCCACATCTATTCAAATGTAAACGTCCGATTCGGGTTGTTAGGCATTCGAATGAATCAATGCTCTTGGCCAAGTTTGTGTTGACAAGGACACCAACGCCTCCAACACCTCTTTTATCGCATGTTCCGAGGAACAATTCTTCTCCAGTGTCGAAAACGGCATGGTGAGATTCGTGCCTTCTTGTCTCGGTCAGACCAATGATGTCGTACTTGATCATTCGCGCTTGTACCATCAGGTCCTCAATGGATGCATCTGAAGCTAGCGTACGTGCATTGAAAGTACAGACGATCATTTTTGTCTTCCTTCGTTGTGGCAGCCTAGGTCGGCCTTGAGATTTTGTCGGCCTCTCCTTTCTCATCCTTCTCAGTGCTGCCATGTCGGTGAAGCCTTCAGGGTCAGGTGAATGAGACCAGTTGTAGTTACTGGTTTTGGCATATTGAATACACAGCGGATAGCTTGCCAGGCTCTTCCGTGCGGGCAGAATACTCTTGGTAGCTTGCCAGTCTTTCCGAGAGGGATAGAGGCTTTTGGGGTGACCTCTAATCACCCTTGTAGGTGTTACCATATTTGAACCCTATCAAATATGGTACGACAATTCCAGAAGATGGGTATTCAGTGTCTTATGATGTGTCGCGCGGCCGCTTGCGGCTGCGCAGGTCCAGAAAGCATCCTGGAGTGTGGCGACGGCTGGGTAGTGGAAGTAGTGTCGAGAGTGGAAGTCTGCCAGTGGGGTATTTATCTGGGTAGGGTGGGTCTCCTGTGCACAATTCGATCCCTGGGTGGTTGATGGAAGCAGACAGGGCAGGGTAGGGTGGGGCTCCTGATTAGAATCCCTTTGTCACCTGTGGTGGTGGGAGCAAGCAGAGGACACTACTTCCACTACCCAGCCGTCGCCACACTCCAGGACGCTTTCTGGACCCGCGCGGCAGCTCCGGCCGAGACCCACGCACAACTGAAGACCCACAGAACAAGATAAGCGGAACTCTCTGAGACCTTGGACTCCAGGCTCGGCGGACCCAGGGACAGAGCTTCTCCAGCCTTACAGGCTTAGGTTTTTAGAGATGATTTTCTTGGGTGGGTTTGGGCCACACCTGGTGGTGGTTAGGAGGTCATCTGGTGGCAGAGATCTAACCTGAGCTTTCTGGGGCTGCACTCAGACATTGAGTTATCACTCCAGCCCTGCTTTGTCTTCATGCTTTACTTTATTTTAAAGTTTATTTATGCTTTTTTGTCCTCCCTATTTCTGTTTTGATAAACCGGTTTGCTGTGCTCACTGTGGATCACGTTCTCGAGTTGCAGGATTGTGAGCCAGGCTTCCCGAATAGCAGGGGCACTGGGCTCAAACGGGGGCATGTGGGGCAGTCCTGGGCTGAGTCGCTGCCTCAGAAAAATTATCTCCAGTGTAGTCTGGAACTATTTTATTTTTGTTTTAAGGGGGTCACTACAGCAGGTAGGGCGTTTGCCTTGCACGTGGCCGACCTAGGTTTGATACAGGCACCCCCATCCGATCCCCTGAGCACTGCCAGGAGTAACCCCCTGAGTATCACTGGGTGTGACCCCAAAAGCCAAAAATATCATGATATATAAGGGGGTCACTCCTGGCAAATCTTGGCTCACCAGGTGTGTGGTTCGGTGGGAGGGCTGGATGATGAGGTGCTCAAGCCCTGCCATGCAAGTAATTACCCAGCCACCTCAGTGGTGCTCAGGAGACCATGTTATTCGAGGGTCCAACCAGGGTAAGCCACAGGCAAAGTATGTGTCTTGTCCCTGTACATGCTTTCTGGCCCCTATTTGTTTTGTTTTATGCTACTTTATGCCTTAACTCTTAAAAAGTGAGGACTTGGGAGTCAGCTCAAAGAACCAGAGTATCTGATTTGCACTTGAGATCCAGGATTCAATTCCCTGGTACCAAGGTACCAAGTACTGCCAGCATCAACTCCCAAACACCAAGCTAGGAACATCTTCTGCCCGTTGTGCCTCTCCCTCCCCTCTCAAAAAAAAAAAAACACACACACACACAAAAAAAATGAAAATAGAATAAAATATAAAGGCATAATATTATAAATTTATCTTTAAATAGATCACTGTCTTCCACATTGGATCAGATGAACAGCAAGAGATAGATGTAGCAATACTTACTGCACTGCTTAAAGGTAAGATTTAAGAACTTTATTCATAGTATCTTCCATTTATGTCCTATTCATATTAGATTGTACCTTTTAATTGGAAGCAAATTTTTCAATAGTTTTTTGCAGATACAATATTAACACTTTAGGGGTTTTTTTTGTTGTTGTTTATTAGTTACCTTTCATCTTTATTTCATAGAATACATTTTAGGTTTATAGTAGGAATGTGCCTCCAGTCACATTTATTGAACTCATTAAGATTATGTGTATAACGTTTTAAATGATGGAAAATAAGTATTTAATATGAATTTGTTCAAATGTGTAAGATGCACAAAAGAATTAAAAAAGAAAAAAAAAAAGCAAAAACTCTTAAGAAGAACAAAATGGTGGTGGTAAGATGAGAAAGGGAAGCAAGGCTGGATATACCCAATTAGGAGAATCAGTTTTATCATGGTGGATGAAAACTAGATTTTTGGGTGGTAATCACAATCTTGTATATGCATATGTTGAATTAAAAACAAAATCTGTGCTCCTGAAATGTACGTAATGTTTTAAACAAATGTCAACATAATTCCTCTCCCCCCCCCCCCCCGAAAAAATAGTGCAGTGAAGGTATTAATGGATAGAAGTTGAAGATAACATTTTAAAAATGTTACTTTCATCCTGAAGAGAAATTTGGAAAGATAACAAGTGGTTAAGTGGTTATCTTCTTCTAGGACTTAAACGTTTATACTCATGCAGATTAAAGTTTTCTTCTCATCTTTCCAAATATGTCTCCCTGATTCAGTAAATGTTATAATATCGAAATCTCTTTTAAAAAATTACGAAGTAAATTAGTATTCCACCTCAGGGTCTCAAAGTGAAAGGTCAGTAGCTGAACAGGAAAGCATTGTTAGCAGCTCTAAGAATTTACGAAGTACTAGATCTAATTAACTTCCAGTTGATACTATAATAATCACTGTCGCTCTCCTCCCATTGTTTATCGATTTGCTTAAGCGGGCCCAGTAACCTCTCCATTGTGAGACTTGTTGTTACTGTGTTTGGCACATCGACTACGTCACGGGTAGCTTGCCAGGCTTTGCCATCAGGCGAAATACTCTTGGGAGTTTGCCAGGCTCTCCAAGAGGGGCAGAGGAATCGAACTCGGGTCGACATGTTGGCCACCTGCAAGGCAAATGCCTTACCCACTGTGCTCCAGCCTGCTCTAGTAATCATGATCACGATCATCCGTTGTTGATTGCCTTGAGCAGGCACCAGTAACGTCTCCTTCATCCTAGCCCTGAGATTTTTAAGTGCCATATTCAAGGCTCTTTCAGGGGTAGTAGAATGAGACCCATCATTATTACTAGTATTTGGCATATTGGGTACACCACGGGGAGTTTGCCAGACTCTGCCGTGTGGGCAGGTTACATTTGGTAGCCTGCCAGGTTGTCCAAAGTAAGAATGAGATAATAAGATGTCACTTTCGAGAGCAGGGTTTTATAGTTCTCTGGGTCTTGGCCATTGATGGGATTACACAACGCGGAGGAGGGGGCGGGGGGTGGCAGTTGGTGGGTGTGACCCCTGCCTACTGGAAGATGGAGGATCTGGGTGGAGGATGCTCAGCCACCGATCTGAGCAGGCTTGGAGATCTCAGCCCCAGGACCCGCATGCCTTTGTTCCTCTGCCGGTACCTTCATGCATATGGAGAATGGTCTCAGCATGGTTGTGGCTGGTTCTGGAGGTCTTTGGCTGCCAGAGCTCTGCTCAGGGCAGGGAGGGAAACTCAACCCGCCCCCCCTCTAAGGGGCCCTGGTGAGGACAGCCAGGCGTGGGGGCAGGAGACTCTGCTATAGTAATATAGAAGATAATTATATCATCTTGAATAATTTGTAAGTAATGGGAAACAAGAAATCACAAAGGGGAAAGGATCTTGAAATTTGATAAAAATGAAAAATAGGGGGGCTGGAGCTATAGTACAACAGGTAGGGCATTTGCCTTGCATGCGGCCAACCCAGGTCCAATCTCCAGCATCCCATGTGGTTCCCTGAGCACCGCCGGGAATGATTCCTGAGTGCAGAGCTAGGAGTAACCCCGCTGCGTGTGATCCAAAAAGCAAAAACCCAAAAATATAAATGAAAAATAGAAGAAAAAGTCCAATATTTGCCATACTTTCCTATGTGTGTGTGCTACCCCTTGTGCTTTTAGTGCTTTGTACTCATCAGCACTTTTTTTCCCCCAAAGGTTTGGGGCCAACCCGGTTGTGCTCAGGGCTTACTCCTGGCTCTGTGCTCAGGGATCATTCCTGGTGGTGCTCAGGAGGACCATTGGGTGCCGGGGATCAAACCTGGGTCAGTCACAAGCGAGGCAATATGTCCTGGCCACCATACTTTTGCTCTGGCCGCTCTTGATTACAGTTTAACCTTATAGCGGCCTGAAGAGACAAGTTTGTCCTTTTCATCATTTTCTACATAAGAAAACTAAGTGGTAGAACTGCTAACAAGAAGGAATCATAAAGAATGTTACAAGTTAATACGACCATAAATGCCTTGTGGAAAAGTGAGTTAGAACTTTGATGAAAGTTATCCAGGGCCAGAGTTTTAACTCACAGTTGTGGATCTTTTGCCTCTCGTTCCCCAGGCCCAGAGCTCAATCCTTGGTCCCTCATGACCCACACTGGGTGTGACAGCCACGGCTTCGTCTGAATACCCCTAGAGCGACCCAGGTGGCCTCTGGCACTGTTCGACCTATAGAGCCAAGAATCCTTTTGGTCTCCCTCCGCTTAGCATCATTGGGGGTCTCCCCTCAAGAAAAGACATTAGCAGAATGACACACGTGCTTAGGTGCAATGTGGAAATTTGATCAGTGTTAAGGTTTTCTATAAAGTACCCATAAGGGTGCTGGAGTGATAGCACAGCGGGTAGGGCATTTGCCTTGCATGCGGCCAACCCGGGTTCAATTCCCAGAATCCCATATGGTCCCCTGAGCACTGCCAGGAGTAATTCCTGAGTGCATGAACCAGGAGTAACCCCTGTTTGTCGCTGGGTATGACCCAAAAAGCAAATAATAATAATAATAAGCCCGGCAAGCTACCGAGAGTATCTCGGCCGCATGGCAGAGCCTGGCAAGCTCCCCGTGACGTATTCGATATGCCAAACACAGTAACAGTATTAATAATAATAATAATAATAATAAAGTACCCATAAGGACTTGGGTGATGGTTCTGAACACTGGCTTCAATTCCCATCAAAATGTAATTACTCTAGCACCACCAGGAGCAGCCCCTGAGCACCCCTGGAAACAAAAACAAAACTGTGGAAATCAGTCAAGGCTGAGAAGTTAGCGGAAAGGGCCAGTGTGCAAACTTTACCTGTCGGAGGCCTGGTTTGATTGCTGGCACCACATGATCCCCTGAATACAGCCTGGAGCGAGAACCTCAGTTCAAGCCTTGCACTGGGAGCACTTTATAAACACCACCTTGTGTGACCCAAAAACTGAAAAAGAAAAGAGAAAGTAAATTTAAAACATAAACCTTTGGAGCCAGAGATAGTATAGCGGGTAAGGCACCTGCCTCAAATGTGGCCAGTCTTATTTCAATCCCCAGCATCCCATATGATCCCCTTAACGCCGAAATTCGTGAGTGCAGAGCCAGGAGTAATTCCTGAGCAATGGTTTCACCCAAAAACAACAAATTAAAAAGAATTATTAAACTATATGTCCTGCTGAGGATGTGCTTCTGTGATGGAATTGATTGTTATGATTCCAGGATCGCTAGGTTCTGTCCTCAGGACTGCAAAACCAAAAATTGGAACTGGGAATGTTATTCTTTGGTAGAGTACTTGCTTCATATTCTTAAGGCTCTGGCACTGCAGAAAATAAAGTATGGGTTTTTTCCCTACAGAATTAAATAAACAAGCAAAAAAAAGTACTCACCAAAAAATCAAATGTAAATCAAATATCACACTTTCAGAAGACTAAGGTATACTGTTAATGTGTATGATTTACACTCAGTTTGTAGGCTATTTTTTTTTTTAATGAATTCAACTATATTTATTTGCCTGGACACAAAAAAAGCACCAGTAAGGACTTACTTCATAATCTAAGTTAGTATTACCTCTATGTTAGAAACAAATTATCCTTGAACTTCTTATTGTTGACTTATTTGCAGTGAATGAGGCTATGTCTTTTCTGTGATTGGAAATTAAAAGTTTTGAAACCTGGGGGTAGTCTTGTCTTTTTGAATCAGGCTGCATCTGAAGAGTGACTGACACCAGCTATGTAAAATAATTAAGCGGGAATATGAAACAACTAATCAGTACTCACATTTTCATGAACAGCAGATTGAACTTGTCTCTGTTCTTGATTGGTTAGGTACCAATGCATCTGCATTTGACCAGCTTATCCTTACATTGGCATGGGATCGAGTTGACATTGCCAAAAATCATGTATTTGTTTATGGACAGCAGTGGCTGGTATGTAAATAATCTATGTGCACTATGTAATTGAATTAATAGTGAAATATTTGTTGGAGCTGTTACCTTGATGTTTTTATCTGTCTGCTGAAGTATAAAATTTGTTTAGGTAAACACATCTGGAACATCAGCTACATTTAGGATTTCATAAGTTCTTCTGTTTGCTCCTGATAAAACTTTGTTTAATTGGGTTTGTAAGTCTGTTAAAAAAATCTTAGACCCATGGGGGCCAGAGCAATACAGTGAATAAAAAGTTTGTCTCGGGTACAGCCCGACGTGGGTTCAATCCATTGTACCCCATACTGTCCCTCTTGCCCACAGGAGTGATCCCTGAGTATAGGAATAAGCCCTGAACACTACCAGGTATGGCCCCCACTACCTCCTCCCCCAAAAAAAGAAAAGAAAAAAGAAATTGTCCTCTATGTATAAGAGAAATCAATATAGCAATCTTTTGGACATTTAGACCAGTTCCTGGTTAAGTTTGTTACATCTTAATAAATGAAAAGGACCATTTACTAGCTTCTGAGATGAGAAACTATTACCATCTTTTACTTTTCTCTTTCTCAGATTCCAGTGCATTTACAAATATAAGACTAGATATACTTGAAAATACTTCATTTTAATCACCCTAGTATAATATGTTACCATTTAAAAGAGTATTTTAATTATAGCCTGATTGCTTTTCTTATACTTACTCTTTCTTCCTTTCACACAATCTCATCACATTTACCCAGAGCCTTGTAATGAAGGCTTTATGCTTTTCTTGTCTTACATATTACCGTCTTCCCCCTTTGCTCTCTTTTTTTGGTAGCCATGATGGCCAACTTGTTGTTGAAATTGTTCTCTCTCTCTCTCTCTACCTCCCTCCCTTCCCCTCCCTCTCTCCCTCTCTGCCCTCCTCTCCCCCCCTTCCTCCTCCTCTCCCCAACATCAAACCAAATTTGCTTTCTCTCTCTTTCTCTCCTCCCTCCCCCTCCCAATAAAACATAAAGTCAAATTTGCTTTCTCTTCTGTCTGATCGCTAATCAAGTGTTAACTCCTTGATTAGACATTCATTGCCCTGCCTACTTGAATAGAGTCTCATACAGAGGACACCTGGCAGTACTCATGGGATCACTGTGGTACTGAGACTAGAATAATGTGCCTTTACACCTGTATCAACTCTCTGGTCCATCATAGCTTGCTTGCTTGCTTGCTTGCTTGCTTGCTTGCTTGCTTGCTTTCTTTCTTTCTTTCTTTCTTTCTTTCTTTCTTTCTTTCTTTCGCGTCACACCCAGTGATGGTTAAGGGCTATTCCTGGCTCTGCATTCGGGAATTATTCCTGGCAGTGCTTGGGGCACCATATGAGATACCCAGAATTGAACCTGGGTCGACCACATGCAAGGCAAACGCCCTACCCACTATACTGGGGCTCCGCCCCTGATATAATATTTTCTTATTCTTTACTAACACTGTATTCTTCATAGCCTTTTTTGGTTTTGTTTCTGATTTTGGAGCCACACTTGGTGATGCTCAGGAGCTGCTCCTTGCTCTACACTCATCCTTAACAACATAACTTCTAAGTTATGGCAGTGCTCTGGGGACCACGTGGAATGCTGGGAAGAGAACCCAGGTTGGCAGCTTTAAGGCAGATGCCTCCCTGCTGTAGTCTCTCTCCAGCCCCAAACTTTGCATTTTTGCTCTCTGTGTATCTCTGTATTACAGAGTAAATTTTATGAAAGCAAGAATATATTTCATTGTTCTTCTAATCCCAGTCCAGATTAAGTGCTTCACAAGTAATTGTTACATGTCTAAATCAGTAGAAGGCCTGTAAATTAATATTTATCTATACTTTAAAGTATTATCTAGCTTTCATCAGAGAAGCCATATCTTTTCTCCCTACATAAATGTGAAATTGTAGAAAAGTTTGTGTAAGCTAATCTTAATTGAGGACTACCCTATTTTTGCATTTTGCATATCTACATACACTGTGGTCATACAACACTCTTCTGGAAACTCTTAAATCAGAGAGGCAGACCGGAGGAGTTAAGCTTATATTTTGTACCGTTCTCTTCATAGATCTTTGGCTTACATAAATAGAATGTGTAAAAGTATTTATTGATTTTGTTACTCTTTTAGGTTGGATCTTTGGAACAAGCAATGCTTGATGCGCTTGTAATGGACAGAGTTTCATTTGTAAAACTTCTTATTGAAAATGGAGTAAGCATGCACAAATTTCTTACCATTCCTAGACTGGAAGAACTTTACAATACTGTAAGTACATATTAAAATTCTGTGTTGACTTTGGGACTTGAAAAAGCCATTCTAAAGACATTATGCTTGTTGATATTTTCTATATTAGAATATAGGGCTAAATTTTAAAATATTAGATTGCATTTAAGGAACAGTAACAAATCTTTCAGATGTTAAATCTCCCCCCCCCAAAAAAAATTTACAAAATTTAATGAAAGTTTTTTTTAAGTCTTTGTAATTTTGTCTGACTTTGTATTTGCTTTTAAATTTAAACTTAGAGTATCATACATCAAGATATTCCATTATCATTGAGAAAATGAGAAGGAAAAATACACTTGATATTTTAACTTGATTTTGAAAATACTTTGATCCTGTGGAGTTTCTGGTAGGATGTTGGGGACTTTCAGAGTTCCCAGACCTACTTTGAGAACTTCTATTAAAATCTTTATACAGAGAAGTTATGTTTAATGAATAAACATTCATGTATTAAGATAAAATCTAGTTCCAAAAATTACATTTCTGTGTGCTTATATAATGTCAGAGAAAAATGCACTGAAACTCCCTAATGCCTAAAAATTATTCAGTACGTCATAGCAGTTTATCAAACAGTTTTTAAAAATTGTTCACATATAGGATAAAATAAGCAGAGAATATTCAGTTTCTGTGTGAATAGACTGAATGATGTAAAACAGAGAAAATAAAGTATAGCTTATACATTATCATCTTCAGATAGTTCACAGAATTTAAAGATGGACTATCAAAATTTTGTTTGCCAAAAAAATGTAGTTTGCCTAGAGTTTATAGTATTTCATGTCAAAATGGAAAAGTAGGTTGAATTGATAAACTTTTAAATATTAACAATTATAATGGTAGAAAAGTTTCCTTTGAAATTTCTTTGAAACAATGGATTTGATTTATTAAAAGTTAGTCTCTTGATTTATTCTTAAGAATTTGTTAGCTTGGGAGGGATGATGGGACCCATGGTGGTGGAGGATGGGCACTGGTGGAGGGATGGGTACTTGATCACTGTATAACTGAAACCCAAGCACAAAAATTTGTAAGTCTATAACTGTACCTCATGGCATTTCACTAATTGTAAAGGTAAAGGTAAAGGCCCTCCCGTTGATCATCGATTTGCTCGAGCGGGCCCAGTAACGTCTCCATTGGAGACTTTGTTGTTACTGTGTTTGGCATATCGAATACATCACGGGGAGCTTGCCAGGCTCTGCCGTGCGGGCGAGATACTCTCGGTAGCTTGCCGGGCTCTCCGAGAGGGGCGGAGGAATCGAACTCGGGTCAGCCACGTTGGCTGCGTGTAAGGCAAATGCCCTACCGCTGTGCTATCGCTCCAGCCCTAATTTAAAAAATAAATAATTTGTTAGCCTATTTTTGATCAAAAAACTTTTGAAGAATGTATTTTGAGCCTTTTACCTCAGTTTTGATAAGGGAAATATGCTTCTGGGTGGTTTTTCAAAATTTAGGTTACCATCAAATAAGAATACTATAAAATGAAACATATTTCGCCTGAAGTATACATAAGTAGAAAATAAGGTAATAAGGAGAAGATGGCATATACATAAATATTAAAAGCTAGATGGTTCGGGACTGGAGCGATAGCACAGCGGGTAGGGTGTTTGCCTTGCACGCAGCCAACATGGCCGACACAGGTTTGATTCCCAGCACCCCATATGGTCCCCCGAGCACCGCCAGGAGTAATTCCTGAGTGCATGAGCCAGGAATAACCCCTGAGCATCGCTGGGTGTGACCCAAAAAGCAAAAAAAAAAAAAAAATCTAGATGGTTCAAGTTTGATTAGTGGTAGGAAGAGACTTGGGCTAGAGAGACAGGACAGCAGGAAGGGCACTTGCTTTCTTAGCATGTAGCCAACCTGAGTTCGATCCCTGGCATCCCATATGGCTCCCTGAGCCTGCAAGAAGTGATTCCTGAGTGTAGGAGTAAACCCCTGAATATTGCTGAGTATGGCCCAAAACCCCCAGAAAAGATAAAGACAGACTTTTTAACAAGAAACAACATACACCTTCATCATCATTGGAAGAACAACAAACTTAAATCTAAGATATGTTTGTAAAGGCTGCACATATTGGCATGGCTTTTAGAAAATAAAAGTATTACAAATTATGGGGCTGGAGTGATCGCATAGCGGGTAGGGCTCTTGCCTTGCACACAGCTGACCCAGGTTCAATTCCCAGCATCCCATATGGTCTCACAAGCACCACCAGGAGTAATTCCTGAGTGCAGAGCCAGGAGTGATCCCTGAGCATCCCTGGGTGTGACCCAAAAAGCAAAAAACCAAAACAAAACAAAAAAACAGTATTACAAATTATGCATTGTATTGATGGTAAGCATGACAACATAACATTGTTACAGCTTCCATGTTGTGAACAAAATTTATTTGACTTTGACACTATATAATTTTGTACAAGTAATTTAATGAAAGGCCTATAAATAAAAAAGTTGTTGATGTTATTTTAGAAGATAAGTAATAGTTTCTTTTTATTTATTTTTTCCTAAAGAAACAAGGTCCAACTAATCCAATGCTATTTCACCTTGTTCGAGATGTGAAACAGGTAAGGCATCATTTTTGATTTTTTTGTTTTGTTTTGTTTTTAAATGTTGTTTGCAAAAACCATTTCTATCTTGCCAGTGTCCCAAAAAACTTAGAAATAGAACCTAGAATTTTTTTATAACATCTTCTAAAATTAGGACTAACTTTATTGTGAGATAGGAGTAAAGACCAATAGAAACCACGAAAAAGAATAGTACAGAATTAAGCCAAGTTTTCAGTAATTTGAGATAAAAGTGAGAAGAATTTTACAATACTCCAGTATTTACAATACTCCAGTGAAATATTTCAGTCCATAATGTCCATACAGGAGATCATTGGCAGTGTATCTTCTTTGTGTTTCAAGAAATTAATTTTTCCTGGCACTGTAAATAAAATTTATTTTCATTGAGGGAAATAACAATGGTGGTCTTCAGGGGACGTTTGTTTCTTTTCTTGTCTGTTGCTTTGTATTATTTTGATTCATTGTGGGTTGTACACTAGGTCATGTTGCCGCACAGTTGGCTGTTGTGTGTGGATTATACCAGCAAAGCCAGGAATTTAACTCAGACACAGTGTGGGGTGGTGCGGGGCAGGTGCTCTACCAGTAATCCCCAGGCTGTTCCAAGGCAAGTTTTTCCAATAAAAATGCTGAGATGTATACTTTTCCTTCCTTTTTTTAATCCAGGGTTGACAGTGACTAAATATATAATACTGATTTTTCAATCTCAGGCCATTCTGTAGCAACTAAACTTGATACACTGATAATTTTCTTTTGGGGTATTTTGTGAAGTAATAGTTCTAAAATTCATAGTCATTTAAAACAATTTTTTATGAAGACACTGATTACAGAGTTGTTCATAATGGAGTTACTTAAGGTATACAATATTCCCAGTCTCACCACCAATGTCCCCCCACCCCAAGTTTGCCCTTTGGTAGGCATATAACAAATTTATTTCATATTATTTGCACAAACAAACTTAAAGGAATGGCAAATGGAATTATCAGAAAATGTATTAATAAAAGTTCATTTGTGATGATTAATTGCTGTGCTTTTAACCTTTCTTAATCTAATAGAAGGCAACCATACGCACCATTAGTGAGTTCCATGCTCAACTGCCACATGTTGGGAAGTTTCTTCTGTACTTAAAAGAGCCCTTTGAATGCTTCTTCCAAAACTGATTTCAAGATTACGAATTCCGTATGCAGTTACAGTCTCATTTAGAAACATGATACTCGTAGCATTATTTTTTGTAGGAGAATAATTCATGTATGCCATCTTGAAATGGAATATTTGACTCGTAGAAGTTGCTTATGGGGAGTTAAAGGAACAAGTTGCTTAGCCCCTTTATAAATTCAGGAAATGAAGATATCACATTGTCTTTTTGCTGTATTCTGTGGTCTGTGAGCCATAACTTTTGAGATCTCAGACCTTCAAACCCCCGTCTACAAAGGGAAACCCTGCAGCAGATCTCTTCTCTAAAGATAGTTCGTGTTAGGAAAAATGAAGTTATGAAATTTGCCTCTAAATGGTTAGACGTGGAGAGTATCATGCTAAGTGAAATGAGTCAGAAGGAGAGGGACAGATATAGAATTACTGCATTCATTTGTGGTATATAAAAATATATATATAGTAGAAGACTAATATCCATGGCCAGGGAAAACAGGGATTAGGAAGACCGGTCAGTGGTTGGAACTATCCACAAGTATGTGTGGGGGTGAGGGTAGATAAGATAGAGAAGAGACCAGTATGACAATAATAGCTGGGAATGATCACACTGGACAAGATCTGAGGATTAAAAGTAGGTAAAGGGATATTCTTTATAACTTTTCAACATCAATATTGCAAGCCACAGTGCCCAAAGTAGGGGTTGGGGAAGGAGAGAGGAGGGGAAAGGAAAAAAGCACCTGCCATAGAGGCAGATGGGGATGATGGGAGGGAACCTGGGGGACACTAGTGCTGGGAAATATACAGTGGTGGAAGGATGGGTGTTGGAATACTGTATGACTGAAATCCAATCATGAACTTGTAAGGGTCTGTCTCACAATGATTCAATAAAAAAGTTAAGGGGCTGGAGCAATAGCACAGCGGGTAGGGCGTTTACCTTGCACCGGGTTCAATTCCCGGTGACCCATATGGTCCCCTGAGTACTGCCAGGAGTGATTCCTGGGTGCAGAGCCAGAAGTAACCCATGAGCATCGCCGGGTGTGACCCATAAAGCACTTAATCACTTAACTTTCCGTTAATCGTCGATTTGCTCGAGCGGGCGCCAGTAACATATCCATTTGTCCCTGTCGCGTGCTAGTGTGGCCCAATGGCGTCTGTTCGCTCTGGGAACATGAAGAGCCTCAAACTGATCGTTCATGATCTTGATGAAGAAGTCTGACCGTCTGGTAGGTGGGCAGCCACGCAGTCTTTTGACATCCCGTGGAATCCAGTCCGTAATAGCTCTAGTCCAGCGGTCGTCTTTAAATCTCATTACGTGACCAGCCCATCTGAGTTTTGACACCTTGGCAAACGAGACAGCATCCCTGAGTTTTGATCATCGACGGATATCAGAACTCCAGATTCTTTCTCTCATTTGAGTGAAACATGATATTCCAAGCATAGCTCTTTCAATTCCTCTTTGGGAGACCCGAATAGTGTTCTCATCCTGGTTGTATAGGGCCCAGGTCTCTGAGGCATATGTTAATGCAGGAAAAACAGTGGAATCAAAGAGATGTGCCCGGATCCAGAGGTTCTTCATCCTCTTAGCTATTTCGTCAACGCTCTTGAAGGCGTTCCAAGCCGCTCTCTTCCTCCTGCGCAGCTCGGGTGCCAGGTCATTTGTCATGTTGACTTCTCGACCTAGGTACACATAGCTGTTGCATTCAGAGATGGTTGTTCCGTTGAGAGCGAATGGGGCATCAGGAACAAGGCTGTTTCTCATAAACATTGTCTTCGTAAGATTCAGCTGTAGTCCGACCTTTCCACATTCACGGTCAAAGTCGTTCAGCATTTGTGCCGCTTGGCTGATGTTTGGTGTTATTAGAACCATGTCATCAGCAAAGCGGAGGTGGTGTAGTTGCCGACCATCTATCTTCACTCCCATTCCTTCCCATTCCGGTCGTCGCATGATGTTCTCGAGGGTGGCACTGAAGAGTTTCGGTGAAATGGTATCACCCTGCCGCACCCCTCTCTTGACGTCAACGATCACTTCTTTGTAGAATGGTGAGATCCTGGTAGTGAATCCGCAATACAGCTCACGGAGGATCCTGATGTATTGGGCTTGAATGCCCTGATTGGCTAGGGCTTCAATGACCGCTTCCGTCTCAACAGAATCAAAGGCCTTCTTTAAGTCAATGAACGTTAAACAGAGCGGCATCTTGAACTCCCGAGAAACCTCAATGAGCTTGGTTATCGTGTGGATATGGTCGATGGTGCTGAATCCTTTGCGGAACCCGGCTTGCTCGCATGGTTGTCCTTCATCTAGTGTTCTGCCAATCCTATTTAGGATGACTCGAGTGAACAACTTGTAGATGACAGACAATAGGCAGATCGGGCGATAGTTGCCAATGTCATGGATGTCTCCCTTCTTGAACAGTAGTACGGTCCTGCTGGTTTTCCATTGGGACGGAACCTTGCATTCAGACAGGTAGCGAGTGAAGAGCCGAGCCAGTGTATTGATGAGTACTAACGGCAGGTTCTTCAGGTGTTCAGTCTGACCTTGTCTGGGCCGGGTGCTGTTTGTTTCTTTACCGACGAAATGGCGTGTCGGATTTCGGAAGGGAGAACGTTGGGAACGACATATCCATCCTGTGGAATTTGGTATGTCGGCAAGTGGACATGGCTATCGAAGAGATTTGAGAAAGGAGAGACTGATAAAATCTCAAGACCCAAAAAGCAAAAAAAAAAAAAAATAGCTGTCACAATTGGGCTTCCTATAACAACTATTATTATTTGTGGAGTAGGCAATTCCTGAGTATATCATGGAATTACTGAGAAATATTATTCCTTTTGATTTACAATTACTTTTTCTTTTGCAGGGAAACCTTCCTCCAGGATATAAAATCACTCTAATTGATATAGGACTTGTTATTGAATATCTAATGGGAGGAACCTATAGATGCACCTATACTCGGAAGCGTTTTCGATTAATATATAATAGCCTTGGTGGAAATAACCGGGTATGTAATATATTGGCGGACATGTATGTACTTTAAAATTGACTCATACACCTTGAAAGTGAAAATGTTCTTAATAGGATACTGAAAGTAGTGTTGTCCTTAAAAATACGAGACTTTAAGATTGTAATAACAATAAAATGTAATTCAAATTCCTATAAAAAGCATGTATGTGTTACTGTACACATACTTTGAAGTATATAAAGACTTATTTTTGAATTTTTGTAATTAGCACATTTAAACCCATAAAAACAAAAAAGCCTTTGTTTCCAGAGGTCTGGCCGGAATACCTCCAGCAGCACCCCTCAGTTGCGAAAGAGTCATGAATCTTTTGGCAATAGAGCAGATAAAAAGGAAAAAATGAGACATAATCATTTTATTAAAACAGCACAGCCCTACCGACCAAAGGTATATTTCTTTAAATACTACCTTTTCTATATTCTGGATTGTGTTCTAGATCATTACTTGATATTATGAAATAAAAAAATATTGGCTTTAATAGGAATTATTTTGATTTTAGATATCTTTCTTTCTTTTCCCATGTACAATTACTGTGAACTAAGTTTCTTATATGTAACTATGGTAAAACCAGATTTTAAAAAAAAATGACAAATGCTTAACTGCCTAATTTCTTACTCCATTTTACTTACTTGACCACGGATAAGAGGTGTTAACTAAACTTTTATTAAGATTATGATTTTTTTACCAGCTACTAGTTAAAATGTCTAGGTCCTTTCTTTAATCTTGGCAATAATGTTTTTATGAAGACTTTTCCTTTTTTGGAAGTGCCGTTTTTTAATGATGAATTTTGAGCTATAATAAAAGCCACATATGTGAAATATATATAGTATTCCTATTTGTGCAGCTTCATGAAATTGAAGAATAGTGTTGAGATTTTATAAAGATTATCATTAGCTTGAATATCATATGGCCGTATTATAGTGAACCTTCTAATTTGTATTTTCCTTTGAAGATTGATACAACTATGGATGAAGGAAAAAAGAAAAGAACCAAAGATGAAATTGTAGATATTGATGACCCAGAAACCAAGCGCTTCCCTTACCCACTTAATGAACTGTTGATTTGGGCATGTCTTATGAAGAGGCAGGTTATGGCTCGTTTTCTCTGGCAGCATGGTGAAGAATCAATGGCTAAAGCATTAGTCGCCTGTAAGATCTATCGTTCAATGGCATATGAAGCAAAGCAGAGTGACCTTGTAGATGATACTTCAGAGGAATTGAAGCAGTATTCTAAGTGAGTATTTATTTGACACATTAAATACTTGAGACATTTTGAAAATACAAAATTGGCATGCTGAAGCAATAATAGTATGATGGGCAGGATTCTTGCCTTGTATGCAGCCAACCCAGATTATACTATATGGTCCCCTGAGCACTGCCAGGATTGATCCCTTTACACAGAGCCAGGAGTGAGCCCTGAACATCGCTGGGTATGGCCCCAAAACCAAAAAATAAAATATGAAATAGAGCATATGTTCAGCTGGAGCTTATAACAGGGATATGTGTATTTATGTATAACTTTATTGGCATAATTAAAAGTTTTTAAAAATATATTAAGTACGGCTAAAGAGATAGTACAGCAGGTAGGGCACTTGCCTGGCTCCCAGTTAACCAGGGTTTGATCCCCGGCACTTGTGTATGGCTCCACAAGCCACATAGGGTTGATTCCTGACCAAGGGCCATAAGTAAGCCCTGAGCACTGTCAAGTGTGGCCCAAAAACCCAACCAATAAATAAATAGACTTTTTTTTTTTTAGTTAGAAACTCTGTTGCTTTTGTGTGTGTGTGTGTGTGTGTGTGTGTGAGAAATCGGCTGTTGTTAAAGTTTGCAGTCCAAAAATTTCTATAAGAAATGCCAGGTGCCAGTTTAACAATCACATATGCTAGTAGATTAGAAAAAGTCATATTTGGGGGCCAGAATGATAGTACAGTGGGTAGGTCTTTGACTTGCATGCGGCTGACCCGGGTTCAATCCCCAGAATCCCATATGGTTCCCCAAGCACTGCCAGGAGTAATTCCTGAGTGCTGAGCCAGGAACCCCTGAGCATTGCTGGGTGTGGCGGAGGGAGGGAGGGAAGAAAGAGGGAGAGGGAGAGATTGATTTGAAGCATTATGGAAAGAAGATTTAATCTGGGCCCAACGAAATAAGTTTAATTCAACTAGAAGAGCATTTTGGGTGGTAGGATAATATACACAAGCTATAAAACTGCGTTTGATGCTTTTTGATAGGAACTTTCTTCCCAAATTGGTCCTTTTTCGTAGAGAGCGAGGTTAGTTATTAAAAAAGAATTCAAGCAGGGATCACAAAGGTATTTAAGATTCAGATTGTTTTTTATGTTTAGGTTACTTCCTGTTTACGTGTTTGTTCCCTGATGGGTGCCAATTCTTATGTCGAGTGATGTATAGAGACTTTCTGAACAGAGCACTGTGGTTAAGATTGTCAGCTTGACTTTCCTATGAGACTGTAGCTTTGTTTTTAGGATCAGAAGGAAAGTGCTTTGAGAAATACCCTGATTCTTCAGTCCTGGGTTTTTCTGTTTGTTTTGCTTTTTGTGTCACACCCAATGATGCTCAGAGGTTACTCCTGGCTCTGCACTCAGGAATTACCCCTGGTGATGCTCAGGGGACCATATGGGATGGAGGGGATCAAACCTGGGTTGGCCGCATGCAAGGCAAACTCCCTTCCCTCTGTACTATCTCTCTGGCCCTCAGTTGTGTTCTTGATGTGACATGGTTTTCACATAATAGTACATATCTAAAAACATAATTCCTGGTAGTTTCTTGACTCTGAAATATTTAAAAGTGGAGCATATTCTGAATGCATTTTAAATGGTTTAAAACAATTTGGTAAACTCTTGATGTTTTTGGCTTTTATCTTTTGACAGTGATTTTGGTCAGTTGGCAGTGGAATTATTAGAACAATCTTTCAGACAAGATGAAACCATGGCTATGAAATTGCTCACTTATGAACTGAAAAACTGGAGTAATTCCACCTGCCTTAAATTAGCAGTTTCTTCAAGACTTAGACCTTTTGTAGCCCACACCTGTACACAAATGTTGTTATCTGATATGTGGATGGGAAGGCTGAATATGAGGAAAAATTCCTGGTACAAGGTATATATTGAAGCAATTTGATAATGAAGTATGTGATAAGAATAAAAGAAGAGAGAAATTTAATTTTTTTCTTTTGGCCACATGTAGTTTGCGCAGGGGTTATTCAGAGATCATCTCTGACATTGCTTGGGGCGTTGCCAAGGTCAGCTGATGCAAGGCAAGCTTGCTGTCTACTCTGCTGTCTCTCTGCCACCTCCCCCCGCCGCCCGACTGCCTTTTCTTAGGAGGGGGGATCAGTAATATTTGATGCTTTGCAAAGAGATTCAGGAATAAAACTTAAGCACTGTAGCACTGTCCTCCCATTGTTCATTGATTTGCTCAAACGAGCCCAGTAACCTCTCCATTGTGAGACTTGTTGTTACTGTGTTTGGCATATCGAATACATCACGGGGAGCTTGCCAGGCTTTGCCATGCGGGTGAGATACTCTTGGTAGCTTGCCGGGCTCTCCGAGAGGGACAGAGGAATCAAACCTGGGCCAACCGGGTTGCTTGGCCTCATGCAAGGCAAACACCTTACCCCTGTGCTGTCGCTCCAGCCCAAAACTTAATCTTAATTTAATAAGACCTGAGTTTTGTTTAAGGAAAAAAAGGTTTTTTTTTCTGGTCAGAGTAATCTGATGATTTTTTTAAATATGTGGGGGTGTGGAGTTGGACCACAGCTGGCAGTGCTTAGGGCTTTTCCTGACTCTGTGCTCAGAAGTGATCCCCAACAGTGCTTGAGAGGATGGTTTTTTTTTTCTGTTTGGTTTTTATTTATTTGGGGGTGGGGGCATATTTAATGCCAAGGATCAGACTTGCCACAGCTGCATTGAAAGGCAAGCGCCTTAATCCTGTACCTTCTCTCTGACCCTGATATACGATTCTTAAGAGTCTCTGATAATGACTATATCTTTTTTTCTGCCTTCATATAAGTTTTGTTTATTCTTAGAAACAATTCAAGTGTCTCTCTAAATAGTTAAGGAAAGTGAAGGGGTTTTTTTTCCCCTTACCCTTCGAAGAGCAAAACAGCTACTACTATTTAGTGAATTTGTGTTGCTTTATAGTCTTGATAATATTCTTTAATTAGTTTAAAATGCAAATACTTGTTTTTACATTTTTAGGTTATTTTAAGCATTTTAGTTCCACCTGCTATACTAATGCTAGAGTATAAAACTAAGGCTGAAATGTCCCATATTCCACAATCCCAAGATGCCCATCAAATGACAATGGAGGATAGTGAAAACAACTTTCAGAACATAGCAGAAGAGATACCCATGGTAAGAAGGAAAACAATTTAAATAAATGCAAATTAATGTGGGTAAATATACAGTAACTATTCTTTTTATTTATTTTAGGAAGTGTTTAAAGAAGTAAGAATATTGGACAGCAGTGAAGGAAAGAATGAAATGGAAATACAAATAAAATCAAAAAAGCTTCCAATCACACGAAAGTTTTATGCCTTTTATCATGCACCAATTGTAAAATTCTGGTTTAACACGGTATGATTTTTAATTGAGCATATTTTTTTTTTCCTTAGACCTTCTTTCTGACTAGAGTTCGTGCTAATCTTGATAAAACATAGATCACTGAAAAGCCAATTGCCATTTTATCTATTTATTTTTATCTTTTTGACTTGGGTCATAACCTGCAGTGCTCTGGCGTTACTCCTGGCTCTGCACTCAGGAATTATTCCTGGCAGTGCTTGGGGGACCCTATTCAATGCTGGGAATCAAAACAGATTGGCAGCTTTATGCAAGGCAAATACCCTACCTGCTGTACTATCGCTCTGGCCCCCATTTACCATTTTAAAGAGTAGTAAGTTTGGCTTGGTTTCATGCACACGTGCAAATCTTGGTCAGCTCTGATTGAAACTAGAAACTTGCAAAACACAGTTGATCATATACCTTAGTAGTAAATGCAAATCATCTTCTAAAAATATTGATTATGGGGGCCTGGAGCAATAGAACAGCAGGTAGAGTGCTTGTTTTGCATGGAACTAAACTGGGTTCAATCACCGGCATCTCATATAATCTCTCAACTATCACCAGGAGTAATTCCTGAGCAGAGAGACAGGAGTAACTGACCCCAGAGCATTGTCTGTTGTGGCCCCAAACCCCCAAAATAAAAATATTTAAAAAATGAAAACACTGATGTGGTTAACTGACAAGAGTCTGACACACTCTTATGATTTCTTTGTGCTTTAGGATTTTGCAGGTAAAGTGTAACATTTTGGAAATGCACCTGTTTTTCACTTAATTGATGATGGTGAAAAATAATTTAGATCAGTGTTCTCCAGTCTCTTTACATCTATGGACTGGCAACTCTCCTGCAAACAGGTCCATGGACTGTCAGTTACAACCACTGCAGTAGACCAGTGGTTGAAAAATGATGATCTAGATTCTGTAGGTGATATGTTCCTTCTTTAATCATATTAGGGTACATAATTCACTTTCCTGCCACAGATGTTATTAACACACACACGCACACAGAGTTTTTTGTTTGGGGGCCACAGCTAGCAGTGCTTAGGGGTTATACTCCTGACTGCAATAGGGATCACTCCTGGCATTGCTCAGGAGACCATATGGAATGCGGGGGAATGAACCCAGGTCACCATGTGTAAGGCACACACCCTACCTTCTGTACTATCTCTGTCCCCTTTACTACATTAAAGAGTAAATATGTTCATAAAGAAATAGACTTGAAGAAACACATGAGATTTGTCCTTTATGGGTAGGAGAAGATCTGGTGTTCACACCCAGGACATCTCATACAAGCAAAGAATTTCCCACATCCTCTAATTTTAACTTCATTTGTGGAGGTTCTTAGAAGATCCCGTGGTACTATGGGTCAAATGTGCACCTCAGTGCGAAGCCTGCGTTTAGCCTGTAGAGCTATCCAGAGGTTACGTGAATGAATTTTTCACTCTCCATTCCAGGAAAACTTAAGTTTTTTACTTAGTTTTTCATTTTTATATTTTTGAAATATACCAAGGACTTTGTACAAAAATGAGCATTTGAGTGTTGTTGAGCGACTGTTTTCCCACCCAACACCTTCCTCAGGACATGATTGCATTTCCTTCTCTGAAAGCTTGACAGCGTTTTTAGAACAACACTTTTGTATCTTGGAGGTCATTTCTATTTTGAGGGATGGTGTGTGGTATTGGCCACAACCAACCAGGGATCTGTGCATCCCACATGCAAAACATATATTCAGCGCATTGAGCAATCTCTCCATCTCCAAGACCATTTCTGTTTTGATTGAAAAATTCAGCTGAACATTTAAAGGTAAAGGTAAAGGCCCTCCCGTTGATCGTCGATTTGCTCGAGCGGGCCCAGTAACGTCTCCATTGGAGACTTTGTTGTTACTGTGTTTGGCATATCGAATACATCACAGGGAGCTTGCCAGGCCCTGCCGTGCGGGCGAGATACTCTCGGTAGCTTGCCGGGCTCTCCGAGAGGGGCAAAGGAATCGAACTCGGGTCTGCCATGTTGGCCGCTTGTAAGGCGAACGCCCTACCACTGTGCTATCGCTCCAGCTGAACATTTACTTTAGTTTTTTTTTGGGGGGGGGTCACATCTGGCAGTGCACAGGGGTTACTCCTGACTCTGCACTCAGGAATTACCCCTGGCACTGCTCAGGGGACCATATCGGATGCTGGAAATCGAGCCCGGGTCAGCCGCGTGTAAGGCAAATGCCTACCTGCTGTGCTATTGCTCCAGCCCCCGAAGATTTACTTTAGTCATCAAAGCTTTTCATTTTTGGGGCTTGAGCAGTAGTACAGCAGGTAGGGTGTTTGCCTTGCACGTGGCTGACTCGGGTTCGATTCCCATCATCACATATATTTCCCCCGAGCTCTGCCAGGAGTGCAAAGCCAGAAGGTAACCTCTGTGCATTGCCGGGTGTAACCCCCTCGCCAAAAAAAAAAAAAGCTTTTTATTTGCTTGTTTCTTTAGTATAGTCCAAACTTAGCAGCCTCTGGGTTTAGGGATAAAGTTCCAGAGAATTGGAAAGTCATCTTGTGCTTATTGCTTGAGCTATATCCCCGGCCCCCATTAAAATGTCCTATGATTGAAGCTTTGAACACGACAAGGATTTCTTTTTCTTCATGTACATGCATGAAAACTCTTCACAAGTAAAACGTTTATTGTGTAATTAATTTATCTTTTTTTTTTAGTTGGCATACTTAGGGTTTTTGATGCTTTATACATTTGTGGTCCTTGTACAAATGGAACAACAACCTTCAGTTCAAGAATGGATTGTTATTGCTTATATATTTACCTACGCGATTGAGAAAGTCCGTGAGGTATGTATATAGTTTCCCTGCCAAAAATTGTCTGTGGAAGTGAGTGGTTTTGTTTGGGTGCATGTATGGATTTATGGGTGCGTTTGCTATATGTGTTATTCATAATTTCAGTAGCTGGTGACTTCAGACTTATACTTGCTTTTCTAAAAATCAACACGGGCATGATTTGCACATAGGAGGAACCTTGCATTTGTTAGCAGCATTGCGTGTTTGTCTGAGCGTCCAGTCAGGAATATTCCTTGGCCACTGCCAGGCGTGGGTCTTCCCACTCCCAAATAGCTTCTTAGAAATTTCTTATTTCTTAGCATGCCAAGGTCCATACGTATGCAGTCTATTGGCATAACATCAGATTTGGATAAATTTGGTTTCCACATGATAAAAGCAAGGTGCAGAGATTTTTGTTTCCTTTTGGGTGTTTAATCAGCAGGTGGTAGTGCTTGGGAGTCACTCCTAATTGGCACTTGAGGCGTCATATGCTGCAGGTCAGCCGCATCCTTGCAAGTGCCTTTGCCTTTGCGTTCTCTCTAGCTCTCAGCAGAGATACGTTTACATGTATATGCATAAATTACTAGAATTTATACTAGATGATTACTAGAATTCATTAGACAGTAATATATGGGTTCCTTAGTGTTGTTTCCTTAGTGAGATAGCCTGTAAATTGATTGAAGAAGAAATATAGAAAGGAGACTTGTCAGTATTTTATACACTATGAATAACTTTTTAAAAGTTTCTCTTATTTCGAGTCTAGAGAATTGTTCTCTAAGATTTTTCAGATTCTTAGTATGACCTTGAACAAGCCATTTACTTTTATATATTTATATTTTGAAGATATATGTATTTTATATATACTAATATGTATATATGTTTACAGACACATAGAATATAAGGACACGAAATAGCTTGTTTAATATCAAATTGTTTTGTTTATGAAATATATCATAAATGCAAAGATAACCAAAAATACTTCAAATTTTTGTGTTTGCTCCCCCGGGGTTCTGTGAGGGGTTCCAGAGGTAGCTTCCAGCAATCCTTGTCCTACAGGTTCAGTGCAGGGGCCCAAGAATACTGATGATTCCCAGCTGTGCTTGAGGGCCTCCAGGGGCCACACACTGGTACCAGGGATTGAACCAGGGCTGGTGGTATGCATGGCATGATCCTTAACTCCTGTATACTCTCTCTCTCCAGCTGTAGGACTTGGAAATTTTTAACACACAGATGATTCTACTTTGACTTAAAGTTGAATGATGGTATTATATGTTTTTATATATGAGGATGAATGGATTTTGATGTATTTATTTTTAACTTTTAGATCTTTATGTCCGAAGCTGGAAAGATAAATCAGAAGATTAAAGTGTGGTTTAGTGATTACTTCAATATTAGTGATACAATTGCCATCATTTCTTTCTTCATTGGATTTGGACTGAGATTTGGAGCAAAGTGGAACTTTGAGAATGCATATGATAATAATGTTTTTGTGGCAGGAAGATTAATTTACTGTCTTAACATTATATTTTGGTATGTGCGTTTGCTAGATTTTCTTGCTGTAAATCAACAGGCAGGACCTTATGTAATGATGATTGGAAAAATGGTAAGTTCAAAGGCAGCTGATGATACTCATGCTTATTAATATTTTAAGTTGTAAAATGTGTTCCTGTAGTTTCATTTGAATGTTATTTGTGTTTTATTTACATAATGGTTATTTCATGGTGAATGTTTATTTACATAATGGTCCATTCCATAAGGATAATAACTTTGAAGAAGTACTTGGAATAAGGTTAGAAAGTCTTGTGTTTTTTTTTTTAGTCTTTTTTTTTTTTCTTTTTTTATTAGTGAAAAACCATGAGGCACAGTTATAGGCCCACAAATTTTGTGCTTGGGTTTCAGTTATACAATGATCAAGTGCCCATCCCTCCACCAGTGCCCGTCATCCATCCCCACGGGTCCCAGCATCCCCCCCCACCCGTCCCATCCTGCCTCTGTGGCAGGGTATTCCCCCTTGTTCTCTCTCTCTTCTTTTGAATACTGTGTTTTGCTAGAGAGGCATTGAGTGGCAATCATGTTTGGTCTATAGACTACTTTCAGCGTGATTCTCCCACCCTGGGAGGGTCCTCACAACACCCTTTATTTGGTGCTCTCTTCTCTGTCTGAGCTTCCTTTTCACCTAGAGCCTGTGGCTGGCCTTCCATTCATGGAGCAAAATTCCTGGTACTAATCTCAGCCATTCCTGGGTGTTACTCTCCCTTTTTGTTGCTTTATGTTCCCCAGATGAATGCAATCTTTCTGTGTCTATCCCGCTCTTTCTGACTCATTTCGCTTAACATGATACTTTCCATGTAGTACCACTTGTATATAAATTTCATAACTTCATCAGAAAGTCTTGTTTTAATCCTTTTATCCTGAAATGCTTGGGGGGTTTTTTTGTTGTTGTTGTTGTTTTTTAAGATCAAAATGAAGAACAGGAATTTATTAGCTTCTTAATCTGAAGGGATTATTCTTATTGCTACTTTCCTAAACCAGTTCATTCTTGTTTGGCACGCATGAACGTCTAGTAAATCTTGTCTTCTCACAGCCACTTTACTCTTTCTTAAATCGACATCACAGTTGGAGAAATTACTTTAAAATGCAAATCTGCATACCACTACTCCTTAAAAAAATTGTTTTAGAGAGTGGAGAGATAAGTAAGACCCTAAATGTGATGCGCTGCAAACATCTCCCCACACACCCCCAGTATCTCTGGCCGTGGCACTGTTGGCCCCCAGCACCGCTTCGCGAGGTCTGGACTCTGAACAGTTAGCCCTTCACAGCTGGGCCAGGGGATCCCAAGAGTGGTCTCCAGGCTCCTTAAATGCTTGGGAAGATCCCCACCCCCACCCTTGGGCTCCCACTAATTGTTTTAATGGATTTTATATTTCTTTAGAATTTAATTTTTTTTAAATGAAATTCAAACACTGCCCATTTAGGTTGTTGATTTTTTTTTTAATCTAAATTGTATCCCTTATCTTTTTTTGTTGTTGTTGCTGTTGCTCAGGCTACATTGACCTTCGTTTTCTTACTCCTTAAAATGACTTTTTTTTTTAGACCCATTCTCTTCGCTTTTTTAGCTAATTGATTTGGGTTTATTCTTCATTTAAGCTCCAATAAGCTCCCATATGACTTTTTTCAGGGCTGATTTTTTTTTTTAAGTCTCTTACACATGGATCAGGTTTCTTTGCTGTATAATTTTATGGAACCCATATTCTTTTCCTGAATAGTACCTCATTGTCTGACCTTTAATTACCATTCTTACTGGGGTGTTCATATCAACAGGTCTCCTGAGCACTTCCAGGAGAATCACTCAGGTGATTCCTGAGTGCAGAGCCAGGAGTAACCTCTGTGCATCGCCGGGTGTGACCCAAAAAGAAAAAAAAAAAAAACACCGAAATTTTTAGGGGATTAAAACTCTTTATTTGCAAGTCACAGACCCAGCTCTAACTTAATATAAAAGGAATATTTAACAGAATTTTTAAGAGATGAAGTCTAAATGTGTGTATATGTGTATATATATATATTTATAGTTTGTCCTTGGGCTGGAACAATAGCACAGCAGGTAGGGCGTTTGCCTTGCATGCAGCCAACCTGGCCGACCCGAGTTTGATTCCTCTGCCCCTCTCGGAGAGCCCGGCAAGCTACCGAGAGTATCTCGCCCACACGGCAAAGCCTGGCAAGCTCCCACTGATGTCTTTGATATGCCAAACGCAGTAAGAAGTCTCACAATGTTACTGGATCCTCTCGAGCAAATCGATGAACAATAGGAGGACCATGACCATGTGATAGTTTGTCCATCCAGTCTGTTCACTTTATGCTTTATATTCCTTTCCATTTCCATAGCTGTATATATAATTAAAAGGTACCTAAAGGGGCTGGAGTGGTAGCACAGTGGGGAGGGCGTTTGCCTTGCACGCGGCCAACCTGGCTTCAATTTCCAGCATCCCATATGGTCCCCTGAGCACCACCAGGAGTGATTCCTGAGTGCAGAGCCAGGAGTAACCCCTGAGCATCGGTGGGTGTGACCCAAAAAGAAAAAAGAAAAAAAAATATGATGAGCAAGGAAGATGGCGCCAATAGCTGTTGTACATGCTTTGCATGTGGAAGGCCCAGGTTTGGTCCTAGGACTGCATTGTCCCTGGGGCACTTGTGAGATTGACCTTTGAGCAACACCCAGTATGGATGTTGTTATGTTAAAAAACTCAGATTCTGCTTATCTGTTAGGAAAAAAACAAAACATTTTTAGGGTGAAAATTGCTCATTATGTTTTCATTCCAGATATTTTAACGGTGTCTGTTTTTTAACAGGTGGCCAATATGTTCTACATTGTAGTGATTATGGCTCTTGTATTACTTAGTTTTGGTGTTCCCAGAAAGGCAATACTTTATCCTCGTGAAGAACCATCTTGGACACTTGCTAAAGATATTGTTTTTCAGCCTTACTGGATGATTTTTGGTGAAGTTTATGCATATGAAATTGATGGTAAGGAGTTACGTTTATGAATTCATCTTTCGGTCATTTTATGTTTTAAAGCCAAAGCATTACCACTATCCTAAAGTACTTCCACAGTGTACTGATTTCGAAAGGCCTGTTACAGAAAGCCATTGAGGCTGCTGGGGAGGGGAATATTTTAAGTTTTTCAGCTATACAAATAATGGAACCTTGCCTAAACTGACTTACAGCTAAGGATATTTATTAGCTCATATAACAAAGGGCAGAAGTAGAATGACCTTCTCATTGATTCATAGTTCAGGACACCTCTTCTTTTTCACCTCTCAACTCTCATCACTTTGATGGATAGAGGTTTCCTTTCTGCTAAGGCTCTCCGTAGTATCTAGTAACAGGAGGAAAGAGACTCTTCCTCCCTCTCTCTCCCTTCCTCCTCCCTGACACACATACAGGGTGCTGAGCTACTCCTGGCTCTAGGGCCAGGCATTAATTCAGTGATTCCTTTGAGCAATTTCTCCTGCCTCTCAGGCAAGACAAGCAATTTTCCCATGGTTTTTCTCTCCAGCCCAAGGACTTTTTTTTAAGACGGGAAAGGATCTTGTACGTCAGCTTGGCAATAAAACCACTTTGTAAAATCAAATGAGAGACAAGATGAGAATTTTACTACTAGTGTATATATATAGCTGGCGTTTCTTGGTTTGTTTGGGGGCCACATCCAGATGTGCGCAGGACTTCCTGCTGTCTCTGCAATCAGGGGTCCTTGCAGGGCTTGGGCACCATACAAGGTGCTGGGGATCAAACCTGGGTTGGCTATGTGCAAAGCAAGCATGCTATCCACCGTACTGTCTCTCCAGCCCCATGGGGCATATGTTTTTTAAAATCATTGTGCTTTCACCTTCTTAACCTTAGGACTGGCACCTGTCCTGCATACTAGTGGTTGAAGACCACTTTTTTTTTTATTATTTTTTGGGTCACACCCAGCAATGCACAGGGGTTACTCCTGGCTCTGCACTCAAGAATTACTCCTATCGGTGCTCGGGGGACCATACGGGATGCTGGGAATTGAACCCGGGTCAGCCACCTGCAAAGCAAATGCCCTATCCACTGTGCTATTTCTCCAGCCCCAGAAGATCACTGTTTTTTTTTTTTTAACTTTTATTAGTGAGATATCATGAGGTACATTTGTAGACTTACACATTTTTGTGCTTGGGTTTCAATTATACAATGACCAAACACCCATCCCTCCACCAGTGCCCATTTCCCACCACCACAGTTCCCAGTATCCCTCCCACCCTCAAACACACACCCCCCTCCCCCCCCCCCCCCCCCCCCCCCCGCCAATCTCACCCTACGTTTGTGGCAGGGCATTCCCTTTTGTTCTCTCTCTCCTTTTGGGTATTGTGACCACTGTTTTAAAATAACTAAACTCGAAGACAATATATTATAAACTTAGGATATCTTAAAATTATCACTAATTTATGATTATTGTAATCTGTGCTCTTTTTAAAATCAGTTTTACCTTATTCCTCATAAGTCTTTGCTTGGTATTAAAGTTCTTTCCTTTGTTTATGTTCACTTTTGGCTTCAGAAACATTCCCTGTTGAAGCTATGAAAAGGAAGCTTTTCAAATCTGTATACAGGGTCAGAGTGATAGTACAGCAGGTAGGGCATTTGCCTTGCACACAGCCAAACCGGGTTCAATTCCTGGCATCCCATTTGGTCCCCCAAGCACAGCCAGAAGTAATTCCTGAATGTAGAGCCAGTAGTAACACCCCCCCCCCCCCCAGCATCTCTGGGTGTGACCCAAAAAACTAAACAACAACAACTGTGTAAATTCAAAAAAGACAGCAGCGGTAGCGGCTCTATCTCTACCGGTGCCGCATTGGGTAGCCTCACGTCATTTTCCCCACCCCGGGAGGTCGGTGGTGATGGGCAGGTGAAGGAAGGAACAAGGGCTAGGCTGATTGGTCTTAGATGTAGTTTATTCCATTCCCATCTCCATTCTCCTCTGATTCTCCTCCTGCTTCTTCCTCCCCCATGCTACTTCATTCTCCTTCTCTATCCCCCTTCATCCTCCTTCTCTGGAGTCTCGATTCTGATCCCCCAGCCCACTCTTACAGTACAGTTAAATCCCAAGCATGAGGGGTTGGGGTAACAATTACACATAGGTGTGGTCACAATCAATTGGGGTAGAGTTCTTTCCCTCGGGGAAGCCGCTTTTAGGACAGATACTCTCTCAGCAGGATGACCCACTCTAGAGCGGAATCCCATGGGTGTGTTTCTCCTCTCCTTGTCCAGCAAACATATAAGCATTCATAATATAAATCATTTTGTATGGATACAGTAAGAAATACCTTAAACTTATAGAATTGCTCTCCTAGGGCCATCTCAATCTCAGACTACAGTGCTCAGGCCAAATAGTCTTTCCTATTCCTAGCAGGATCCTAGTCTCATCATTCCTTTGGATCATGACAGCATTTGTCTATGATCAAACTCTTATAGTTAAGAATCGTAGCACTCTTGCCTGGCCCATTTCGATGCCAGGGTAGCTCACGCTTGCCCTGGGTCCATTCAGTCCCTCATCAGGACCCTGCTTTTGGGGTGTTAGGAACCAAGGGCAACTGAGGCTTAAGTTGCGAAAGTAGATGCCCGGGAGTGAATAATATTCAAAGCCAATTAAATCCTAAGTTACAAAGCATAATATCTATATCTATACAAAAAGGACATTGCTTTAAAGTAAACAATTCAAAAGACATAAGGAGAGGAGAAAGGCAATATTAACAATTTCAGTGCCCTGGAAGGATCTGACCTTAGAAATGAATAGATACTGATTAGGGGGGAAAGCTGATTAACTGGTTGGGGAAGAGAGCCTAGAGAAGTGGTTACAGATAAAGGAAGGAGTGGGAATGATTTGGGAGTACTGTGATGGGTGTAACCTGATAAACCTAAGTTCCTTGTGGAGAAAGGGAGAAAGGACAAAGAAAGCAATGTCATCCTACAAACAACAACAAATCTGTCTATACATTTAGAGGGAGTGTGACCACACTTTCAGTCTTCTGTGGCATAAGATAAATTCAGCAATCTTCTTCTCTGTTTTTAAGTTTACTAGGAATCTGCAAACTTTAGTGGTTCAGTTACTTTTCTTACAGAAATGTTATGGTGTGATCTTACTCTACTTTTCAGATGGTATGTTCTGCCTCTGTATTTCTGGTTCTCTCTCCCCAGAGGCTTTTTACTGTGAATAATATTTGTACATATACTTTCAAAAACAAATACTGACATATATATAATATCAGTAAATATAAATAAATAGCAACAGGTTTGGTTAACGATTATATTACAATTTTATTTATTTTTCCTTTCTAAAGTGTGTGCAAATGATTCCACTATCTCTTCAATCTGTGGTCCTGGGACATGGTTGACTCCATTTCTTCAAGCAGTCTACCTCTTTGTACAGTATATCATTATGGTCAATCTTCTTATTGCATTTTTCAAGTAAGAATTTTATTCACTCACTATGGTAATGAGATCATTTAACACCCAGCCCTACTTATTTTGAAGGAAATACAGAGACTTTCCAAATTGCACTTTGATACTTACACTACTGAAATTATCTTTGAAAATTGCAAACAAGGTATGCTTTTTTATATTAAGTGAATTTTGATTTTGAGAATTATCTTTGAACTTGCAGGGTTTTTTTTTATATAAATTTAAAAAGATTGGAGTTTTTACTAGGCTTCTAAGAAGCACACAGAAAATTGAATAGAATATTAGTAATTCATTCTGATATACCAGTTTCTGTTATTTTTTCATATATATGAGATTTTTTTTTGGCTATATTTTATATAGTGTTTTGAGCAAACTAAAGCTAGAATATTATTCTTTAAATATCCCTCTCAAGTTTGTTTTTAATGACTTCCTGGTATTCCTTATGAAGAACATGCTCTTTTTCAAGCTGATATGTTTTATGATTCAATTTTTATTGTCTGATTTTTTTGTTAATAAAATCATACTGTGGTTAATTATTTGGTTATTAATTAAGTAGTTCCTTAGAACAGTTCCTAAAAATAAAACTGTTTACTATAATTCTTTTTTAGAACTTTCAAAAGTTGAAGTCAAAATAAGCCTATGACCCTACATTCCCAACACTTGGATGTATTTTTTAAAACTTGCTAATCTGATGTTAGTGAAAGTGTCTTGGTTTTATTTGTTCTTAATTTTATTGCTACAAACATTGAATATTGTCTCTTGTTTTTGTCATTTACATACAATTTTTAAATTTCAAAAATTCCATTTTGTGGGGCTGGAGTGATAGTACAGTGGGTAAAAAGCTTCCCTTGCATATGTCCAAATCATGTTTGATCCCTGGTATCTCATATGGTCCCCTAAGCACCACCAGGATTAATTCCTGAATCCAGGGCCAGGAGTCACCCCTGAGCATTGCCAGATGTAGCCCAAACCTCCCATTGCCCCCCCACCCCCCATCCTATTTTGTGTCCCAGGAACATTCATCATAGGGCTTTGTAGAGGCCCTGAGTTTGATCCTTAGGGCTATATTTGTTCCCTGCCGTCTGGGCAGCACTAATTTTCTGGGCTGAGCACAGAATTGTCCTGCCCACACATCAGAGTTTGTAACGAAGACCCTCAGTATTACCCGTGTATTCCTTGTTGCAGCTTTTTTCCAGTTTCTCATATTTTATTTATAGTAATAAACTCAGTCAACCCTATGTTTAGAACCTGAAGTACAGTGATATATTTGAAACTTTAAAATGATTACCTGAATTCTTTTTTCTTTTGTTATTCCAAGCAATGTGTATTTCCAAGTGAAGGCAATTTCCAATATTGTATGGAAGTACCAGCGTTACCATTTTATTATGGCTTATCATGAGAAACCAGTTCTGCCTCCACCGCTGATCCTTCTCAGCCATATAGTTTCTCTGTTTTGTTGCGTATGTAAAAGAAGGAAAAAAGATAAGACTTCAGATGGACCAAGTAAGTAAGATACGCTGTTATATTTAATAAATTACTATATAATATTATAGTGGGGATAACACCAATTTTATTTGCAAGGCTTAATTGGATATGATATTGGATAATTGGATATGATAAAATATACTACAATTGATATTTCATTGAATTTGCTTAAACCAAAGAATTTCAGAAAATATTTGTACAAGTGCACTTAATATTAAATGTCTTTTTTTCTGTTTAAGTGGCATTTCAATTTTTTGTTGTTGTTGTTAAATATTGATGAACTGTGACATCACACTTACCATTTAGGGCACTCGCCCCCTTTTTAAAAGATTCTATGCTGAGGTTTGACTCCAGAGCCTTAACGTGAGGCCTGTGCATTCTCCTGCTGAACCACGCCCCAACCCTCATGACACTGTATTTTGTTTGATTTGTGTGTGTGTGTGTGAGGCCATGGGTGCCATACCTGGTGGTGCTTGGGACTTACTCCTGGCTCTGTGCTCTAGGATCACGCCTGGTGGGATTGGGCACCTTATGGGATGCCAGGGATGGAATCCAGGTCGGCTGCATGCAAGGGAAACCACCCTATCTGCTGTTCTATCACTTTGGCCCATAACATGGTACTCTGTAAACTTTTCTTGCTGTTTTGCAAGCCATATGCATCTTTCTTGAATTTCATTTTATTATTTAGATATTCGTGGGGGTGTTGCCAAGCAGTGCTCAGGAGATCTGGAGCCCCATCAGTGAGTCAGTGCAAGGACCTGGGCCCATAATGCTGCTCGGCTCCTGCAGTGCTGGGGCTCCCCAGACCCCAGAGGTGCACCTCAAGCCCAGGTTGGGTATCTGCTAGGCATGCCCTAAGCACTGTACTGTCTCCCAGCCCAAAACCATATACATTCTTACACAAGATTAATCACCAGGGCAAACTGTGATTTAAAATTCATAATGGGGGCTGGAGCGATAGCACAGCTGGTAGGGCGTTTGCCTTGCGCGTGGCTGACCCGGGTTCAATTCCCAGCATCCCATATGGTCCCCCGAGCACCGCCAAGAGTAATTCCTGAGTGCATGAGCCAGGAGTGACCCCTGTGCATAGCCGGGTGTGACCCCAAAAAGCAAAAAAAAAAAAAATGCAGTATTATTTCTAAGATGAGGGAAAAAGAATTGCATTGAATATAATCTTAGCAGTCATATTTAATTCACATAATTCATGAACTGAGAGAGTTTGATTTATGATTGTCTTTATTGTTCTGGTGTGTGTTTCCCTTAGAACTTTATTTAACAGAAGAAGATCAAAAGAAACTTCATGATTTTGAAGAGCAATGTGTTGAGATGTTCTTTAATGAGAAAGATGACAAATTCCATTCTGGGAGTGAAGAAAGAATTCGTGTTACCTTTGAAAGGTTTATAAATTTTCCAGTTGTAATTAGTATGCACTGTAGCACTGTGCTTCTGTTTGTTGTTCATCGATTTGCTCAAGCCGTCCCAATAACGTCTCCATCGTGAGACTTGTTGTTACTGTGTTTGGCATATTGAATACGTCACAGTAGCTTGCCAGGCTTTGCCGTGCAGGCGAGATACTCTCAGTAGCTTGCCGGGCTCTCCGAGAGGGGCAGAGGAATGGAACCTTGTTCGGCCGGGCCAGCTGCGTGCAAGGCAAATACCCTATTGTTGTGCTATCGCTCCAGCCCGTAATTAGTATATTGTATGTCAAAATGAGTTTTACTAGTTCTTTGAATCATATACCAATCTCATCATTTTTCAGTCTGTCAACAAAATCAGTAAGTTTTACAGTATACATTGGAAGATCTTTCAGTTTTTACTTCTAGTACTTTATAAAGTCTCCTCGCCACCCCTCCCCCCCATTGATTTGATGGGGGAAATTGTAATGAAGAGCATATGGAGCAAAACTTTCAAGATCTTATGCTAAATTATATATTTAGCACTACCTAATCATAAGTATCTGTATAAATGTGACCATACATTTATTTTGATTTGCTTGTCTCTGTACAAATTTAATTATTTTACCATTACCATTGAGTAAACATACACAAATATTTCTAAAACATTCTCAACATTTATAAATGACTTTTGTTTCCCTTACAGAGTGGAACAGATGTGCATTCAGATTAAAGAAGTTGGAGATCGTGTCAACTACATTAAAAGATCATTGCAGTCATTAGATTCTCAGATTGGTCATTTGCAAGATCTTTCAGCCCTAACTGTAGACACATTAAAAACACTCACTGCCCAGAAAGCTTCTGAAGCTAGCAAAGTTCACAATGAAATCACTAGAGAATTGAGCATATCCAAACACTTGGCTCAAAACCTTATTGATGATGGTCCTGTAAGACCTTCTGTGTGGAAAAAGCACAGTGTTGTAAATACACTTAGTTCCTCTCTTCCCCAAGGTAGTGTTGAAAGTAATAATCCTTTTCTATGTAATGTTTTTATGAAAGATGAAAAAGATCCCCAATCTGACATATTTGGTCAGGATTTACCTATAATACCCCAGAGAAAAGAATTCAGTTTTCCGGAGGGTGGTTCATCTTGTGGTGCCTTATTCCCAAGTGCTATTTCTCCCTCAGAACTTCGACAGAGGCTTCCTGGAGTAGAAACATTAAAAATGTTTAGTAAAAGTCAAAAATTAGGTAGTTCATCAGCTAGTATCCCACATCAGTCATCCCCACCAACCAAATTTTTTGTTAGTACACCATCTCAGCCAAGTTGTAAAAGCCACTTGGAAAATGTAACCAAAGATTCAGAAACTATTTGCCCTAAAGGCGCAGAAGGAGATAATATAGAATTTGGAGCATTTGTAGGTAAGTTTGGAAAACAGTTTAATGTTTGTATATCAAAATTCGGGTTTCTGTTAGAATTGCTTTAAAGGATCCAAGCCCAGGGCTTCATGCATACACGGTTGGCTTTACCACCGAGCTGTGTCTTTAGCCACACCTTACAAAAATGTTTAAATGGAATGGAAAGTGTGGGGAGAACATGTTGAGCTGCGCTTTAATAAATATATTGGCACATGGGTATAGGTCTTTAGTGTGATTTACTATAATTTTTCTTTAAATGAAAATTTCAAAAGGAGTTCTATCTTTTGAACTTAAATATTCCATTGAATTTTATCACGTTTTATTGTAAGTACCTGTATAATTTGTGCTGTTAGATACCTGGGAGATAGTAGGAAAGTTCAAGAGAATATAGAAATAATTGGAAAAGAGCATTGCCTTATGCACAGGATAACTATATATTTAAATTCAAATCAGTGCACTTAAGACTGAAAGGAAGTACTGCAAGAAGAAAAGGTTAGTTTAAGGAAGGTGGGTTTTTGTGTTAGTAATTTCAGGTTCCTTCTGAGTAGTGCTTCGGGAATCCAGGACACTCCTGTTGATACCTTGCCTCGGCAGGCTGGGCCTAATTGTTAGTGCTCAGGCCTGGCGATATGGTTCTTCGGGGACTAGGGCATTCCAACACTTTGCTCCCTTGGTACAAGTGCTCAGGGCTTACTCCTAACTCTTTGCTTAGGGATCACTCCTGGTGGTACTCAGGCAACAAGACAGGGTTGGGGATCGAACCCCGGGTGAGTCATATGCAAGGCAAACATCCTACTCACTGTGCTATTTCTCTGGCCCTATTTTATTTTTAATGATGTTGAAGACTTAGCAGTATAAATGCTGACAGTACTCCTTGTTGAGGAAAAGGTGAAATTGATTCCTAAAATTTGGAAGAATGTGATGTCCTCTTAAATTTTTCTTTCATATTAGTAAGAGCGTGTAGCCGAGCCTGCGGCTGAGCCTCACATATGAGTGAACATTTCACGTGACACATTATAAGACACTTCCTACCCATTTTCCATAATTATCACACCATAGTTGATGGGGTTCAGACAGTAGGCAACAAATCATAGAGGGAAATATATATATATGCCTCTCGGAGAGCCCGGCAAGCTACCAAGAGTATCCTGCCCACACGGCAGAGCCCGGAAAGCTACCTGTGGCGTATTCAATATGCCAAAAAACAGTAACAATAAAGGGTCTCATTCCCCTGACCCTGAAAGAGCCTCCAATACAGCAACATTGGGAAAGACGAGTAAGGAGAGGCTGCTAAAATCTCAGGGCTGGGACGAATGGAGATGTCACTGGCGCCCGCTCGAGTAAATCAATGAACAACGGGATGACTGTGATACAGCTATTAGTAAGAGCAAAGTATTTAACAAATAATTCTTAGCAAGCAGCTTGTTTTGTTTGTAGACATAACCAAGGTGTGAATGACAACCTCTGTCTCCCAGATGGGTAATTTTCTGTCAGGTAGCTTTCAGCTTACCTTCAACATGGTCATCGCCTTCCCAGCCTGAAAGTTTACTTGGTCTTTGAACATCTATAAAGATTAGAGAATTGAAATGTTTTGTGTCTATGTAAAATCTCCCCATTAGGATCAACTCTGTGAGCTGGTTCTGTTTATTTTGTGGCCACAGTCAGCAGTTCTCCGGTGCTGCTCCCACGTGGTTCTCTGGGGACCATGTGATGCCAGGAATCCAGTTCAAGGTCTTCTGAGCATCTCTGTGGGTGCCAGGAGTAATCCCTGAACTCAGCCAAGAGACTAAGACCCACGCATTGCTGGGGGTGGCCCTAAAAGAGCTATGGGGAACAGCAAAGTGGTGGAAATTATTCAAAACAAATAACTTATTTTGTAGACTTCAGTCAATGACTTTAAATTGATTTTAAAAAAAAAAGAAAACCTTTGTTTTAATCTTTTTTTTTTGTTCTCTTGAAGGACATAGAGATAGCATGGATTTACAAAGGTTTAAAGAAACATCAATCAAGGTAAAGGAAATAATTATTCATTGTAAATTCTTACATTATTTTATTTCTGTTTTAGAATTTATTTGAAAATGGAATTTTTTTCATTAAACATAACAGTTTTAGCATCATCAGTATGATAATTCCTATTAATTGAAACAGTTTGAAGAAATGTGCAGTTTGAAGAAAGCAAAAAAAAGAAAAATTCAGGAATATTTAAAAAGTATAAATACGGGGCTGGAATGATAGTACAGTGTGTAGGGCGTTTGCCTTGCACGCGGCTGACCTGGGTTCAATTCCCAGCATTCCATATGGTCCCCTGAGCACCGCCAGGAGTAATTCCTGAGTGCATGAGCCAGGAGTAACCCCCGTACATCGCCAGGTGTCATCAAAAAGCAAACAAACAAAAAAAAACACATATTTACATTTTATTAACTAAAATTTTAAGGGCTGGAGCGATAGCACAGCGGTAGGGCGTTTGCCTTGCACGCAGCCAACATGGCCGACCCGAGTTCGATTCTTCCATCCCTCTCGGAGAGCCTGGCAAACTACCGAGAGTATCTTGCCCGCACGGCAAAGCCTGGCAAGCTACCTGTGACGTATGCCAAACACAGTAACAACAAAGTCTCCAATGGAGACGTTACTGGGCCCGCTCAAGCAAATCGATGAACAATGGGAGGACAGTGACAGTGAACTTCAATATGGTCATCACCTTCCCAGCCTGGAAGTTTACTTGGTCTTTGAACATCTTTAAAGATTAGAGAATTTAATGTTTTTTGTCTATGTAAAATCTCCCCATTAAGTTCATAATATTTTTTAATACAAATTTAATATGTATATTAAATTTAAATCTTTCTCTTTAAATTGTTTCCCCCTATATTTTTCAGCAACTAGTATAATTGATGATATTTTTGAACTTAGGTTTGAAATATGTAGATTTGGCCAATAGATGTGTGTTTTCTGCTGAAAACAGGGCGGGTTTTTTGGTTTGTTTTTTTTTAATTTGAGGAAGCAAACTTCAGGTATTCAGAGAGCCATGGGGTGTTGGGGGATTGAACCCAGGCCTTCACTCATCCAAGACATATACCCTACATTTCAGCTACATCCCTAACCCCTAGTTTTCATTACTTATCATTGATTTCCTAAATTGCCCATATCTATCTCGTGTCCTAAGGGTAATGATGTATTTGAACTATGATAATTAAGAAAAGCTGAAAATATTAGTTTTCTCTATCTCTTAAAGATCTTTAGTCATAGAAATGACCAAGTCACAAATACAACAAAAATAAAAATATCTTCCCTAACATTGAAGCTAAAGAATGACAGGGACATGAATTTCTTTTTAAATTGAAGTAACATTGATTTGCAGGACTATATGTGTTTAAGGGATAAAATACCATACCATTTCCAAATGTAAATTACTTCACCATATCCATTACTCATATACCTCTATCCCTTCTCTGAAGGAGTTAGCGGATTTTTTAAATTTATTTATTGAAATAATATAGGAGTACTGCTATTTGTTCAGCCATTGATTAAACTGATTGAATTGGGCATGAATTCCACTGCTTATGTTTTCCTTTGCACTATTTTTTTTACTTCATATGAGTGAAGTCATTAGCTATTTTGTCTTTTTCCTATCTGGCTCTTTTTTCACTTACTGTTCACCTTCCTGTTCTGTCCATGTAGTGGCAAAAAAAAAAGCAAGTTTTGTCTTTTCTTAGAGCTGCATAATACTCCTCTCTGTATAATATCGTGTCTGTATCCATTCATCTGTCCTTGGGCATTTGAGTTGTTTACAGTTTTGGCTACTGTAAATTGTACTACTGTGGGCATTGGACCACTCCCCGGTTGAAGTTTAATGCTGAGAACCCAGCTGGGGGATTGCAGGGTGTGGGATATGACTGGTCACCAGGCCCATCCCAGGGTACTGGAGGGAGAGAGTGGGAGTGGTGCCCGGCCCTTGCCAGCCCTTTCAGTTCACTGGTTTGCTTTTCTTTTCACATTAGTGTTTTGATTAGTTTGATTATGAACTCAATATTTTTTTACTGCATTAAATTCCACCCTAGCCCCACCCTCCCCAAACTGGTGTTTGGGTTTTCTTGGCTTTGGTTTTGGCTTTTGGCTTTAGGACCACATTCACTGGTGCATGCCCCTGGCAGTGCTCAGGAGGTCATGCAGTGCCTGGGATCTAACCTGAGTCTCCTGGCAGGACTCGGGGCCATTTGTGGTGCTGGGGATCAAACTCGGGTCGGCGGCTTGCAAGGCAAGTACCCTACCTTGTAAGTTGCTCCAGCCGCTGCACCCCAGTTTCTGTGAATTTGTATAAACGTGACAGAGGATTCATTTCGGTGTATTTATAGGGTGTTTTTTTGAGGTTGATGTGGAAGAAAATTTAAAAATCTGTAATATACCTTTTGGGTGCCCAGATAGACTTAAGTATATTGTGCTGAATGGACTGTTAATATTTGTGATTGTGATTTGAGATTCATCTTAGTTGTTCAGAAAATTATGTTTATGTGCAATATACAGAATGCTACTCCTCCTGAAAGCACTTTGAAACATGTGAGTTCTTACGCCGGATTTACCGAAGGTCACAAAGCTTCTGTTTCTCTTCATTCAGAACAAGGTGAGAATCTTGACTGTGAATAGCAGAGACACTCATTTTAGCTATGTCTCATGCCTGACCAAGAGTTATCCAAGAGTTAAGAAATGATAATTCTGATCCATCTTTGTTACATTCAAATATTTTTAGATTAATTCCTAAAGATGTTATGTCTTTTTTTGACTTTTATAATCTGTTATATTTATATATAAATGAAACATTTATATGTTTGAAACATCGTATGTTTAAACATTAAATGTTCCATTTATATATATAAATGTTTCATTTGTTCAGCATCTCTAATTAAACTTTCTTTTTGTGAGGTAGGGGCAGGGTGTCTCCAGTTAGAAACTAAACAGGCTAGTGATTTCTACTTTTACTTTTAAAAATGACAGTTAAAAATGACAGTTGAACTGGGAGTGTTTCTGTGGCATGGTTGGGGGTCAGGTGGGCCCAGCAGTGCTCTGGGGCTGTTCCTGACTCTGGGCTTAGGAGTTACTTGTGCTAATACTTGGACCATATATGGGACCAGGATTCAAACAAGTCTTGGCAGGATTCAAGACAAATGTTTTAACTGTTGTGTTACCTCTGTGGCCTGCAGCCATATCATGCTTTTTATGAGCCAAGTGTATATATGTTCTATATACACAAGTTACATGTACATTATGTGTACAAGTTACAAGTTACGTGTACATTATGTGTATATGTAATATAGCACTGTAGCACTGTCCTCCCCTTGTTCATTGATTTGCCCGAGCGGGCACCAGTAACATCTCCATCGTGAGACTTGTTACTGTTTTTGGCATATCGAATACATCATGGGGAGCTTGCCAGGCTCTGCTGTGTGGGCGAGATACTCTCGGTAGCTTGCCGGGCTCTCCGAGAGTATGTAATATAAAAGTTGAATAATTATAAAGCTTAATAATGCACATGAATTTAATAATGCTTCTTAGATCATTTCAGTAGTTGCAGGAAAGGCAGGTAATTAATGAGATTGAACTCCGGTTTATAATTAGATTAAGGATCTAATGATCAGATTAAATTAGGAACTCTTGGCAAAATAATAATGAATCGGGTGGGAGTTGGATATTCACCTACAGCTAGCAAAGCTGGGAGCTACTTCTGGCTCTGTAATAGTTGTTCTTGGTGGTGCTCAGGAACCCTGCTGTGCCAGGGATTAAAATGGGGTCAGCCACATGGACAGGCACCTTAACTCCTGTTCTGTCCTCCAGCCCTGCAAAATAATAATAATGTGTAATTTCCTTGATTTGAGCTTAAGGACGTCCTCAAAAATTTACCACCAACATCAAGCTTTCATAAAAATAGTTCAAGATAGGATTTTAGCCTTTACCATTTCTCTTTTTCCTCCTAAGAGAGGTCATTATTTTGGTTAGATAAATAGTGTGTTCTCTGGTATGTGACTCTTTTAAAGATAAAATGTCTGTTCGTTCTAGTAGCTTAAATTTTCTTGTCCTTTGAGTACAGTCGTTTTAAGGTTTCTAGCTACCATTCATTCTGCTTTTCCTTATTTTTATTTATTTATTTTTAATATAATAGACCTAGTTCAGTGTATTTGGTAAGCAAGATATCAAAGGTGACATCTTAAGTCTGTAAAGAAAATATGAACTCTGTCTTCTCCCCTCTTTACTGTAGATTGGTATGTGTGTGTGTGTTATTTGTGTCATTGCTGATAATTACAAGAGATTGAAATAGGACCAAGTGTTAAACAATATCAGTTCTATAGTATTTTTTTTTCTGTAGTATGATGTTCAACATAGCATCAACACAGAATAGAGAAGTCCTGTGTTTTGATATAGAAAGAAAATTGCTGAAATGAACAGCAAGAAAATATCATAGTGAATATTATTCTACCTTTGTTTTTTTTAAAATTAGTAAGAAATCATAATAGAATATTAATTCTATGTACTCTCCCAAGGGAACAGGAGAAGAGCAAAATGTTTTATTGATAGTTCTTTCTTACTGTTTCACAAAAGTTAGTTGACTAAAATCTGTTCAGTTTGGGGAGGGGGAGTTCTTTATTTTGTTTTATGTTTCAGCCCCACCTAGTAGTGCTCAGTGGTGATTCCTGGCTCTGTACTGGGGATCACTCCTGGCAGGCAGGGGGGGTGTCATGGATCAAACCCAGATTGGTCATGGGAAAGGCAAACACCCTACCCTCTTTGCTAGCTCTCTAACCCCAAGGGGTTTTTTGGTTTGTTTTGTTCCATCGTGCCAAAAGACTCATAGGCCTCATGTAACTCTTAGGTTACAGCACTGTTAGGGAGAGAACATAGTATTACAGTCACACTCTCTAGAGGCTGTATGTTTGGTTACATGGGTATTAAAAGTTTGAGCTTCATAACTTTTTTTTTCTTTAAGTGGAAAGCAGCAGTAGAAGGCCATCTGCAGAAGAAACCCAAGAAGTAAATTCCAAGGCAGCTTTACTGCCGGTTCGTATACTTTCTGTATTAATGTGTATTTTTAAATACATATTTGTTAAAGAAGAGCTAAAAGATGGTGTCTCTTTTGAGATAATAGCTTTCAAAAGTTCTTTTACTTTAGAGAACTTATATCACTTTTGTGAAATCAAGAATTTGAAAGATGCCATAGAAAGACAACAATTTTTTTTGTCTTGAGCCCACATCAAGTGGTGCTCAGGACTGATTCCTGGCTCTGTGCTCAGGGATCATTTCTGGCAGGACATCAGGGACCGTACGTGCTGCCAAGGATTGGACCTGAGTTGGCCATATGCAGCTCAAGCACCTTACTTGCTGTACTATCTATCACTCAGGGCCCTAAGATTTTTTTTTTTTAATTAAGATATAGAAAAAGTAGAAATAGGAAAAATGCATACACTTAGCCTTGAGTGTATACAGATTATGAAAAGATTATAGATGACTTAAAGTTTTCCAAATTTATGAAATGGATACAAGTTTAAATGAAGGAAATGTTAAGTTTCAAACCAGGAAAATGAAAATAATCCACACATTGTAAAACATTGTAAAATTTTAGAATAAATTGCATATGTGCACACACACACAAAAAGTGAAAATGTCTAATTATTAGTGATAAAATGGTTGAATATATTCTTTTTATACCTTAATATGGTTTTCTTTTGTAGAGGGTAAATACTAGTTTTAGAATCATAGAAACATATATATATTTTAAATTTTATTTTATTAAAGTAGTTTCACAATATTTTATTACATTTAATATTCGAGCATCAATCCTACCACCATTACACTTTCCCACCACCGTATTTAGGGTGAAAACTGTCACTGTCCTCCCATTGTTCATCGATTTGCTCGAGCGAGCCCAGTAACGTCTCCATTGTGACGATTGTTACTGTGTTTGGCATATCAGATGGCATATCATGGATAGCTTGCTGGCCTCTCCGAGAGGGGCGGAAGAATCGAATTCGGGTCAGCCATGTTGGCCGCTTGCAAGGCAAACGCTTTATCCGCTGAGCTATCGCTCCAGCCCAGGGTGAAAACATGTATTTTAAAAGAATAAAAATGTCATCAGAAATTTAAGAAATTAAAGAAGTAGACTTATGTTTTTATGGTTTTTTGGTTTTTGTTTTGTTTTTTTTTGCTTTGAGGGCTGCAACCAGCAGTGCTCAGGGCTTACTCCGAGCTTTGTGCTCAGGAATCACACCTGGCATGGCTCTGGGGACCATAAATAATGCCAGGCATTGAACCCAGGTCAGCCTCATACAAAGCGACGCCTTACCCACTGTACTATTTCTCCAGCCCCTGGACAAACTATTTTATAAGAAGAAATAATGTTTGTGTGTAACTTCTGTATTTTACCATGAGGAATGGCCTTATAATGGCAGTGTAGTACTGTCCTCCCGTTGTTCATCTGTTTGTTCAAACAGGCACCAGTAACGGCTCTATTGTGAGACTTGTTGTTACTGTTTTTGGCATATCTAATACACCAGGGGGAGCTTGCCATGCCCTGCCGTGCAGGCCAGATACTCTTGGTAGCTTGCCAGGCTCTCTGAGAGGGATGGAGGAATTAAACCCAGGTCAGCCGCGTGCAAGGCAAACGCCCTACCCACTGTGCTGTCGCTCCAGCCTGGCCTTAAAATAGCTAAATTTATTATTTTTTCTGTTTTATCAATCTTTCAGCCCTTGTTTTTAATACATACTATAACAGAGTATTGGTTAAATAGTTTTGCCACATCTGAAGACTTTTTTAAAACTCTTACTGTTTGTTTTTTTACTAAAGGATTGGTTACAAGATAAACCATTGAACAGAGAAATGTAAGTAAGCCCTTTCTCATTATTAACTTGACAAAGTATAATAGTTATTGACTGTAGTCTTTATATTCTTGTATCATTTCTTTAACATTCTTTTTTGTTTGTGGGGAGAGGGCACGCCCAGGAGTGCTGGGGGTGGGGGGCTAATCCTGACTCTGTACTCAGAAATCGCTCCTGGTGGTGCTCAGGGGACCGTATGCAAGGCAAGTGCTTTACCCACTTTTGCTCTGACTCCTTTTTAATTTTACTTTTCTATGAGTGATGATGATTATTCCTGCAGAGAATTTAAAGAGATCATCATTTAATATGTAGGTTTAATTTGATAATTTTGGTCCAGGGATGTACTTAGAGTTCGAGCACAACCCCACATGTATGAGGAGGGGGTATAAAAGTAAATAATAATGCATACAGAATTTTGTATAGTTTATAGTAAAATTTGTGTAATCACCAAAGGACTAGGAATCCCATGGCTCGCTCTCACTGCGTGCATTCGGTGGTCTTGGGCCGCTTCCCCACCCGGGACGGCTAATGCCGTGGGTGGATGAAGGAGGAAACAAGGGCCAGGCTAGCCGGTGGTTAGTTGCCATTCATCCCGTTCTCCCCACGCACCTGTTCCAGTCTCACTAAGCCCCTCATTCTCTTCTCCTCCTGTCTCCCTTGCTCTTCTGTCTGCACCCCCACTCACTGCCTTGGTCTCTCTCATCTCTCCCAACCTCCCAGCATTGGGGATAGCAACTACACGTAAGTAGGGTAGCACAATCGACATATCAAAGCCCTTCCTGATCTCCTGCAGCCAGGAGATCACCTCAAGTGCAAAATAATCACCTAGGGTTTTTTCTCCTTTCCTTATTCCAGAAATCATGTAAACATTTATCTTAATTTTACTTCTTAATAATATCAGTTATTTTGTATGGACACAGTAAGAGATACATTAAACTTACAGTATGGCTCTCCTGGGTACATCTCACTATAGATCTTAGATTATAGTGCTTAGGCCAGATTAATCTTTCCTAACCCTAGCAGGGTCCTAATTTAGTTGTTAGTTTTTGGATCATGACATAATTTGTCCATGGCCATGCTCTAAACTTATAGTTAAGTATTATGGCACTTTGGCCTGGCCCATTTCGATGCCAGGGTAGCTCACAGCTTGCCCTGTGTCCATCCAGTCCCTCGTCAGGATCCTACTTTTGGGGTGCTAGAAACTAAAGGCAACTGAGGCTTAAGTGGAGAAAATAGATGCCCAGGAGTGAATATTATTCGGAGTCAGTTAATTCCCAAAGCATTAACTGCCTTCCTGTGTCTATACAGAAAGGACATTGCTCTGAGTGAACTATGCAAAAGACTTAAGGAGCCCAGAAAAGCAATATTTACAAGTTAACAGTCTGATTAGGAGATAAAGGTGATTGAAGGTTGGGGAAGCAGAGCACAAAGAAAGAGGTTACAGGTAAACACAGAGGAATGGGAGTGCCTCAGGAGCATTGTGAATGGGAATGGGTGCAACCCAATAAACCTAAGCTCCCTGTGGCAAGGCAGAAAGGACAAACCAATGTTATCCTACAAAGTGGAGTTATACTATGAATATGACTGATTAGATCAAGTCTGGTGGGGCAGGAGAGTATATTGTTTTCAGCTTGCTTAATACATTTTTCAAAAACTTGGTTGGACACTTTAGCTTTGTACTGTCTTAATTTATTAACCTTATTTTTGGGCAGAAAACTTTGCTTGTATTTTACTGTGCTGAGATGAATGTCCACAAATAAATATAAACTTTTTCTTGCATTACATTAGTATTAAACCTACATTTTGCACCAAAATGCTAATTATATTTTTATAGGCATGGATTGAAGATACCAGTTATAGTTAAAATATATGCATATAGCTATATCATATCCATGTATAATTTTGGCATTGGTTTAATGAAGATGGCAGATCCCCATAATGCCAAATTAAATAATCATAATAACATATAGCTGTATCATATCCATGTATGACTTTGGCCTTAGCCTAGTGAAAATGGCATATAGTCAGAGGTAGGTCTGAACTTAAAAATTCCTTTCACATTGCCAAATTTAGTAATAATAATTTTCTAAAAGTTTGTATGATAGCCTGAACTAACATTGAGGAATTGCCTTTTTTTGTGTTTCTTTAGACCGTCTGAAGAAGGAACGTTAAATGGTGAGTCGATTATTGTAAATGTAAATCAATGTAAAAATAATAGTGATAAACCATATGGTCTTGTTATAGCAAATGCCAGGCTATTCTAGGTATGAAATTTTAGACTTTATGTTTGAAAAGGCCAACGTAGTAAAAATGTTCCTTGTTCAGCAGGGTTTTCTGTAATATAAATGCCTCGTAAGTCATCATGTGATGATCTCTATACTGTCACTCCTCCAGTCCCTCTCATACCTGCTACCCAGCCTTCTCTTGAAAGGGAGTTCTTCATGTTGTATTTTCCTCTTAAGTATATTTCTATTCCATTTACCCTATTATACCCAAAGGGCCCAAAAGTACAATGCAGAAAGAACCGTCTGTATTCCTATGTTCATTGCAGCACTATTTACAATAGCCAAAATAGAAACAACCTCAAGAACAGATGACTGGATAAAGAAACTGGTACATACGCACAATGGAATGCCGTTCGGCCATAAAAAAATTAAAAAAAAAAAAAGATGAAGTCATGCAGTTTGCTGCTACATGGATTGATCTGTAAAGTGGCATGTTGAGTGAAGTTAGAGTGAGAGGGACCGACATGGAATGACCTCTCTTCTATGTGGGACATAAAGAAACATAATAGGGGAATAGCAAATGCCCAAAAGCAACAGTCAGGGACGGGTACAATGGACAGTAGAGGGAAGTCACTCTTAATTCATCCTTTACTATGTATCACTCAATTGCTTTTGATAGTCTTTCATTTTAAAATCTTTATGTTAGCACCCAAGTCATAAGGTCAAACGTTGCCAAATTCCAGCTTTTGTGTTGTCTTCATGCATATAATCCCTCCCCATAACATAATATACTAATTTCACCTGTTTGTGTATGAGTGCAATATAAAAGGAATCATGTAATGGTTTCTCTTTTGTATTGTGGCCTTTTCCACCAAATATTTATGATTCATCTATATTACTATGTATTATGCTGGTTTGTACATCCTCACTACTACATAGTGAGGTTGGGTATTTGATTGCATACCGTGGGTATTTGATTTGCATGCCCATTCTATTTATTATGCTTTACAGTTGATTGAGTGTATGACTATTATGAATAGTCTTGCTGTGACATTCATGTTTATGTTGTTTGGTAAACTTCACATGTAATTACATTTTGTTTCTTCGGCTCTGTAACCAGGTATAGAGTTACTTGGTTGTAAGCATTTGGTCACTGTCACTGTCACTGTCCTCCCGTTGTTCATCAGTTTGCTTGAGCGGGCCCAGTAACATCTCCATTGTGAGACTTATTGTTAATGTTTTTAGCATATCGAATACATCACGGGTAGCTTGCCAGGCTTTGCCGCGCGGGCGAGATACCTCGGTAGCTTGCCGGGCTCTCTGAGAGGGGCAGAGGAATCGAACCTGGGTCAGCCATGTGCAAGGCAAACGCCCTACCCACTGTGCTATCTCTCCAGGCCAAGCATTTAGTAAACATTCCCAAATAGTTTTTCTTTTTTTTAAATAGATTTATCAGGTGACTCTTTTCCATTATTTTCTGTACTTCTAAGTTGTTGCAGGGGCCACACCTGACTGATGCTCACAAGGTCACTAGGTCACCCTCAGCTGAGTCAGGGGCAGTGCTGGGGATTCTACAACTAGCCTGGCACATATGAGGCATGAGCCCTACCACTTGAGCCCTGTCCTTAGCCCCAGAAACTTTCTTTTTGAGTGGAGGGATGGAAAAAATACATTTCATGAGGAAGAGTGTGGACCATCATGTCCTTTTTCCTTCCAGGTGTCTGGGTACATAACTGTCACTGATCTAGCGTGATGTAATAGAGTAAGGTAGCACTCAGTGGCCAAATTTTGCTTTTGTTTTTGTGGAGTTTACATGAAAGAAGCAGGATAAAAGAATGAAAAGGCTGGAGAGTAGAACGTTTGCCTTGCACACAGCCAACCCGAGTTCTATCCCTGGCACCACATAAGAACCCTTGAGTGAAGAGTCGGGCGTCGTCCCTGAGCATTGTCAGGTGTGGGCACCCCGGCGGCCTCAGGGGGGAAAAGGAATAAAAAATGTTTGTTGCAATACTTTTTAAAATATCTTCTTTGTTTATTTTAGGTCTTGCTTCTCCATTTAAGCCAGTTATGGATACAAATTACTATTACTCAGGTAAACACTATAAACAAAATTTACTAATATTTTACACTTTTAGGGGATTTAAGAAATTTTTATCAATCTTTTTCATCTTTTTTCTCTTATCTCATGCAGCTGTGGAAAGAAATAACTTGATGAGATTATCCCAGAGCATTCCATTCACACCTGTGCCTCCAAGAGGTAAATCAAAAAAATGGGTAAAATGACAAAAAAAAAAAAAAAAAAACTCCTTATGTTTTTAGCATTAATAGAGAACATGGGTGGTGGTGGTAGAGGGCTCCCATTGAGAACAGCCCGTTTCAGGCTGGAGAATGAGTATAGGATATAAAGCTCTTGCCTTGCCTTGCTTGTCCAACCCTGGTTCGAGTCCTTAGCACTATATGTGGTTCCCTGAGCACCACCGGAGATAGCCCAAAACCAAAAAAAGAGCCAGTTTTACATAAATTCCCAATTAGGTTGGCCACAAGAGTTATATACATTTTTAAAAAGGAACATTAGAATTGCTGAATTTATCTGTTTAGTTTTATTTTGTTTGGGCCCATGTCTCATAGTGCCCGGGGACTCTGCTCTTTGCTAGGGGGTCACTTATAGCAGTGCTCAAGAGATCATCCAGTGATAAGGATCAAATCCACCTGCAAATAGAGCATGTACTCAGCCTATTGAATCAACACTCTGGCCCCAGAAATACTGAAGTTCTTGATTACTGCCATTTAGAAGCAGTGCTGTATTCTCATTCAGAAAAGCTCTAATTGGGACTGGAGCAATAGCACAGCAGGTAGGGCATTTCCCTTGCGCACCGCCGACCTAGGTTCGATTCCCAGCATCCCATATGGTCCCCCAAGCACCGCCAGGACTAATTCCTGAGTGCATGAGCCAGGAGTAACTCCTGTGCATCGCCGGGTGTGACCCAGAAAAGCTCTAATCCGTGTCAAATAATGAAAGCTTGAATAAATTGACGTCCGAGCATGTGTGCAGCAGATAGTTCAAAGCTCTTGTCTTCTTGAAATGTTCATTTTGTTGTTGTTGGAGTGTTTTTTTGTTGTTGTTGTTGTTTGTTTGGAGTTTTTTTGGTTTGGTTTGTTTTGGTTTTGGGCCACACCTGGAAGTGCTCAGGAGTAACGCCTGGCTCTGCACTCAGGAGCCACTCCTTGGGGGACCATATGGGATGCCAGGAATCTACCGGGTTGGCCACATGCATGGCAAATGCCTACTCGCTGTAATGTTCTAATCCCTGAAATGTTCACATTTTAATTTTTGGGTTTTTTTGGGTCATACCTGGCGATGCACAGGGGTTACACCTGGCTCGGGCACTCAGGAATTACTCCTGGTGGTGCTCGGGACCATATGGGGTGCTGGGAATTGAACCCAGGTCTGCCGCGCGCACGGCAAACGCCCTGCTCACTTTGCTGTTGTTCCAGCACCTGAAATGTTCAAATCTTAAAAGTAACTGCCATCACTAATGATAGCACAGCAGGTAGGGCGTTTGCCTTGCACGCGGCTGACCTGGTCGGCCCAGGTTCGATTCCTCCGCCTCTCTCGGAGAGCCCGGCAAGCTACCAAGAGTATCTCTCCCACACGGCAAAGCCTGGCAGGCTACCCATGACATATTTGATATGCCAAACATAGTAACAAGTCTCAAAATCGAGAGGTTACTGGGCCCGCTCGAGCTGTCGATAAACAACAGGAGGACAGTGCTCAGTGCTCAGACAGTGCCATCACTAATTTCTAATGTGAATATTGAGAAATTAGTAGATAACTGATTTTTCAGCATTTTTTGGCTTGAACTTTTTTTTATAAAATACAATTGTCAGTGTCGTCCCCTCTCCCTCCCCTAATTTGAACTAAAATGAGCAAAAAGTTTTTACTCCTCCTGGTTCTCTCCAGTGCCCTACTTCCGCCTTACTGAGTGCCCTTTTGTGCCGCAGGTGAGCCTGTCACCGTGTACCGCTTGGAGGAGAGCTCACCCAGTATCCTGAACAACAGCATGTCCTCATGGTCACAGCTCGGCCTCTGTGCCAAAATAGAGTTTTTAAGTAAAGAAGAGATGGGAGGAGGCTTACGGAGAGCTGTCAAAGTACAGTGTACCTGGTCAGAACACGATATCCTCAAATCAGGCCATCTTTATATTATCAAGTCTTTCCTTCCGGAAGTGGTCAACACATGGTCAAGTATTTATAAAGAGGATACCGTTCTGCACCTCTGTCTCAGAGTAAGTTCTAACGGTTCAGGAATGTGGAACGTTATTTGAACTTACTATTTCCCTTCTGAAAGATAAATTTTAGCAGACAAAATCTTAAGTGTAAATATTGAAAAACTTTTTTTTTCTCCTCCTTCTCTCTAGGAAATTCAACAGCAGAGAGCAGCACAAAAGCTCACATTTGCCTTCAACCAAATGAAACCCAAATCCATACCATATTCTCCAAGGTAAATGTTGACATTTTTCTTGCATCTTTTAGTATACTATGGAACCTCTTTTTAACTATTGATGTTGTAATTTACTTAACCCTTTTTAAATATTAATTAAAATGTTATCAACAAAATTGCCAGTAATGTCTATAACTGTTTCTTATAAGGTTCCTTGAAGTTTTCCTGCTATATTGCCATTCAGCAGGACAGTGGTTTGCTGTGGAAGAATGCATGACTGGAGAATTTAGAAAATACAACAATAACAATGGTGATGAGATTATTCCAACTAATACACTGGAAGAGATCATGCTGGCCTTTAGCCACTGGACTTACGAATATACCAGAGGAGAGTTATTGGTGCTTGATTTACAAGGTAAAACAACCATTTCATGTGGTGCAATTTGATTGCTCGAGCGGGCCCAGTACATTTCTTTGGTTCAGAAATGTGGGCAGGGCATTAATGGAGATGGTTCATCTTTGGGATCTTCTTGGAACTTTCAGATGACTATATGTTACTGTGGACAGCTCAACTCTAGCCTGTTCATGATTAGCTGGATTTCTTAGTTCTTCACCAAGCATTAAAGCAACATGGACGTTTTCATAGCATGATAGTTTCAGGTAGTTAGACTAGTTATGTGGTACATGATTACCCCAGAAAGAAAACTGAGAATTTTAGGGCTGGGGCAAGATTTGGTGACCCCTTGCACTACATTTTTTTTTTAATTCTCTGATATTGGTATAATACAGACACAGAACAGTGAAATAGAATAAGAAGTCCAGGGATAAATTTAGGCGCTTATCAATGTTTTATTTTATTTATTTATTTTTTGCTTTTTGGGTCACACCCGGCGATGCACAAGGGTTACTCCTGGCTCTGCACTTAGGAATTACTCCTGGCGGTGCTCAGGGGGCCATATGGGATGCTGGGAATCGAATCTGGGTCAGCCCCATGCAAGGCAAATGCTCTACCCACTGTGATATCACTCCAGCCCCATTTATCAATATTTTAATTTATGGCAAAGGATCTAAGATCATACAGTGGGAAAAGCAGAGTCTCTCCAACAAATCGGGCTGGGAAACTAGACAAACATATGCCAAAGAATGAAGCTGGACTATAGCCTAGCTGAATTTTCAAAGAAATAAATCGAGCATGGTTAAAAACTTTAGTGTAAGGGCCAGAGGGAGAGTACAGATTGGTTATTTTTTTTTCTTTTTGGGTCACACCCGGCGATGCACAGGGGTTACTCTTGACTCATGCACTCAGGAATTACTCCTGGCAGTGCTCAGGGGACCATATGGGATGCTGGCAATCAAACCCAGGTCGGCCGTGTGCAAGGCCGTACCCGCTGTGCTATCGCTCCACCCCCCAAGAGTACAGATATTTAAGTGCTGGCCTTGCATACGGCAAACTCTACTTCAGCCCCCAGCACTGCTAGGGGTTCCAGGGATTAAATGGTTCCCTGAGTCCTTCAAGGAGTGTGCCTGAGCACAGCTAGGTATGGGCCAAAAAAAACAGACCTTAAGCCATAAAGTAAATAAAAGCATAGATGAAACGTCCAGGTCTTTAGGGAAGATTTTAGGCAATTCAGCCCCAACAGTAAAAGAAGCAAAAGTAGCAATGAACAGTTGGGACTAGATTAAATTAAAAGGCTTCTGTATAGCAAAAGGAAATATAGAAAGAACAAAACACCTGAATGGTAGGAGTATACATCTGTGAAAGTCTCCTGATATCCCAGGTAAATAAATAACTCATTAAATTCAGCAACAGCAAGAGAAATAATGATTTTTAAAAATGGATAATTCTATCCATTTATTCAAAAAAGTATTCGGATAAATACTTTTCCAAAGAGGATATACAGATGGCTAATAGGCCTCTGAGAAAATGCTTGTCATCAATGGTCATCAGGAAAATCAAAATTAAGCCCCTAATGAGACACTGCCTCACACCTTTGAGAATGGCTCACAGCAAAAGTCACAATAAGAGTAAATGTTGAAGGAGGTACAGAGAAGGAGCTTTGATGCACTGTTGTTGGGAATGTACGTTGCTGAAACTGTTTTTGCAAAGTGCCCTGGAGCTTCTGTAAGAAACTGAGGCTAGGCATTCCTTATGATACTGCCTTCCTTCTTTTGGAGCCCAGAAACTCATATCCAGGCCAGAGTTCTGGTTTATCAGGGAAGGCACTGCTTGCCTTGCATGCAGCTGACCCAGTTTGATCCTGGCACCATGAGGGAACTATAGGGTTCTCTCAGTAAGGCCAGGAGTGATTCCTGAGTGCAGAGCCAGGTGTAACCCCTGAGCATTGCTGAGTATGGCCCAAAGCAACAGAAGAATGAAAGTCCTATCCACTTAAATGGCTTGTTGGCTTGTTTGTGTTTGGTGTTTGTTATTGCAGCGCTGGTTGGCAATTAAGGCCAGAACCTCACGTGCAAATCAAGTGTTCTACCCTGAGCTCCACCTGTGTTTTACATTGCCAGCGTTTATTACAAATTGAGTTGAGAGTAAAATATGAAGGCAAAGTGCCCATATATTTGGATAGAGATGATGAACCATTTTGCTGTGGAATACTCTTCAGCTGTTTACAGAAATAAGAAAAAGATAAGTCCTGGAAGATAGATCAAAGGTTTGGAGTACCTGCGTGACACAGGAAATCAGACTCCAGCCCTAGCACTGGGTGGCCTCCAGGTGCTGCCAGGGATAGGACAGGGCACCCACTCAACACCACTGGGGAGGCCCCCAAACAGGAAATACAGTTTTTTTAAAATGATGAAACTTCTGCCATTTGCAGTAAGAATGGAACTTGCCCAAGGGACTTAGGCAGAGTAAAGTAAGTCACAAGGGAAAATGCAAATATTTGGATGGCTTTATCTTAAACAAGGGTATAAGACTGATGGACAGACTTTAGAACTAACATTACCTGAAAATAGAAGAGAGATAAAATGGTGATTGTTTAAAAAAAAAAAAAAAAAAAGCTGGTGGGGCCAAGCTATAGTACAGTAAGGTAGGGTGTTGGCCTTGCATGCAGTCAACCCGGGTTCAGTCCCCAGCATCCTGTATGCTCCCCTGAGCACTGCTAGGAGTAATTCCTGAGTGCAGAGCCAGGACTAACCCCTGAACATCACTGGGTGTGGCCCAAAAATAAAAAATTGAAGGCCAGAGAAGAGAGATAATAGACCAGGTAGAGTGTTTGCCTTGCATATTTTCCCCCTGGGTTTGATCCCTGGGCCCTATATGATCCCCCAAGAATTGCCAGGGGTGATCTCTGAGTGCAGAGCCAGAAATAAGCCCTGAGCACCACCGGATGTGGCCCAAAAAACATGAAAAAGAGAATAGAAATCACAGTATATTCTCAAACCACACTGGATTTTTACCCCCAAAAAAAGCTATATGAGGGGCTGGAGTGATAGCGTAGCGGGTAGGGCGCTTGCCTTGCACGCAGCCGACCCGGGTTCGAGTCCCAGCATCCAATATGGTCCTCCGAGCACCGCCAGGAGTAATTCCTGGGGGCAGAGCCAGGAATAACCCCTGAGCATCGCTGGGTGTGACCCAAAAAGCAAAAGAAAAAGCTATATGAATACCTACCTTTCCAGTACTTTTTTCCTTGATATCTATTCATGTGATTAGTGCCTGTCGGTGTGGTGAGTAGTAGTAGTATCATGTTTTAATTCTGTTTTCCCATTATAAAGTTCTAATACAGCTGAGCAGCCAAAGCAGCCTTGCATGCTCAGGGGTCTAAGTTGGAACCTGACAGTCTGGGCCCATATATACCGCTGGGTATGGCCCTGAGCGACCCTGAGCACCACCAGGGTTGACCTGAGACCACTGCATCCCGAGCAGCGAACTCTTCGATTAAGTTTGGCCAAGAGTCATTCTAGTGCCCTAGGCCCACTGAGCTCTGACCAAGAGGCCCCCACCAACCCCCCCAAGACAAAAGGAAAATCTGTTTTCTTAGATTTTACATTCACGGGTTAAAAGAGTATTCAAGTGTTAGTAGTCATTCGTAGATGAATGATTACGTGAAATATAATAAAACATTTAACCGCGTCCAGCTTCCCGGTGATAATGGGGGTTTGAACTTAACGGCTGCATATGTTGTGAGTCACGCATCTCTCTGCTGAGCCGTGTGCTCGGGCACCTCCCCCCACCTCGCAACTACATAATGGCGACTATACCTTTGTATGCTTCAGTGTCCTTTGAGATCAAGGTGGGGAGGGCAACTGTAGAATGCACAGAATCTTTGTTGGTTCAGGTGCGGCGCTCAGGTCAACTCTAGGTTACGGATCACCAGGAGGAATACCTTCAAGACATTGGAGCAATTTAGTACGTAAATTGAGTAATGCAGTACTTAGTGGGGTGTCTTGTCTTTTTGGGGGGGTGTTGCTATAAAGTGACCACAAATATCAATGTTACATTAGTTACACCGTATAAAATTTTCTTTTTTTTCTTTTGTATGTACATGTAAAGGTGTGGGCGAAAATTTGACTGACCCATCTGTGATAAAGGCAGAAGAAAAGAGGTAAAACAAAGTTTTTATAATTCCATTGTCATTTTTATAACTTTAAAGTCTCCATTTCTATGTTTACAAATTGCCTTTTCATTCTCTCATTTTAACTACCAATTCTGCAGATCCTGTGATATGGTTTTTGGTCCGGCAAATCTAGGAGAAGATGCAATAAAAAACTTCAGAGCAAAACATCACTGTAATTCTTGCTGTAGAAAACTTAAACTTCCAGGTAAGCATTTCAGGTGATCTGTATAGTAAATAAATTAACAATTATTTACTGCAGTAAGATCAGAGGCACAAATACTTGTTGGCTATAAGGGGAGCTGTCTTCCTTCCCCATTTAGAAAAGCACAAAGTTCATTTGTTTCATAGATATTTATCTACTGCGTGCCAGGAATTGTACTAGATACTTTGGCTGCCTGGGGTGAACCAGACAGGCGTTGTCCCTGCCCTCAGCAGAGTTTAGTTAAATAATGAATATTGACAAGATTAATGGAGTTACTGAATGTCAAATGCCAAGCAGAAAAAAATCAAACAAGTAAACAGGTTTCTTAGCACAACTTAGAGATCAAGGAATACTTCCTGGGCAACTGGGAGATTTGCTTACACCTGAAGGATGAAAATTTTTAGATTATTCTGGCAGAAAAGTTGAGAACAAAGGTTTTCATGAAGCAAGAATAAGAACTGTGAAAGGGCTGGAGCGATAGCACAGCGGGTAGGCCGTTTGCCTTGCACGCAACCAACCCAGGTTTGATTCCCAGCATCCCATATGGTCCCCCAAGCACCGCCAGGAGTATTTCCTGAGTGCATGAGCCAGGAGTGACCCCTGTGCATCACTGGGTGGACCCCCCCAAAAGAAAAAAAGAAAATGTGGAGCCAGAGGGAGATAATACACTGGGCAAGACACTCAACTTGCACGCTTCCTACTCAGGTTCAATCCCCAGCACCTCAGATGGTCCCCCAGTCCCCAGCAGGACTGATCCCTAAGCAGAGAGACAGGGAAAAAAGAAAAGAAAGAAAAAAGGGGGCAGCATGATAGTACAGCAGGTACTATCATGGGCATTTGCCTTACACACAGCCAACCTGAATTCCATTCCTGGCATCCCACATAGTCCCATGAGCACCACCAGGTATTATTCCTAAGTGCAATGCCAGGAGTAACCTCTGAGTATTGCCGTATATGACCCGAAAATCAAAAAATGAAAAAAGAATATAAACTGCAGGCACTTTCTCTCAATACTAACTTCATTTTTCATCTGGAGATTTGCAAGTTGTTGCTATAAATCTGGGCACCTACCAGTGGTTCCACCCCTTTGTTGTCCATCAGAATGCCCTGTGGACTGTTTTTGTTTTTTGTTTTTTGTTTGTTTTTTTAATCAAGATTAAGTGAGTTGGTCTTTGTGAAGTACATGGAACTTGCTTCTGTTTTGAGGTGTACATTATATAGGCTTTCTGTTATCTCCTTTAATTTGTGGTAGATTTTTCTAGCAGAAATATCTTGCTTTCGTGGCCAATCTGGTACAGTTTCTGCCCACTCTTAATTCTGAAATCTTCCAAGAATGTACCTCTCCCATCATCATTCCCACTACTTTGTTTCCTTGAATTTTGCCAGAACTCTATAGGACAGGTTTTTGTTGTTGTTGTTGTTGTTTTTTCTTTTTGGGTCACACCCAGCGATGCTCAGGGGTTATTCCTGGCTCTGCACTCAGGAATTATTCCTGGTGGTGCTTGGGGACCATATGGGATGCTGGGAATCGAACCCAGGTCGGCTGCATGCAAGGCAAATGGCCTACCTGCTGTGCTATCACTCTAACCCCCTCCTAGTGGATTTTCACTGTAAAAATCTAGTCCTTATTGTAGCTTGGCATTGCATAAATCAATGTCAGATAAGGCCAGGTGTTACATGTTTTATGCTTTGTGAGATTTATGGCCTATGCCACAGCACCCTACCCCTTTAGCTGTGTAGAATAGTCATTGAAGACCCGAAAGAAAACACTGACAGAATGCACTGCATTCTTCAGTAAAGTAAGAGTGTAAGAACAGGCAGTAAATACCTGAAGCTTACATAACAGGACCGGGGATGTGGCCCGAGTGTGTATTCCTTGATTGCACGGGGCCCTGAATTTGATCCCAGGCACATGGGTGGTCCCCCTAGCAGTAATAACAAATTTAAGGGATGGGGGAAGGTGAGCAGCAAGCCAGGTTTCTCCCATAGGCCAGTTTGGCCACACTTGGCTGTTATCTGCTGCTGGACCTTTACTGCTGGTCTTCCCCTCAGCAGGCTTCCCCCCTCCCATCCCCCCCCCCAAAAAAAAACTCCTCTAAGAGTTTTTTAATAGGTTATTTCTCAATATTTAGGGCTTCACACAAATACGATCTCTTAAGTTTTCTGCCCTTCCTTGTGTAAAAGAATCACCCGGCAAGCTACCAAGAGTATCTCGCCCGCCCGCATGGCAAAAGCCTGGCTACCCGTGATATGCCAAACACAGTAACAACTGTCAAAATGGAGACGTTACTGGGCCCGCTCGAGCAAATCGATGAACAACGGGAGGACAGTGACAGTGACATATATATATATATATATGTATATATACACCTCCTTCCACCTTGCCTTTAGTACACTTAAACCTTCTGTGCACCGGGGCTGGAGTGATAGCACAGCGGGTAGGGCGTTTGCCTTGCATGCGGCCGACCCGGGTTTGATTCCCAGCATTCCATATGGTACCGAGCACCGCCAGGAATAACCCCTGTGCATTGCCGAGTGTGACCCAAAAAAGGGGGGGAAAAATTCTATGCACCTATTTCTGCTGTAATTCTTCGATTTTCTTTTTTCTTTTTTTCTTTTTTTTTTTTTTACCCACAGAGGTAATGAATTTCTTGAGAGCAGGGGGATTATTGATTGCTATGTTCCTATATTTGTAGTTAGGGTTTTAACATAAGGGTTACTTGTTTGATGGGTTGGCTTTGTTTGCTAGTGGGCCACAACTGGCAGCCCTCAGGGCTTGCTCTGGCTCTGTGCTCGGGAATCACTCCTGGAGGAGCTCAGGGGACCTTATGTGGTATGGGTATCAAGCCCAGGTTTGCCGCATGCAAAGCCAACGCTCTAACCGCTGTACTATCACTTCAGCCCCCTGATGGATTGTTTTTTTATCTGTATAAATTTTGTGACTTGAATTTATAGTAATCTGCTAAGAAAGTACATCTGGCACATTCGGAGATAAAAAACCGATTTCGGAAATGTTCTTAATCCTCCCTTTCTAAAATATGCTGACCATTTTTCTCCTTTTCTTTGGGGTGGCGACTATAGATCTGAAGAGGAATGACTATACACCTGATAAAATCATATTTCCTCAGGATGAGCCTGCAGATTTGACTCTTCAGCCTGGAGATTCCACCAAAGAATCTGAGTCAGCCAGTTCTATTCGTCTGATGTTATAAGAATACTGAGTCAATTTTCTTTTTTTTTTTTCTTTCTTTTCTTTTTGTCTACACCTCACCCAAACTGTTAGTGTCACTTTTCCTTTAGCAGGAAATGGTTGGTTCCTGGAGAAGTGTGTGTGCAGGTTGTCTGCGCTGACTCTGACCGGGAGGAAGATCCCTCTTCTTCCGACCTGATGAGTCTGCTCAGCCAGAAACTCCCTGTAGGAGAGAGTGGGCAGCTGTTAAGTTTTAAAGGAAATTAGTATTTATAACTTTTTAAGGGCTTTTCCCCCCTGCCCTCACTCCCCACCCTCTCCCCCAGGATTTCATTTGACTCTGTCCTCATGAGGGTCCTGCCCTCTCTCCTGTGGTGCAATACCATTAACCAAAGTTAGGTGTCCTTGCAGATGACACTGGCAGCTGGCTTACTGCCGTGCAGGTAGCGAAGAGAAGAAATGACCCACCCTTTTGGGTTCAGTGGCAGTCAGAGGTTTCCTCGGTGTGTTCTGGTGTGTACATCGATGGAAGTTACTGGAATCCAGCTAGCAGGTTATTGGTCCAGGTAAAGGAGGTAACTTAATAATTTAGGCTCACAGAAATAGAAGAAGCCTTTGCTGAAACCATTTTCAAAGAGGGACTCTAAGAATCAGGGTTTGACTCCATATTTAAAGATAGAGCCAATTTATATAGAGCCCAAATTGTGCAAAAGTATTGGTGGGTTTTGTTTTTGTTTTTTATAAACATTGTTTTATCAAGTTATTATTAAGTAGAAGAAAGCCATGATAGATTGGTATAAATGAGCAAAGGAAAAAACTTCAGGCACTATTAGACAGAAGTTACCTAGTGAGAAAAGTTAAAAGTGCTTTTTTCCTATCTATATCTGTAGTGACAACCTGGAAATTGCATACTTTTCCAAAGATTTTATTGACCGGTAGATCAGTCAGAATGTGTAAACATGAACTCTTACATATTTAAAAGTGGGCAGGAACAACTGAATATGAGGGTTTTGGGGGAAAGTTTGTGTGTGTGTATGTGTGTGCGTGGTACTTATTTAAGAAACTGAGTTGGATTATTATGTGATGTCGGGAGATTGCAATGCAACATTATGCCAATAAAATGTAATTTAACTGCCCCAGATATTGTTGAATACTCAACAGTAAGAAAAGCTTTTCATCTGACTAAAGTTTTACGCTTTGTTTTTTTTTTTTTCTTTTTACTTTCTAGGTACTAATTTTTATTTTTATTTGGAGGGAGCAGTGTAAATCTTATTTGTATTCTGTAGTGTATCTCATAGATACAGACAAAGCAAGAAGTGAGAAACTGTTTAAATAGTGTTTAATATTGATGAGGGGAGAAAGAAAAAGTGTATTAAAGATAATATTCTATATACATTTTGTATATCATTAAATCTTTAAAAGAAATTAAATAAATTTATTCTTGTTTACAGATGTTTAGTGAGTTTAATTATTCCCCAAAAGTGTCTGATACTTTCGGTCAGTTTGTTTTCAGAGTGTCCATTGTTTTTTTGGTTTGTTTTTAATAAACCATTTGCATACCTGTGCTTTTTCTCCTTTGTATCCTATGCATTGTCTAATGTGATCTTGGTCTACCTTTCCTTCAATGTTTCTTGTTATGTCAGAAATAAGGACCTAGGGGCTGGGGAGATAGCACAGCGGGTAAGGCGTTTGCCTTGCACGTGGCCGACCCGGGTTGATTCCCAGCATCCCATATGGTCCCCTGAGCACCGCCAGGAGTAACCCCTGTGCATCGCCAGGTGTGACCCAAAAAGCAAAAAAAGAAAAAATAAGGACCTGGACTGCAGCTAGGCAGTGGGTAGGGCATTTGCCTTGCACACAGCTGCCCAGGTTCAGTCCCCGACATCCTATATGGTCCCCCAAGCTCTTCAGAAATGATTCCTGAGCACAGAGCCAGGAGTAACCCCAGAGCATTGCTGGATGTGACCCAAAAACCATGAAAAAAAAGAAATGAGAATATAGGCTTTCTACTAGCATTTAAATTTTAAGTTTATTATTTTTACAAGGTGAATAGTAAGTAGCAAGCCTTTATATATTGCTTAATATTGTTTCCTCTAAGGACTTTATATAACCCATTCAATCCTCCTAATTATCTTATGAATTGGTACTGATGTGACTCTTTTTGCAAATTAGAAAATTCAAGATATTAAGCAAGTTATTTTTGTATATTATAATTACTTCCACAGGTTTTTTTTTTTTTTAAATGATCAGGACTCAGTCCAGATTTAGGTGTTGCGTTGGTCTTATTTCTCTAAATACCTCTTAAATTTGGGAGAGGGTTGGGCTAGGGGTGTGAATCTTGGCTTTTTTTTTTTTTCCTTTCTCTTACCTGTCAATGATTTTCTTGGTTTTGGACCACATCTGGTGTGCTGAGGGCTCTGCGTCGCGCAGTGCTGATCATCCTAGAGTGCCATTCAAAGACACTTTTTCTTTGCTTATTCATTTGCCCTAATGCAGAACTAAGAAGAGACAAGGCAGTTCCGACCTTCCAAGCTCTGCCTTTGCTTCCTTCCTTCACCATTTGGCACACTTGGCAGATTCTGACTCAGCTTAAAGGCTCACAAGGCTGCTGCCAGCTTTGGGCACTCCAGAGGGCCCCTCCTTTTCTAACAGACCCTGTCCCAGGACTTGGGGGGTGTATTGTGGGGGGAGGTATGAGGTCTAGGTTTGATGTTGACACACACGAGCCACTTCCTCAACCCAACTGCTAACACTTCTCTTCCCTAACCGTTTTCCTTCAGATGTGGCCCAGGGTTCCCTGTCGAGTTCCTGCAGGGTCAGGGAGAGGTTCTGTAATCACTGCACACCCAGTTGTGCCATTCCCAGCAATACTCAGCCAGGCTCTCAGTGCCTGAGGGTGAGCACAGTCCAGCGGGGACCACCAGACAGTGCTGGGGAAATGGGCTTCATGCAGGGCCAGGCCTCAGAATTTGTATAGCACACACAAGGCATGTGCTCCAGCTCTGCACTACCTAGCCCCACTGAGTGCTGCTGTGACCCTGCTGTGCACTGAACCTGGGCCTCCCACATTTCAAATGTGAGTCCAGCCTATGGAGCAGCTCTCCAGCCCTGTGCAGCATTTTGTAGAGCAGTGGGATTCAGCTTCCCCCCACCCCCACCCGAGTGAGAGAAACACTTCATTGAAGTTCAAGGAGTGGGGTGGGCACCGGGAGGGTGGGTGAGTGCCCAAAGTGACAGTGATGCCACAGGGTCCAGGGACGTACGTGTGTGTGTGTGTTAGGTATAGTGGTTAGTGATGGCGGGAAAAGAGGTTGTATGGTCAGTTCGTTACCAGCAATCCAGTCTTGCTTTCAGTAACCAAGTAAGTCTCATGGCAACCTGCTTAGAACCTTGACGTGAGTGGGAAGGATTATGATGCCCGGAAAAATCTGAGTTGGAATTGTGCCTGAAGTTCAGATGAAAATCAGCTTGCAGACACTTAAGGGGGGGAGAAGCCTCTAGGTCATCACAAACAAGGAGACTCAAAGTGAAAGGCTCAAAGAAATGAAGTTAAATGGATTGGATTACCGTTAGCTCCTGAACAGAAGCGAAAGCCCACAGCGTGGTTCACGACCATGACCTCGCAGCAGCATTTCCCGGTGGATGACTTCGGTATCTACTATGTCCTGTGAGCCTCCATCTCTGGCTTTCTAGATAAACTCGGCTGGGGGTCCTCAGGGAGCGCAAAGAAGTTAGGGGTACATGCTCCCTTGGAAGGGTTCCTGCAGGTTTGACCCATTGGAAATGCCCCAAACTCAATATCTAGGCAATAGGTAGTCTAGGGTCATGTTTCTGGACCCAGGAGAGCACTTGAGTACAGCACATGTTTATAGGTGAGAGGCTGAGGGGTCGACTTCCAGTCCCACGTGTCCCCAAAGCACACGAGTGTGGTTCCAAGCACCTCTAGATGCGGCCCATACACAAAATTTTTGGAAAGACTTTTAAAGAAAGACCCAGATGGTGTAGCTGCTAAGTGACAGGTTTTAAACTAAGATCAATTATTTATCTGAAGTTCATGCTCTTAATCTTTTCTGCCTTCTTATGTGTCTGTACACATATGTAACACATATGTGCATATTTAATAGATGTTCTTTGGGGAGCACCACACTCCTGGCTCTGTGCTCAGGAACCACTCCTGGTGCTGCTCAGGGATGGGATGCTCATATGGGATGCCAGAGACCGAACCCAGGAGGAACACGTGCAAGACCTTACCTGCTGTACTTTCTCCAGCCCTGGGCTGAGGTGTATATGTTGGATGAATTTACTGTCTCTCCTGTTTCTGTATAGTCTGTAAAGAATACAGTCTCTGGCAAACACCAAGAGGCCTGTACACTTTGTCTTAATATTTGTGTATATTATGCTCTCAATACATGTATGTATATATTTGTATGTATGTATAGGTATAGACATCTTATCATCTCATTCCTACTTTGGACAAACTGGCAGGCTACCGAATGTAACCTGTTCACACGGCAGAGTCTGGCAAACTCCCCGTGGCATACCCAATATGCCAAATACCAGTAACAATGAAGGGTCTCATTCTCCTAACCCTGAAAGAGCCTTGAATATGGCACTTTTAAAAAAAATCTCAGGGCTAGGACGAAGGAGATGTTACTGGGGCCTGCTCGAGGCAATCGACGAACAACAGGATGGTCGTGATCGTGATCGTATAGGTATAGATTATACATGTATACATAACATTTGTATACATTACGCTCATATTACATATGTTATTTACATACATTATGCCATATATTATATACACACTTAATATTTGGTACATAACTGTAGCACTGTCCTCCCGTTGTTCATCGATTTGCTCGAGTGGGCCAGTAATGTCTCCATTGTGAGACTTGTTACTGTGTTTGGCATATCTAATATGTCACAGGTAGCTTGCCAGGCTTTGCCATGCGGACGAAATACTCTCAGTAGCTTGCCAGGCTCTCCGAGAGGGGCGGAGGAATCAAACCCGGCTTAGCCCGGCTGGCAGCTTGCAAGGCAAACACCGTACCGCTGTGCTATCGTAACTCTTAGCAGATCCTAAATAATTAGATAGATAGATAGATAGATAGATAGACTCCTCATCTCCACATATCATAAATGACTTGCTCAACAAAAATGGAGAAGAGCCTATCAGAATTGGTAGCTCCTGCAGAAAGCCAGGTTCTTATGTGCGTTCCAACCTGGGTTTAATCCTTGAAAACTCATAAGGTCCCCTGAGCCTCTCCAGTAGTGATCTCTGAGTGCAGAGCCAGGAGTAAACCCTGAGCAATTGTTGGATGCCCCAATCCCCAAGGAAAAAAATGTCAGATTCTTGATTTCAGCAGTACAGAGATGGGCTGGGGAATGGGGGGAGCAGATCATCACATCACATTATGGAAGCCGCAGGGTGCTGAAGGCAGGCAGTGCACCTGGAGAAGTCTAACGGCCCAGAGGAATAACGACCTCCCTCAGGCTCCTGCCTTGCATGACACCCCAACAATGATACGAAAAATAATGAAAGGAAGGGGTTGGTGGGAAAAGGAATAAAAATTAGAAGAAGATTATAGCACGGCGGGTAGGGTGTTTGCCATGTATGCGACTGACCCATGTTCGATCCCTGGCATCCCATATAGTCCACTGAACACCACCAGGAATAATAATAGAGTCACACACTAAGCATCATCGGGTGTGACCCAAAAAAGAAAAGAAGGCAACTGCAGAGATCATGCCAGGAGCTGATGAGTGTTGGGGCACATGCTTTCATGCAGGAATCTGGGCTGTGAGCACCCACACTACGTGATTCTCTGAGCACTGCCAGGAGCAACCCCAGCATTGTGATAGCTGAAGACAGCGGGGTGTGGCTCTAAAACAACAAAATTAAAGACCATTAAAAAAAACCCACAGAAATCATTTACTCAAATACAAAAATATAGGTTCACCTTACCTGGAACTACTGATGGTGCAGTGTGTGGTCAAGAGCTGAAATATTGGTTAAGGTTTGTGTAAGAACGTGTCTGCTTTTGTTGTGAGTTTCAGATTTCACCGTTGTTTTTTTTTTATGTAGAAGTACTGCTATTTATTCAGCCACTGATTAGGCTTATTGAATTGTGTATGAACTCCACCTTACTTTTTTTTCCATTTTTTTGTAATTTTATTTATTGAATCACTGTGAGAGCAGTTACAAAGCTTTCGGGTTTAAGTCTCGGTCATACAATGGAACAACCGTATCTACACCAGTGCCCACTCTCCACCAAAAACTCCAGTATACCCCCATCCCACACCCTTCCCCTACCTGTGAGGCAGATGATTTCCAAGTTACTCTCTAATTACATTCAATATTTTGACACCAGACCCACCATTATTAAATGGGATTTTACCCCAACACTCAGATCTGCCAAAATGGCAACAGTAGACAATTTGTTTTCAATTGCTGGTTATGAATAACATGAGTTATGTGGCTGCAATAGTGGCTGCACGATTTTGAAATTCCTAAATTTTAACAAATCTGGAGGGATTTTTTGCTAAAACCTGCTGGGTTCCGACATTTGTTCCTGGGTCTCTGGGATCATGGCCATTAAGCAGCTTGATCAGGAGCCAGAGAGGCCGTTCGTGGGCGGCGACCCAGGATCTCGTTTGGGACAGGGAGGAAAGGGCCGTTCACAGGATTTTTTGGAAGGAGAAACTTGGGGCCACACCCTGAGCAACGCAGGGCTTACTTCTGTGTTCAGTGATCACTCTTAGCAGGCCTCGGGTGTGCCAGGGATAAAACTCAGTCTGCTACTTGCCTAACCCATGGCATTCTCACTCAGGCCCCAGATTTAAGTAATTTGGTTAGTTGGTTGGTTGGTTGGGTTTTTTCGTTTGTTTGACTTTGGTCTTTGGTTTGGAGGCCACACCTGGCAATGCTCAGGGTTTACTTTTGTCTCTGCACTCAGGGATCACTCCTGATGGTGCTCAGGGTACTGTGTAGGGTCCCAGGAATCACACCCAGGTTGGCCGTGTACAAGGCAAGCTCTCTCCCAACTGTACTATCAGTCCAGCCCCTGAGATTTCCATTTTCACAGACATAATTTCTGCCCACTTCTTTCTGGCTTCATTTCAGATGGTGATTTGGAAGCTCTGTTTCCATGAATTAATGGTCACTTTTGGGATCGCTGCTCCTAACTGCATCCATTCAGAGTAGCCCCACACTCTGTAGAGTTGTGTAATAAAACCAAGACTCTTCCCCTTGTTCTCTCTCTCTTTTTGGAAAAATGGTGCTTCTGTGCACACTTCCCCCTCCATTATAAAAGCTATTTTTGCACTGACTGGATAGCTCAATAGTCAGCAAAGGCACCTGTGCTGGAGTTCAAATCCCAGCACCACATGCTACCCCATCTCCAGCACCCTTGGCTGGCCCTAGTCCCCCAACGGAAATATGCTAGAGTACTCAGCATCCTTGAGTGAGTCTGAACAGTGAGCTGTCTTGACGGACTGGCCCCAGAACCCCGGAAGACTGCTTGGAAGCCCCCCACTTAAAAAAGGAAGCAAAAATTGAAGGGAATGTAGGGGCTGCCCGAGTCTGGGGCCTCACTGGGTCCCAACTGTGGGTAGGTGAAAGAATTTACCATAAGAGTGAGACAATTTGGGCAGAGCGAAGTCAGTTTATTAAAAGACAGAGACAGAGCAAAGGCCTCGAGAGACTCACCTTGCACAGTCTTGGGGAGTGTTAAAAGTTGTCGGCAGGTGGGGCTGTAGAAATAGCACAGTGGGTAGGGCTTTTGCCTTGCACGTAGTCAATCTGGGTTCAATTCCCAGCACCCCATATGGTCCCCTAAGCACCGCCAGGAGTAATTCCTGAGTGCAAAGCCCAGGAGGTAACCCCTGTACATTGCCGGGTGTGACCCAAAAAGCAAAAAAAAAAGTGTAGGCAGGAAGTTTCTGCTTTCTACAGATGGGTGAGCAGAAGAACTGCGGCCAGCGCTAAGAACCAACCGAGCTGCAGCGCAGAGCCCTGTGACAGCAGGACCTCCGTGCTCTCCTGGGCACAGCTGGCTGTGGAGTGGCAGGGCTGGTCTCAGCTTCAGACACTCCGTTTCAGAAACATCCCGTCATAGAAACTTCCACCACCACTCAAGCAACGAACAGTGCAGGGGAGGGGTGTTACTGGCTCAACACTTGGTGCTGATTTTCAGTGTTTGAAGACCTTGAAGAAATGGAATGAAGAGGCCAGGGGGTCCTCCCAACTGAATCCCACCTGAATTCCATGTCATTCAAACGTGGTTCCTGGTGGCTTTCCATCCCTGGGCATGATGTGGGTCATATTCTCCAAGAAAGGTCCCTATGCCAGTGCAGGGCAGAATGTATTCCACTAAAAGTGGATAACCTGACTTATGCTCAGATGTGACTTAGGTTCTGCGGATCTCTACAGATGCAAGGGCTTCAAAATAGAGCCTGGCACCTGCCCCAACTTGAGCTGATGAGGGCAGCCTCGCAGTCGGCCAATGAGAGGCCTTGAATTCTCTGGGGCTCCCTGCATCAATCAGTTCCAATTTCCTCCCAAAACTTGATAAAAAAAAAAAACCAGTTCCCTCACCCCTGCTCATGACTGCCTTTCTCAAAATGGACTCTGGCCATTGCTCTGCTCCTCACAGGACCTCTGAGTGATAAATAGGTGATTTCAAGGTATTTATTTTTAAAAAATTATTTCTGGGGGCCCAAGAGATAGCACAACAGATAGGACATTTGCCTTGCATGCAGCCTACCTAGGTTGCATCCCCGGAATCCCATATGTTCCTCCGAATACTGCCAGGAGTGATTCCCACTGAGTGCAGAGCCAGGAGCAATCTCTGAGCATCGCTGGGTAGCACTGTAGCACTGTCCTCCCACTGTTCATCGATTTGCTGAGTGGGCATCAGTAATGTCTCCATTATGAGACTTGTTGTTACTGTGTTTGGCATATCGAATACGTCACAGGTAGCTTGCCAGGCTTTGCCATGTGGGCGCGATACTCTCAGTAGCTTGCCAGGCTCTCCGAGAAGGGCAGAGGAATCGAACCGGGGTCGGCCCGGGTCGGCCGTGTGCAAGGCAAATCCAACCCGCTGTGGGTGTAACCCCCAAAAGAAAATTAGTGGAACACACCTAGCCTTACTCACAACTTACTTACTCCTGGTTCTGCACTCAGGGATCAGTCTCTGGGGGGAAGGCAAGCCCCGACCTGCTATACTCTTAACTCTGGCCCCATAGGCGTAAGTTTTATGTTTGAGTTTCATTAGTGTTTTTGGAAGTGGGGTACTGGAGCTTTTATTAAGTGTTGGAGATTTTTTTGTCATTATTTCTTCAATCGCTCCACCCCGGAGCAATAGCACAGTAGGTAGGGTGTTTGCCTTGCACATGGCCCACCGGGGTTCGATTTCTCCACCCCTCTCAGAGAGCCTGGCAAGCTACCGAGAGTATCCTGCCTGCATGGCAAAGCCTGGCAAGCTACCCGTGACATATTCGATATGCCAAAAACAGTAACAACAAGTCCACAATTAAGACGTCACTGGTGCCTGCTCGGGAAAATCGATGAACAACGGGAGGACAGTGCTACAATGCTATTTCTTCGATTGCTTTTTCTGCCTTCCCTGCCAGCCAGAGATGACAATTATACTTATGCTGGACTATTTGAAGTTAACTCACAAATCACTGAGGATGTGTTCACCGTTTGCTGTTGTTGGTCTGTGAGCAACACCTGATGGTCCTCAGGGCTTACTCCTGGTGGGCCCAGGAGACCAGGTGGGGTGCCAGGGACTGAACCCAGGACAACTGCATGCAAGCCCCCGCCTGTACTATCTCTGCGACCCAGAGATTGAGCGATTTATAGGATTCCACGCTCAGCCAGGCAATTGCAGGCGGCTGGTAGACACTGTTGTCCATGCCCTGCTTTGGTTCAACTTTTCTCTTTGTTGGGCCTCGCAGTTCTAATAAGGACCAAGTGTGTGTTTGTGTCCTTGGCACGGAAGAAGCGGGTATGGGGGGGGGGGGGCTAAGCTTTATTGCATTCCCGCTGGGTAGAGGTGGGAGGAAGCAGGCCATGTGTCCCCCTCCCTGCCCATTAATCACGGTCACGGTCCTCCCGTTGTTCGATTTGCTCGAGCGGGCCCAGTAACGTCTCCATCCTGAGACTTGTTGTTACTGTGCTGGCATATTGATCTTTTTTAAACTTGATTTGGTTTGTTTGGGCGCCTCGCCGGCTGTACTCCAGGATCACTCCTGGGGCACTCGGGTAACCATACAGGGGAACCGGGGATGGAACCGGGGTCTGCCGCGTGGCCCCGGCCCCTCCCGATACTTTTATTCCTCATCCTGTGCCCCTTCCTCCCTCTCCGCACCCCCGTGCCTCGCGGCGCCCCGCACAGCGCGGAGTGCGCAGACCACGGCGACCCCCTGCCCCCGGGCGAGGCGGACGACCACCAGCAGCGTTCCCAGGGGGTGACGGGCCTGCGCAACCTGGGCAACACGTGCTACATGAACGCCATCCTGCAGAGCCTGTGCAGCATCTCGCCGCTGGTGGAATACTTCCTGTCGGGAAAGTACATCACCGCACTTCGGAAGTAAGGCGCCGGGGTCAGGCCGGGCCGCGGCTGGCAGGTGCCGGCACCGGCGGCCACCGACCAGCCCCCTTTCCTCTCCCAAGGGACTGCGGTCAAGTGGCCACCGCTTTTGCCTACCTGATGACAGACATGTGGCTGGCAGACTCCGACTGTGTCTCGCCCGAAGTCTTCCGGTCAGCCCTGGGCAGCCTCTACCCGGCCTTTATGAAAAAGACGCAGCAGGACGCGCAGGAGTTCTTGATTTATGTCCTGAATGAACTCCACGATGCGCTGAAAAAGGTAAGGTGAGCTGGGGGGGGGTGGGAGGGGTGGGGAGGGGGCTTGGAGACAGGCTTCAGCTCTTTCACCAGCAATTGCTTGGGACCGCGGGAAGAGGCGGTTTGGATTCTAAGGGCTTGAGATTTTTGTTTATTTATTTGGTGGGCTCGAGTGATAGCACAGCGGGGAGGGTGTTTGCCTTGCACGGGGCCCACCGGGGTTTGATTCCTCGGTCCCTTTCGAAGAGCCCGGCAAGCTATCGAGAGTATCCCGCCCGCACTGCAGAGCCTGGCAAGCTCCCCATGACATATTCGATATGCCAAAAACAGTAACAAGTCTCACAATGGAGACGTTACTGATGCCCGCTTGAGCAAATTGATGAATAATGGAAGAGGGTGCTACAATGCCAAGTGCTATTTATTTGGCACTGCCTGGGATGGGACGTAAGGCATCCAAGGCGTAAGGCATGCGAGGCAAATGTCTTACTGTAGAGCCATTTCTTCCTGCCCTCGCTGATAAATTGTTAGGGCTCAGGTTCCAAAACCCACCCTCCTCTTACTCCATTTCACTGTATTCTTCTGAGAAAGGTTAAGTGTCATTTGCAGGAATCAGCAGGTGTAAGAACCACTAGACCAGTTTTGTTTTTTGCCAAGTGCTGCAGTGGCATATTTTTGTTTGACTTGTGGGTTGGGGCTATACCTGAAGGTGTTTATGAGCTTAATCCAGGTTCTGTGCTCAAGGGACCATGTGTGATGTGGGAGATGTCACCACAGGGTTCAAAGTGGAAATCTTGGGACCAGAAAAATAGCTCAGTGAGTTGAGCACAGGCTCTGCATGAAGGAGACCTGGGTTTGATCCCTGGAATGGGTTCCCTGGCACCACTGGGTGTCCCCCAAAGCCGAAAGAAAAATCAACTTAAAAAAGTTTTAGGACGCTAACACAGGGACTCATACCCACACATGAAAGGCAAAAGCTAAAATCCTGGCTCAGAAATACATCTTTTATAAATTCTATTCTCATGTGATAGAATGTTTAGAAGCCATAAATATGGCTCTGGAGTGATAGCACAGTGGGTAGGGCATTTGCCTTGCACGTGGGCAACTCGACCGACCCAGGTTCGATTCCTCTGCCCCACTCGGAGAGCCTGGCAAGCTACCCAGAGTATCTTGCTCGTACAGCAAAGCCTGCCAAGCTACCCGTGACATATTCGATACGCCAAACACAGTAACAAGTCTCACAGTGGAGACATTACTGGGTCCGCTCAAGCAAATTGATGAACAACGGGAGGACACTGACAGTGACAGTGAGTAGAGCAAATGTCTTGTATATGTCAGATCTTGGGATTAATCCCTACTGAAAAAAATAGCATGAACATTTAGAACTTTATAACTCAAAATGTTTTGTTAAGGCACTTGCTTTGTATTTGGCCAACCCAGATTGAATCCCTGGCACCACATATGGTCCCCAGGGGGCAGTCCTGAGCACCAAAGATTTGGCCCAAAACAAAAACAAAGGTTGTACTCACCATCTAATATATTATCTATATGTATGGCAGAATTTTATTTTTGCTTTCTGTTTTTGTTTTGGGGCTATGACTGGAGGTGCTTAGAGCTTACTCTGGCTCTCTGCTCAGTTATCAGTCCTAGTGCGGCTCAGAGGACCATATGTGCTGCGAGGGATTGAACCCAGGTTGGCAATGTGCAAGACAATCTCCCTGCTCACTGTACTATTACTTCAGCCCAGTACGGCAGAATTTTATCTTCACACCAAATTAGCCCGATCCGAGCCTCTCTTTGCATTAGGACACACAGTTACCAAAACAGAACATGGTCAGAGACAAAGGGCTTGGTTCATAGCATTCAATTGCCTTCCTTCTAGAACTGAGAACCCACCTCACCAGAGACATGTCCTTTATTTCTGCAGCATCATCTTGCTAATCTAGGCTGCTCTCATACCTAAATTATTATAAACCATAACGAGTAAAGCCTTCTCATCTGCAGACCCATTTTTTATTTTTTACTAATAATACTGCTGGAGTGATAGCACAGCGAGTAGGGTTGCCTTGCACATAGCCGACCCGGGTTTGATTCCATCATCCCTCTCTGAGAGCCCGGCAAGCTACCGAGAGTATCCCGCCCATATGACAGAGCCTGGCAAGCTCCCCATGGCATTTTCGATATGCCAAAACCAGTAACAAGTCTCAAAACGGAGACATTACTAGGACCCGCTTGAGCAAATCGATGAACAATGGGAGGACAGTGCTAATAATAATCAACTACTCAGGATGCCTTTCCTTTTTTATCTAGGGGAGGGCATTGGTCAGTAAAACTGGTTTAGGTCCTCTACACCAATCCGAGAAGAAACAGTCGAGTTCCTGGGCACATTCCACAACCTGGCACCCTGGGTGGCAATGTGTGCTCGGAGAAGACAGTGGGGGGCAGCGTGCCCACAATTGGAGCTGACTGAGGCATGAATGGGTCATCAGGACGTAAACAGGAGTTACTCAGATCACTGAGGAACATAGTCAATTCCTGACTCCACTGTTTGTTTGGAGTTTGCGGTGATCTGGAAGAAACTGATGGAGAAGGAATGAGTGAATGTGTACAAGTGTTTTATAGTAGAAGCATTCTGACCAGAGAGATAGTAGAATGGGTAGGGCATGTGGCTAACTGCAGTTCTGCCCCCAGAATCCCCAGAATCTCCCAAGCCCTGATTCCTGTACAGAGCCAGGAGTAAACACTGAGCATCACCAGATGTCACCCAAAAAACAAAGAAACAACAACAAAAAACCAACAACAGTAGAAGTGTATTGGGTCTTGCTTCAGTTTGTTTTGGGGCCACACCAAGTAGTTGCTCAGGGCTGACTCTTGGCTCTGCAGTTAGGGATCGCTCCTGCTGGTGCTCAAGGGAACTATGAAATGCCATGGATGGAACCCAGGTCTATGGCAATGCCTTACCTGTCGTTCTGCCACTCTAGCTCTGCATATTTGGTCTTCATTTGGAGGATTGATGATATTTTTGTAAGCAGATATTGTCCCTGAAACTTCTCTTGTTCCTGAGGGTTAACCTCTGGTAACATTGGTCACAGTCAGTGCCAATTTGTTCAAGTACATTTACAGAAATCCCTCAGCAATGTGAGAGCTGCACTTAAGAGTCATACTAGAGGACAAGGCTTACTCTCAGGATTTTAAGATTTTCTTGTTTTAAAAATGTTTTCTATATAGGGACCAGAGAATATAGCAGGTAGGGTGCTTGCCTTGCACGTGGCTGACAGGGTTTGATCCATGGGACCCCATATGGTCCCCGAGTCCACCAGGAGTGATCTCTGAGCACTGCTGGATGTGACCCAAAGGAACAAAAAAAATTTTTTTAAGGTTTCTAATAGGAGGTCTAGGATCATAATTGAAAGGTACCAGATGAAAGATCAAATTCCTTGTTTTATCTTCAAATTAACTGGCCCGACAACTGGTTAAACATCTTACCATTGGGACTAGAGAGATAGAACAGTGGACAGGACACTTGCCTGACATGCAGTCAACCTGGGTTCGATCCCTATTATCCTATATGGTCCTCTGAGCACCACCAGTAGTGATTCCTGAGTGCAGAGCCAGGAGGAGCCCCTGAGCATCTCTGGGTGGGGCCCGCCCGAAAACAAAACAAATATTTTTTTATTTTATTTGATGAAAAACTTTACTCTCTTCCCAGGGAAGGTGCCTTTTTTGTTTGTTTGTTTTGGCTTTTTGGCTTTTTGGCAATGCTCAGGGCTTACTCCTGGCTCTGCACTCAGGAATTGCTCCTGGAGGTGCTCCGGAGATCATATGGGATGCCAGGGATTAAATCCAGTCAGCCAAGTTGTAATACAAATGCTCTCCCCTCTGGACTCTTGCTCTGGCCCCAGGGGAAGGGGAAGTGTCTTAACTCTAGCACGTTGTCATCAATATTAACTTGGGAGGCAGAGACATGTGTTTTACCATGTTTGGGGTAAAACATTCCTCAGCTTCATTGGGAGGGAATGCCCAAATTACCAGAAATTTTGCATCCTCTAAAAACCATGCCCACTTGTCACTTGAATCCAGACTTATGTGGTTTTGGTCATTCTGAGAGGCAGACTCAGTCTTTGCATTATACCTTTTCATTTTTTTGAGGGGGGAAGGGAGGGGACTTTATGTGGTGCCAGGGGTTGAACCCAAGTGCCTCCACCCTGTCCTGTTGCTCTAGTACCAGCGGAGATCGCATGAAAAAAGCTCTGTTCCAAGGTGCTGCAGAAAGATGCTGGTCACTGAGTCCTCCATCATCACGCGTCTGTTTGAGGGGCAGCTCAGCTACAGCGTCATGTGCCTGAAGTGTGAGAACTGCAGCTACAGGAACGAAGTCTTCACTGTCCTCTCCCTCCCCATTCCATCTGAGTCTGAGTGCACACTGCAGGTAGGGCCTGTACTCCAGGAAACCATTTGCTTTGCTTGTTTTTAGGCAAACCCCCTGCTCCGATGCTCAGGGGCTGCTCCTGTTTCTGTACTCAGGGGGACTACTCCTGGTGGTGCTTAAGGGGAACTTGCAGTACCAGGGATCAAACCTAGGCCTCCAGCATGCAAAAGCAGCCAGCTGAGCTGTATCTCTGCTTCTAGAGACTTCTTTTGTCTGGTTTTGCCCTAGCCCTGAATTTTCTCAGAGCTGTTTCCTACATTTTCTTTGTTTATTTTTTCTTTTTAGTTGTGGGGTCATACTCTGGGGTTCCTCCTGGCTCTGCATTCAGGAGTCACTCCTGGTGGTTCTCAGAGGACCATATAGGATGCTAGGGATCAAACCCAGATTGGCTGCAAGCAAGGCAACTGCCCTCCTCACTGTGCTCTCTCTCTCTCAGTCCTTGGTGCTGCTCAGAGGGACCATATGGGGGTGCTGAGGATTGAACCCAGCTTGGCCACGTGCAAGGTAAATGCCTTACCTGCTGTATTATCTCTCCAGCCCCTGTTTCTTACCTTTTCTAATATGAAATAGATTGCTTTAAAAATTTAGGGGCTGGGCTGGAGTGCTAGCACAGCGGGTAGGGCGTTTGACTTGCATGGGACCCACCCGGGTTTGATCCCCAGCATCTCATATGGTCCCCCGAGCACTGCCAGAAGTAATTTATGAGCGCATGAGCCAGGAGTAACCCCTGAGCATCACCGAGTATGACCCTCCCAAAAAATAAAATAAAAATTTAGGGGAAAACCCACAATTATAATTTTTTGAGGGGGCCATGCCTGACGGTGCTGACACTGGCTCTACACTCAGGGATCACTCCTGATGGGGATCAAGAAACTACCTTGGTGCCGAGGATCCAGCCCTGGTTGGCCATGTGCAAGGCAAGCATCCTCCTCGCTCTGCTCTCTCTGCTGTCCCCGGATTATAATGTTTTCTAAAAAAGCAACGCACCACCCCCAAATTACTGTGAATTCAGTTGTATTTCTAGAGGTATTCTGTACAAGAGCCTCGTGTAACTGAGAAGCTAGTTGGGCTTAGTATGTTGCGTTCATGTGTGTAGGGAATTGACATTTTCTGGCAAACCTTTCTTTGCCTTTCCTTACAAAGTTGTAATAGGTCCAGGTCCAGATTGTTTTAAAATTGTTTTCTCAATAGGGACTGGTGAGGTAGGACAGTGAAGTAGGGTACTTGCCTTGCATGCAACCAACCCGGGTTCAATTGCCAGCATTCCATATAGTCTCCTGAGCACAATTAGGAGTGATGTCTAAACAGAGTCCTGCTATTTAGTCTTGAGCTCCATTTTTGGACAAAAACTGTGAAATGCATTGGGAGGATAGAGTGCAGGACCACCATTTACCTATCAAGTTTTCTACACCATAATAGCACTAATATTAATCTGTAGAGATGGATCAGGACCGGAGAGCAGTGGGAGACAGAGAAAAAACACTAAAAAAGCAATACATATATAAGGGGCTGGAGAAATAGCTCAGTGAGTAATGTACTTACCCTGCATGCCGTCAATCCAGCTTTAATCCCTGGCACCCCATAATGATCTCCAAAAGTGATCCTGAATGCAGAGCCAGTAGTAGACCCTGAGCATTGCCAGGTGTTATCCCCCCCCACCCCCGCAACTACCACCACCAAAACAATACAGATATAAATATACATGGTCTATAGGTACATACACGAGGTATTCAGAACTGGGCTCTGTTCTCAGACCGAGCTGCCAAGGGGACAATCACCACATGAACTGCAGGGACTCTGCATAGAGCCAGCAAGCTCTGCTGTGGTCATATGGTCGCTCTTTGGAGGCCCACGGTTTGCAGGACCAGGGAGCCAGGTGTCACAGATAATGTCCCCTAGGTCACCTACTCTTCCCTTCCTGTCTGCTGTCTACCTTGTGGGCCACCCAAGACCCCTGAGACAGGATATTTGTCAGCCTGTAACTGGGTTAGTGAGAACAGCACAGGCGGCTGCATCATTCTCTGAGAAAGTAGACATGAGGCTGCTGGAGCTGAGACACGGGGGCTGTGGCGCCCTGAGGAAGAGGTGGCTCGGTTCCGGCCAGGAGCTGCACTGTGTCTGGGCACCCCTGGGGCCCTGCTGTCCCCGGGCGCGCTGGCCTGAGGAGCCCCTGTGATGGTGTTCCCATTGTGGTCACTGAACACTTTCCCCTCCCAACAGGAGTGTCTCCAGTGCTTTTTCCAACAAGACACACTGACCTGGAACAACCAGATCCACTGCTCTTTCTGTGAAACCAAGCAGGAGACCGCTGTGAGGGCTGTTATATCCAAAGCACCCAAAATTATGATCTTTCATTTAAAAAGGTAAGCGAGGGGCTGGAGTGATAGCACAGTGGGTAGGGTGTTTGCCTTGCCCCATATGGGATGCTGGGAATCGAACCTGTGTCCCAGCATCCCATACATATGGTCCCCCAAGCACCGCCAGGAATAATTCCTGAGTGCAGAGCCAGGAGTAACCCCTGAACATCGCCAGGTGTGACCCAAAAAGCCAAAAAAAAAAAAGAGAATTGAAATTTTTGTGACCAGATTACTGCCCCCCCACCTCACATACAGAATTTTCTCAAAATACAATTTGCATATCATGGAATTCACCCATTTAAGGTGTACAGTGGTGTTTGGAATATCTAAAAATTTTGCAGTAAAATATAGCAAGGACTGGAGAGTGTATTATATGTAGCAAGTGTATAGAGAGTAGGGCTTGAACCTTTCACATGGCAGACCCAGGTTCGATTCTCAGCACCACATATGGTCCCCTCAGCATCAGCAGGAGTAATCCCTGAGCACAGAGCTAGGTGTAAGTCCTGAGCACGACGTATATATAACACACATCCATATCTACTTCACCTAACGTCTTCCTTATTTGGTGTCACTTGACTTCAGTTCTGTTGAAGTAAGATCACTACGGAGTGATCCCTGAGTGCAGAGCCTGGAGTAAACCCTGAGCAGTGCCAAGGTACCGCTCAAAAACTAAAAATAAATTTTTAAAAATTGAAAAGAATATCCACAAATGGAACTCTAGCCAATTTATTTTCTGAGAATTCCATTTGCCATGGGCTGGAGCGATAGCACAGAGGTTAAGGCATTTGCCTTGCAAGTGGCCAATATGGCCGACCTGGGTTTGAGTCCTCTGCCCCCTTGGAGAGCCCGGCAAGCTACCGAGAGCATCTCGTCCGCACGGCAGAGCCTGGCAAGCTTCCCGTGACATACTCGATATGCCAAACACAGTAACAACAAGTCTCATGATGGAGACGTTACTGGGCCCGCTCGAGCAAATCGATGAATAATGGGAAGACAGTGACCGTGACCATTTGCCATCTCTTTAAGTTTTGTTGGAGCAAGCAGTTTGAAGTAAACATGTTCTATGCCTTATAAATTTGTTATATGGGTAGGTGGGGGAGTGGGGGGGGATCTGGGGACATTAGAGAAGGGAAGGTCATACCGGTGGTAAGATTGAAACATTGTATGCCTGAAAAAAACTGTATTATGAACATGGTGTTTTAATAACGGTTTTAAAAAGAATATCTCAGATTCACCCAGTAATTTGATTCCAAAGTCAGCCACTAACATTTTTCCCCCCAAAAGCTTTGATCAGTTGTGGGCCTGGGTGTTCTGTGTATGACATAGAGAATGTGACTAGAGTGTCACAAAACATATCTTATAAAGATCTTGAAACTTCAGAGCTAGCAGACAGGCCAGTGCCGAGGCAGTGTATATTAAAATCACACCAAGAATGGGTTGAGCTTCAGTGTAGGTGGCGCAGCGTGGCACCCCCAAAAGTCACGGAAGTCATGGCTGACCCTCCCCCTCTGTCCTTGTCTGTCACTCCAGACTGTGACTTCCTCCCTCCCTCCTGCTTCCAGTCTGGTTTAAGAGGATTCTGGGTAGGAGATTCTAAATACACAGATGAGAAAAAAAGCGATTTGTGTGCAGGTGGTCTGTGCCTATCTAAGAAATCATTTTGGGCTGGAGAGATAGTACAGTGGGGAGTGTACTTGCACGTTGCCTTGCACGTGGCCGACCCGGCTTTGATTCCCAGCATCCCATATGGTACCCCGAGCACCACCAGGAGTAATTCCTGAGTGTAGAGCCAGGAGTAAACCCTGAGCACTGCTGGGCGTGACCCAAAAAGAAAAAAAAAGCAATCACTTTGAACTCTCAGTGGCATTTATCAAGGTCTCTGGACTTGATTCATGAGCAGAAACTCAGTTTACTCTAACCCACCCTTCTTTCCTCGCCAGATTTGACATTCTCGGCACAATGAAAAGGAAACTGAGAACATCTATTAACTACCCACTCACAAACTTGGACCTCACTCCGTACATTTGTCCAATCTTCAGGAAACACCCGAAATACAATCTCTGTGCAGTGGTGGTGAGTAAAATACCAAAACGATTGAACAGAACACAAGATGTGAAGTAAATTGGAGAACCAGATCTGTCTGAATTCAGTTGAATCCTTCTGCCTTTCCTTGATGTCTCTTCCTCTCTCTCACTGCATCTGTAGAATCCCCTCCATTGTTTTGCATCCATGTTGTTGCAAATGGAAAGATTTTCTCTTACAGCTGAGTTGAGACGTATTCAATTGTGTACCTAAGCATCTTTAATCATCATTCATGGATAAAATTTAGGTTGTTTACCTATTTGGTTACTATAAATAGTGCTGTGATTTTATATGTATTATATACTTATATTTCATATTATATATCTTATGTAATGTGTAATAATATATAATAGTGCTGTGATTTGATATATATATAGTAATTGGTGTTTCCCCAAGCTTCACATACCAAGAATTGAACAGTTGTTCTTTTTTTTTTTTTTTGCTTTATGGGTCACATCTGGCAATGCACAGGGGTTGCTCCTGGCTCATGCACTCAGGAAGTACTCCTGGTGGTGCTCAGGGGACCATATGGGATACCAAAAATCTAATCTGGGTCGGCCGCGTGCAAGGCAAACACCCTACCTGCTATGCTATTGCTCCAGCCCCAGTTGTTCTAGTTTTAATGTTTTGTTTTTGGCTTTTTGGGTCACACCCAGAGAAGCTCAGGAGTTACTCTTGGCTCTGCACTCAAGAATCACTCATGATGGTTCTCAAGGGATCATATGGGATGCCAGGGATCGAACCTGGATTGGCCGCATGCAAAGCAAATGAGCTATCTGCTGTGCTATTGCTCCAGCCCCTAGTTTTAATTTTTTGTTGAATCTATTATTTTTCATAGAAATGGTACCACCACTACTAGCACATGTGTGTTCTTTTTTCTCTGTCTCTTCATCAACACTTGCTCCTTGTTTCTTTGTAATGACGTCATTCTCTGCAGTGTGCTGTGATCTTGCCGAGGTCTTGATTCCTATTCCCCTCATAACGGACGTGCTGTTTTTCAGTGTGCCTCTTAGCCATCTGATGTTGCCTTTGGAGAAGTGTCAATTCAGATATTTCCGATTTTGATTGAGTTGGTTTTCTTGTCGTTGAATTAAATAAGTTCTTTATAATTTTGGATATTAAAGCCCTGCCAAATGTGTAAGTTGCAAACCCCCTACTAGTAAGTTAAGTTCCCTTGTGTGATGGTTTTATCCTGTGCGTGTGACATACTGATGCTTTGGGGCTTGATGTAACCAATTTCTTTCCCATGACTTCTGTCTTCCTTGCTGTTGGAGACTAACACAAAAGTGACCAGCATAAATAGTGGTTACCAGAGCAGGGCAGGGGTTGGGGGGCCGGTGGGGGTTGGGGGGAGAATGTGGGATGGGAGGGAGTTATTCTAGCTTTGGTAATTGTGACATGTAACCTAATTTTTTGAAACGGTGTGAAACTGGATTCCTAAAACTTGTAGCATTGGGTTACTGCACAATATCTCTGTGGGCTGGAGACACCAAAGAGGCATCTTTAAGCTGTGATCTAGAAGAGGCTGCGTGGGTTCAGGTGTGTATCCCTGGGGCTCAAGCATTGGTTTCAGCTGTTTGAAATGATTTCAGGCTCCATCTCAGACTTTTTTGGGCTTGGTCTGTGCATTTTACCAAGATCAAATAAATGCATTTTGAAGTTTGAGAAGTTCCAATGCAGACTAGAAGGGAAGGATACCTCTGCAACAGTATTTCTCACTGAGGACCCCCTAGGATCTTCCCAGGGGTCACAGATATAATGGGGGTCATGGCAGGAAACAAGGGGACAGCTAGTAGGAGGGGGTTGGGGGGACACAGGAAGGAAATAAGATTGGAAGGGAGCCACAGTTAGGAAAGGTCGGGAAATGCTGCTCCCCACTATCCTTAACAGCCTCCGCCAGCCTCCTTATGACTCTTGAGGCACTTCCTGCTTTTTTTTTTTTCCTTTTTGGATCACACCCGGTGATGCACAAGGGTTGCTCCCGGCTTTGCACTCAGAAATTACTCCTGGTGGTGCTCAGGGGACCATATGGGACGGTGGAAATCGAATCCCGGTAGGCACATGCAAGGCAAACGCCCTACCCGCTGGACTATCACATAAGCCCCACTTCCTGCTTTCGAAGGCAGTCTCCTTTGTTACAAACAGTGTTTGCTGATACTTGGCAGTTAAAAGTGCTTTTCCAATTAGTCATTCAGTCCTTACTATGGCATCAAGAGGAGTTGGGCATAGTTATTACCCACATTTTACTGAATAGGAAGGAGCTGCAGGGAGGTTTAATAGTTTGATTGCAGTCACACCACCTAGGAAAGAAAGAGCCAGAATCTAAAGCCAGACAGGTCAGCCCAGGTAGTCTGTGTACCTTGTTACTGTATTAAGCTGCCTCTACTTATTAATAAGCCGCTCAGTATCGGGCCTAATCTAACTTCCTCCTGCTTTCTTCCTTTTGCCCTCATTCCTGTCCTCTGAAATACTAACAAGTGATACGTGGCGTTGTAGTTAATAAATGCTTGTACATTTGTTCGCAAAATGACATTTTTCTCATACAGGATGTCCCTTCAAATATTTCCAAGTGCATTCATACAGAAACAGCATGTATTCCTCAATCCTCTTCAAATTATCCATTTCCGAAAGAACGCTTTTAAAATGATGAAACATTTCTGATTCAGGCACAGAAAAATGTTGGTGATAAAATTTTGCAGGCAGGGGCCTGGGGGAGGGCTGGGGGAGCTGGAGCACATGCTTTGCACACAAGAGGCCTCAACCACCACAAAACAACATGCTCATAAAATTGCCCCTGTGCATCTTTAAAGACACCTCCAGTACAGGGGCTGGAGAGATAGCACAGCATAAGGCATTTACCTTGCGTGTGGCCAACATGGGTTCGATCTCTGGCATCCATATAGTCCCCTGAGCACCGCCAGGAGTAATATCTGACCTCTGAGCCAGAAATAATTTAAGCATCATTGGGTATGACCCCAAAAGCAAAAGAAAAAAGAGAAAAAATTAGAAGACACCAGTCCTCTCCATTCTTTCATAACCACTATATTGAAAATTAGGAAGGCTTTTTTTTTTTCTCTATTTTTGTGGTCACACTAAGCAATGCTCAAAGGTTATTCCTACTCTGCACTCAGAAATCATTCCTGGTAGTGTTCAGGGGACTGTCTGGGATGCCGGGGATTGAACTTGGGTTGGGCATGTGCAAGACAAATGCCCTCCCCACTGGACTATCAACTCCAGCCCACTCCTGTGCACACGTTTATCTTTCATCATCTGTGTTACGTGTCCGAGCACTGTGCCATATTGTTTTGCATGCTTTAGATCTGGCATATTACGTATATTCTTTCACTTCCCTCAGCGTTTATATTCATACATGTTGATAATTAGCTTGCCTTAAACTTTTCTCAATCTTATCACCATCTTTCATAGTTTTGCAAATACTCCAATTTCCCTTTTCATTTTAGCCTACCTAAGTGAGTGTGAAATGCTGGTTTGTGATTTTTGAGTTACATTTTCCTAAGATTAATGTTGATAAGCCTTTTGGAGTGAGGGTGGGGCATCGCAAAGCAGTGCCCAGGCTGGTAATGCTATAAGGCGTGTGGGCCTGACTGTTCAGTGCTGGTCCCTGATGCAGTGTTTGGGCCCAGGTATATCCAGTGGTGTCTGGTGGGGTGCAGGTAGGGCAGAGTACCAGAGATCGAACTTGGGGCCTTAAGTTTGCCTCAAGTACTCCAGCCTCTCCCCCTCCTTCTTGAGCATTTGGTTTCCTTGACAAGTAAAATAAAAATTTACAAAAATTCAGAAAAGATGAATGAACTGTAGTTAAACATTTTGCCACTATATGCATTTTATTATAATCCCATGATCTCTGAGTTGCACATACGATGACTGTCATCCATACATAAATCAGCTTTTCCCTACACAGTATTGCACATAAGGAAACGTTAGATTCCATCACATATTCACAAATCCATATTCAAATGTCCCAAATAGTGGATTTGTTCAGTTTGGAGACCACACCCAGAGATGCACAAGGGCTTACTCCTGGTTCTGCACTCAGGGATCACTCCTGGGGGTGTTTGGGGGCCATATGGGATGCTGGGAATTGCAACCAGGTCAACAGTGGACAAGGGTACCCTTTCTCCTAATGGTTGTTTATTCTATTTGATATTTGATAACAACTGCTTTAAAAAAAATCCCTTTTATTTAGGCACTGTGATTTACAATAATGTTCATACATTATTCAGGAAAAATGTTGCTACACCACACCTGCAAATAGCCTTTCAGGGCACTTCCACCACTGCTTCCAGGTCCCCTCAGAACCCCCACTTCTGGCTGAGTACCCTTCTAGAGGCAGGTTCTTCAGGGTCTGTTTCCATTAGCACGACACCCGCGAGTTCCATCCAGGTTGCAGAAAACTCTCAAGATTTCATTTTTCCCTCATCCACAGTTTCTTTATAGACTCAACTATTGTTGGGCACTTGGGTTGTTTCCAGATTTGGGGCTTTGTGACTAGCACCGAAGTGACTAGAGTGTGCAAATATCTTTCTGACTTAATGTTTCTCTTGGAATTGATGCCAAGTAGACTTCCTGGGTTCCACGGAAGCTCTGTTCTTAAAAGAAATCTCCATACCATTTTTCCAGAGAAGTGGAACCAGAGACACTCCCACCAACAGTGGATCCGAATTCCTTTCTCACATCCCCACCAGCATTAGTTGTTTCTGGTCTTTGTGATGAGTGCCAATCTAACTGGTGTGAGGTTCTGTTGTTGTGATTTGCATTTGCACTGTTAACTGCACTGTTATTTTGTTTCGTATTTCCCTGGTGAAGTGATGAAGAGTACTTTTCCATGTACCTTTATGCTGTTTTGAGGAAGCCGTCTGCTCAGCTCCTCCCCCTATTTTTGATGGGGTTGTTCATTTCCTGTTGTTTTATAAATCTCAGATCTTGTTTGAGGTAGTCCCATTTGCTTACTCTGGGCCATACCTGCAGTGCTCAGGACTTACTCCTGGCTCTGTGATCAGGGATCTCTCATGGCAGGCTCAGGGAACCATAAGGGATACTGGGGATTGAACCTGGGTCAGCTGTATTGCAGGGCAAACACCCTATTTGCTCTGCTGTAGCTCTGGCCCCTCCATTTGTTTACATTTGCTGATGTTTCCTAAGTCAATAGTACTGAATCATTGAAAATGCCTCTAAAGTCACCATCATGAAAAGAATGGTTTCCTTGATACATTTTAGTCTACTTTTGAGGCTTTGATCCATTTTTTTTTTACCATGGTAAAAATAACCAGTTTCCTCAGCACTATTTGTTGAAGAGGCTTCCCTTGCTTCCTATCATATAGTTCCTTTGGCATAGATTAATTGTCCATACACAGAGGTTCTGTCTCTGGGCTGTCAGTCTCTTCCAGGAGAGTCTGGCTTTTTTCCCCAAGGACACACAATTTGTTTTGTAGTGTAATTTGATGGCAGGGATAGAAAAACCATCTTTTCTCAAAGATGGTTAATTACTTTTATTTCACATAAATTTTAACAGTTTTTGTACCATGTCCGTAAGTAATGCCACTGGAATTTTGATGGGGACTGAAATGAAACTGTAAAGTGCTTTGGGTAGAATCATTTATTTTGGTTTTGGGGCCACACTGACTGTGCCCAGGGCTTACTCCTGGTGGTGCCCAGAAGATCATATTAGATGCTGGGGATTAAAAATGGATTGACCACGTGCAGGGCCTTATCCACTGTATCTTACCCACTGTACTATCACTTCAGCCTAGGGAGGATCATTTTAATGGTAATTCTTCCAATCCATTCACAAGAAAGCCATTCCTTGTAGTCACTATTTTAAATGATTTAAAATAATCTTTTCTGTTTCCCAGGCACTTGTTATTTTTTTTGGATGCAACTGTGAATGAAAGTTAAATTTTTTTCTTTCTGGGGCTGGAGCAATACCACGGCAGGCAGGGCGTTTGCCTTGCACACGGCTGACCTGGGTTCGATTCCCAGAATTTCATATGGTCCCCTGAGCACCACCAGGGGTAATTCCAGAGCCAGGAGGAACCCCTGAGCATTGCCAGTTGTGACCCAAAAAAGCAAAAGAGCAAAAAAAAAAAAATTTTTTTTTCTTTCTCTTCTACTTCATTGTAAAGATGCAATAAATTTCTGTGTATTGATTTTATTTCCTGCCACTTTACTACATAGGCTTTATTGTTTCTACAAGTATTTTGGTGTAGTTTTTGTATTTTCTAAGTACAATGTCATCTGCAAGTAGTGAGTCTGGCTTCTTTATCAATTTAAATACCTCTTATATCATAATTGCTTGGCAAGGATTTCCAATACTATGTGGAGTTCTAGTGATGAGTGATGTCTGTTTTGAATTTTTTTTTGTATCACCATACTTAAATTTGCTCTAATGATTTTGGGATGGAGTCTTTGATATTTTCTCTATATAAAATAACGCCATCGGGGGCCAGAGAGATAATACAGGGGCTCGGGCACTTGCCTTGCCTGCAGCTATCCCCAGGATGATCCTCACATGGTTCCCCCAGGACTGCCAGAAGTGATCCCTGAACACAGAGCCCAGAGCAGTCCCTGAGCTCCGCGGTGTATCCCACCAGGTACCCATCCCCCACTGTATAAAAAAATTCCTGTTAACAGAATGACCGTAGGCACACAAATGGGACCAAACAGTTCTCACCTGGCAGTTCTTCATGCCTAGTCTACAGAGCCCTGGCCTTTTCTCTCACAGATGTTTTAGGATTGGAGTTTTCTGTATGCATGCCTGATGTGGTTTTTACATCTGGGGGGCAAACCCTAGCATGTTACTTTTTGGCAGGGATTGAACCCAAGAACCCAAGCCTCCATCCATCGCACAAAGCATGTGCTCCGGCTCTCCGAACTGGCCTTAGCTTGCTTTCCAAATTGTTTTTTTTTTTAATTTCCCCCTTATCATGGTCACGGTCCTCCCGTTGTTCATCGATTTGCTCGAGCGGGCCCAGTAACATCTCCATCATGAGACTTGTTGTTACTGTGTTTGGCATATCGAATACGTCACGGGGAGCTTGCCAGGCTCTGCCGTGCGGGCGAGATACTCTCGGTAGCTTGCCAGGCTCTCCGAGAGGGGCAGAGGAATCGAACTCGGGTCGACCATATTGGCTGCGTGCAAGGCAAACGCCCTACCGCTGTGCTATCGCTCCAGCCCCCAATTTCCCCCTTATAATTTAGATAAACACTGTGGTTAACAAAGTTGTTCATGATGATTTGCTATAGACATACAATATTCCAACACCAATCCCGCCATCTTTACACCTTCCCTCTACCACTGTCCCCGATTTTCCCAACCACGGCTTAAGCCTGCCCCATAGCAGGCACTCAGTAATTTATTTTATGTTTGTTAAAAATATCAAATTGCTACTTTTGCTCTGGCCCTGAGGTAAGTGAATCTGCACTTAGCAAATGGATTCTCTTCAGCAACTGATCAGAAAGCTAGACGTTTTGTTGGAACCTGCCTAGTGACGATCCCAAGGACTGGTGCTTTTGTGGAGCACAACACCCGCTCCTCCCCTCCCCTGCTCATCCTCATGCACTGCCACATGGAAAGCTGTATAGCTGGTGTGCTGGAGGGGGGCGCCTCCCTATACTGCCGTCTTGAACTGCCTCCCCTAGCATATTCTCAACATCAAGTGAAAGAGGTGACGCCAGGAATCAAACCAGGCCAGCTGCAGTCAAGGCGAGTACCGTTAACCTTTGTACTATTTCTTTGGCCATTCCCAATTTTGCTTTTTTATTTCTTAGAGTATCTAGATAAGCATCAGTATCATGCTTTAGTAGATGGAGAAGTAATCTCAATTTCCTAGTCATTGTGTAGTATTAATTATAGAACTGAAATCACAGTTGCCTTCACCATAAAAACTCCTTTCTTCCTCTTCACATCAGGGGTCAGTGAACTTATCTTGTGAAAGAATTTCAGGCGTTATGTTGCAACTATTAAACTTTGGCTTTTGTAATGTGAAAGAAGCCACTTGAAAAACAAACAAATGGCCAGGGCTGTGTTCCCGTAAAACTTTATTAAGGACATTGAAATTTGAGTCTTATAATAACTTCACATTTCACAAAATATTATTGTTTTCAACCATATAAAAATATAAAATGTATCTCTAGGTCACGGGCCATATCAAAACGAGCAGCAGCCTGGATCCTGTTCAAGGGCGCCGCCTGCTGGCCCCGCTCCCTACACACAGCTGACAGGCAAAGCTCTCCCTTGTCTGGATTCAGACAGACATGGGGAAAAGCACAGAAAAGTTGGGTTTTGGAGCCTCAGTGACGGAGGGGACTGCTTGACACAAGCCCCTGAAATTGTGCAGTAGCAATATGCAGCTGTTGAAAGGTCTTTTTCTAATGTTAAACTGTCTTTTTTCAGGTCCGTCTTAGCCTAGCTACAAAATTAAACGCTACAGGTCATTTAGGAAGGATGACTATCTTCAAGTTTCTTTTAATGTTTAATAGAGTATTAGTGTAGTAAGTGCTGAGAGTATTAAGTGCTAAGCATTAGACACTATATCAAAAACTATTCTACTTCACTCAAAGAGTCGATTAAATCATCATTGCCCTCAGGATTCGCGCTCTGCTAATGGATGGGGAAAGGCCATGGTACTCAGGCTCAGGGTCTATTTAGAAATTATTTTCTTTGTGTAACGGATTAAAAGTATCTCTTGACTCTTCTGTTCCAGCAGTCTAAGCAGTCCCTTGTGAACACTAAGTCTCACCTTCTTCCTCCCCTAGAACCACTTTGGGGATCTGGATGGTGGCCACTACACAGCTTTCTGCAAGAACTCAGTTAGCCAGGCGTGGTACAGCTTTGATGACACACGAGTCAGTGAGATTCCAGACACTTCAGTTCAAACTGCTACAGCCTACCTCCTGTTCTACAGCTGCCAGCCCTTCTCTATACCTATACGAAAATGCAAGAGCTAGAAAAATGGGGTTTCCTGAAAACTGCAAGACAAGCAATCAGATACTGGCACTGAAATTTTGCTTTATCATTAAACTCTTGCCAACTTCTCTGTGTCACTGGCATTACAAAATCTTTCTGGCATGATATGCAACTTAATCAAAGAAGTTATATTTCAAAGTACTGCATATAACATGTTGAGTTCAGACTTCAAAATTCAATGTTTGAGTACATATTTTGTTTTTTGGGTCATATTCAGCAATGCTCAGGGGTTACTCCTGGCTCTGCACTCAGGAATTACTCCTGGTGGTGCTCAGGGGACCATACGGGATGCCAGGGATCAATCCTGGGTTGGCCGTGTGCAAGGCAAACACCCTACCCACTGGACTTATGTAAGCTCTTGTCCCCATATTTGAATATATTTTTATTGTAAACTATCTTCATGTGTATATACCAACAAGTTACTTTCCAGCACTTCAGGTGGCCAAACCATAATCACTATAGTTCACTTGATTTTTGTGATTTCAAGAATGTGATCTGAAAATATTTTAAGAGATAGTTTATTAATTTGCCAATAAGCTCTTTCTTTTTCAGTTTAAAAAGTTTTAAACTAAACTTTTAGTTTTTTAAACCAAAATAGAAAAAGCTTATTGACCAAACTAAGTATCTGAACTAAATGTAAAACATGAGATGTGGTCACCTTCCTAAGATAAAACTCTGTGACTTTGCTGAGATTGGTGGGAACTTTCAAAAGCACCTTTGAGTCTTATTTGCAATATTTTATTTGAATTCGTCTATAGCCACTGAATTCCTGAGAAACAATACTTTCCAAACACCTCTAACCTTTTATTCCTACTTACTCCATCACTTGGTAAAGATGTGGTTTAAAACGTGGTTCACTATGCAGTCATGCCTGACTTCCAGTCCTCTTCCTCTGAACCTCAGGGCTCTTGAAGTCTTGATAAAGTTTTATTTCTTCTAACTTTGACTCCCAACTCTGAGAACCTACAGTTCTGGGGTCCAGACGAAGGATGAGTGGAGTAAGAGTCCTGATCCAAGTCAACTAAACTTTAAGTTAATGTAATAGGGTAACATGTGTATGGGTGTATAAAATCTAGAGTTCTACACTATTCTGTTTGGTAATGTTAACATTAATGACAGAACACTTAAAAGGGTTTTAAATTATTTTTCTCATTAAGATTTTAATGTAGGTATAAATGAGAGTTCTTATTTTAAAAAATTAAAGAAAAGTTTTACATTTTATTTTTTTTAGAATAAAGATTTAGTGCACAAATACAGCCCAAAGCTAACAGAAAAACAGCTTTGCCCTGTCATTTCCCTAAGAAAGCACTGCAGTTACTCAGAAGAGGCCAAGAGAAGGGAAAAAAACAAAAAAAGCAATTATCTGAGTTCTAGGCTTCACAAAAGGACCATGTATTAGAGTATATACATCGATTTGATGTGCAATTGTGCAATAAATATATACACATACATTCCTATCTGCTTTACATCATTCTAGAGTATTATTCATAGGTCAAGCTGGGATTTAGAAAGTGAAAAGGCCATACAGTGAAAAGGAAAAGAAAGGATATCAATGGTTTTTAGGCCAGTATAATACTTAGCTAATTATTTCTGACTTTGGAGCAGACTACAAAAGTTCTTTTTAAATAAATGGTACCTGCAAGGAGTGCTTACTGCAATACTTGTTAAATGTTGTCAGCTTTTTCTTATATCACTGACCTGAAATATGTGGCGACAGTAACACAGCTCCCACTATCATACCGTTGCTCTGCAACTCCAGCTCGAGCTATCCAGTATCGTTATGCGCATTTCAAGAGTTGTGTTGCTCAGCCTTTTCAAAGGTTAACTAGCTGATCCCCTACTTTTAATTTATGTGGCTACATCAGCTGCTCGTGGTCCCACTGAAGTATAAAAGAGGATGTAAGCTGCTGAAGATTTCACAGAAGAAATGGAGATATCAGAGACTTCATGATCATCAAACTTAAACCAGCGCTGTCTGGCTGCGTTCTTACAGTAGGCAGTGTAGTGGCCTCCGTCCAGCCCACCGTAGTGATTCTGTCAGGCGAAACAGAAAAGCCTTTCAGTGGAATCACAGACAAGATGTCAATTTCAGAATAATTATCAGGTTGGGGTTTTTTGTTGTTGTTGTTAGCTCTGAACACATTTGGGCTCAAGGAGATACTTACCGAAACAGAAAACAAATTATATTTCTTCAAGTTGTTCTTTGGACCAATAACATACTGAGACAAATCAAGATTTTCTAATGGGAAGTCCACATATGTCTGTAATTTTTGCTTCCACCTGCCATCATAGGAAAAACTGCAGAGCAAAACAAGAGATTAAATAGATTATAGTGACAGACTACAATGGAATAATATATTTTAATATAATAAAATAACACTTTTATATTATATATTAGTTAGTAATATATCTTATTTAAACCCGAGTTCATTCACTATTTTGGGGGGTCACGCTTCCTGGATGCCAGGGACTTGAACTGGGGTTCAATGCAAGAGCCTTAACCCATACACTATCTCTTCCATCAGGATAATAGCATCTGTCTCAAATATAGCCTAATACTTTTGTTTCTCTGCAACTTTATCAACGAGGAAACTAAGCATACGCAGTATGCTTGGCCCAGTGTCAGACCTAGCATGGCAGCAGTGGGGCCACTCCGAATCAGCTGACAGGCCCGCCAGATTATTGGTAACAGGCAGGCAAGCCCTCCCCTCCATGTGCTTATCCCAGCAGACAGGAGACAGGGAGCTGCTCTCCAGTGAAGCAGAGAATTACAGAGCCAATAAGAGCGTGGAACTATGGGCGTGTAGACCTGTGATCAGAAATAATGGCATCCTATCGTTAATCTCCAAGTTTTAAAAACCTGAGTTTTTACAGCAAACATCATCCTCAATGGGGAAAAACTGAGAGCCTTCCCCCTAAGGTCAGGGACGAGACAAGGATGCCCACTCTCTCCACTACTGTTCAATATAGTACTGGAAGTACTTGCAATAGCGATTAGGCAAGAAAAAGATACTAAGGGCATCCAGGTAGGGAAAGAAGAAATTAAGCTCTCACTATTCGCAGATGATATGATACTATACTTAGAGAACCCTAAAACCTCTACCAAGAAACTGGAAACAACAGGCTTGTATAGTAAAGTGGCAGGCTATAAAATCAATACCCAAAAATGGCTTTCCTATACGCAAATAGTGAAAAAGAAGAAAGTGACACGAAGAAAACAATCCCATTCACAATTGTGCCCCAGAAAATCAAGTACCTGGGAATCAGCTTAACTAAGGAAGTAAAGGACCTGTACAAAGAAAACTACAAAACGCTACTTCAGGAAATAAAAGAGGACACGAGGAAATGGAAAAATATCCCCTGTTCATGGATGGGGAGAATCAACATTGTCAAAATGGTAATACTTCCCAAAGCACTGTACAAATTCAATGCAATTCCTATAAGGACACCCATGACATTCTTCAAAGAAATGGAGCAAACACTCCTGAAATTTATATGGAACAATAAGCCCCCACGAATAGCTAAAGCAATTCTTGGGAAAAAGAAAATGGGAGGAATCAACCTACCTAACTTCAAGCTCTACTACAAAGCAGTAATAATTAAAACAACATGGTACTGGAACAAAGGCAGAGCTGCAGACCAATGGAACAGAGTTGAATATACTGACATCTCCTCCCAAGCATATGAACATCTAATCTTCCATAAGGGGGCAAGAAAAGTGAAATGAAGCAGGGAAAGCCTCTTTAATAAATTGTGCTGGCAAAACTGGACGGCTACATGCAAAAAAGTGGGCTCAGATCTCTGCCTAACGCCATGCACAAAAGTAAGATCAAAATGGATTTATGACCTCAACCTCAACATCAGACTGGAATCCATAATGTTTATTGAAGACAAAGTTGGCAAAACTCTCCATGATATTGAAGCTAATGGTAGCTTCAAAGATGTCACGCCACTGGCCAAGCAAGTGAAAACAGAGATAGACAAATGGGACTATCTTAAACTAAGAAGCTTCTGCACCTCAAAAGAAACAGTGACCAAAATACAAAGACAGCCTACAGAATGGGAAAGGATATTCACTAAATACACATCAGACAAGGGGTTGATATCAAGGATATACAAGGTACTGGTTGAACTCCACAAGAAGGAATCACCCAACCCCATCAAAAAATGGGGCGAGGAAATGAACAGAAACTTTCGCAAAGAAGAAATCTGAATGGCAAAAAGGCACATGAGAAAATGGTCTACATCACTAATCATCAGAGAGATGCAGATCAAAACCACAATGAGATATCATTTCACACCACAGAGACTGGCCCACATCCACAAGAACAAAAGCAACCGGTGCTGGCGCAGATGTGGCGAGAAAGGGACCCTCCTTCAGTGCTGGTGGGAATGCCAGCTGGTCCAGCCCTTTTGGAAAACAGTATGGACGATTCTCAAAAAATTAGAATTTGATCTCCCATTTGACCCAGCAATAGCACTCCTGGAAATATATCCCAGAGAGGCAAAAAAGTATAGTCGAAGTGACATCTGCAATTGTTTGTTCATTGCAGCACTCTTTACAATAGCCAGAATCTGGAAAAAACCTGAATGCCCAAGAACAGATGACTGGTTAAAGAAACTTTGGTACATTTACACAATGGAGTACTATGTAGCTGTTAGAAAAGATGAAGTTATGAAATTTACATACAAGTGGTACTACATGGAAAGTATCATGTTAAGTGAAATGAGTCAGAGCGGGATAGACACAGAAAGACTGCATTCATCTGGGGAACATAAAGCAACAAAACGGGAGACTAACACCCAGGAATGGCTGAGATTAGTACCAGGAATTTTGCTCCATGACTTGGAGGCCAGCCACACATGCTAAGGGAAAAGGAAGCTCAGATAGAGAAGAGAGCACCGAATAAAGGGTGTCGTGAGGATCCTCCCAGGATGGGAGAAGCATGCTGAAAGTAGTCTATAGACCAAACATGATTGCCACTCAATGCCTCTCTTGCAAAACACAGTACCCAAAAGAAGAGAGAGAGAACAAGGGGGAATGCCCTGCCACAGAGGCAGGGTGGGACGGGGGGGGGGGGGGGGGGGGGGGGGGGAGGGGGATGGGGGTGAGAGGTATGCTGGGACCCGTGGTGGTGGAGGATGGGCACTGGTGAAGGGATGGGTACTTGATCATTGTATAACTGAAACCCAAGCACGAAAATTTATAAGTCTATAACTACCTCATGGTGTTTCACTAATAAAAAAGTTTTAAAAAATTAAAAAAAAAAAAAAAACCTGAGTTTTTGATTCCTGGCACTCCAAAACACACAAAGTACCTATTTTAGATATTCTCCAAGAATAACAGGCAAAATTGTGAAAGAAATAATCATAAATCAGCATATTTATACCTCTATAATTCTTAGTTGATTTTTTTAAAAAGGAATCTGAATGTGACTGCTAAAATTACAGATCGTAAAAAGATTTTTTTAACTTAAAAAGTCTAAAAAAAATTGACTTACATTCTACAGGTGCTCTACATAAATGCAAAAAGACTTGGAACATATTTTACAACCTTTGCATTATCCTATTACAATGCTATTTTTTTATTTGTTTGGCTTTCTTATTTAGGCCCAACCTAGCAGTGCTCACTCCTGCCAGATTTGGGGGACCACATGGGACACCAGGGATTGAAACAAAGTAAGCAACCGCCCTATTCCCTGCACTCAGCCTCACAAAAGATAGATTTTTCCCCCCCAGGTCATACCTGGCAGTACTCAGGGGTTAATTTTGGATATGTACTCAGGACTGAGTGTTCTGGCATGCTCAGGAGATCCTTAGAATGCTGGGGACTGAACTTGGTTCATTCACGTGCAAGGAAAACACCCAACCCACTGTACTATCACTCCAGCCCCAAGACAGCTAGATTTTTTCATTATTAAAACAAAAATCCGGAGGTATGGTACTGCCATCAACCTGTACCTGCGGGGCGAATGCATCAGCAGCCTGATGGTGCCTTCAGAAGTCCCGATACCCCAAAATTGCCGCTGTACAGTTGGCCAGACCCCAACAACTTGGAGCCAAATTTACCAAGAAATTAAACAGCCAAAAGTTAGGTATGTGGAAGTCACATTCACAAACCACCTTCTGCTCAGCTACACAAGCTCATTTATTGGCCTTATTTCAGAGACCCATATATCTCGAAAGAGATCAAAAACCGCGAAACCAGCGGTTGAAACCAGTTGAAACCAGCGATGCAGGGCATATGCCAATAATTTATTTCTCTGGAAAAGATGGAAACAAGGATCACAATCCAGAGACACACAAAAGAATCTCCAAACTGAGCAGCTCGCTGCAAAGATGCCTCCAGATTTTAAACCAGGCCGACTTCAATAGGGTGCCTCAGACAGGGGCAGGTGTCTTCCCTCCCCTGTCCCCTAAAATCCCCAGTGGCTGCCAACTTCCAGAACCCAATGAGAAATGCAAGTAGGCGGGTTCAGTGACAGCAAACTCCAGGATCAAGGAATAGGGGATGGGCTGGCCCCTCTCATCCCCCATCCCATGGGACCCTAGCGGTCATGCCCACAAACTGCTCCTGGCTGCTACTTAAGCTCCTTAACAGCAATGATCCAGAGACACACAAAAGAATCTCCGAACTGAACAGCTCGCTGCAGAGATGCCTCCGGACTTTAAACAAGGCCAACTTCACTAGGGTGCCTCAGACAGGGAAAAGCGTCATCCTTCCACCTGCCCCTAAAAAACCCTGGTGGCCACGCGCCATGTGCCATCTTATGCTATTCATAACACAACAACAACACACAACACTATCCTCCCGTTGTTCATCGATTTGCTCGAGCGGGCCCAGTAACATCTCCATTTTGAGACTTCTTGTTACTGTGCTTGGCATATTGAATACGTCACAGGGAGCTTGCCGGGCGAGATACTCTCAGCAGCTTGCTGGGTTCTCCGAGAGGGGCAGAGGAATTGAACCTGGGTCGGTCGGGCCAGCTGCGCGCATGGCAAACGCCCTACTGCTGTTCTATCGCTCCAGTCCAGCACAACTACTCATAACAAGCAATACAAACGAGAGTATGGGGGAGATTATCTGCCATAGAGGCACGGGGAGGGATGGGGAAAGATACTGGGGTTCTTGGTGGTAGAAGATGTGCACTGGGGGAGGGTTGAGTAATGGGTCATTGTATGACTGAAACTCAAATAGGAAAGCTTTGTAACTGAATCTCACAGTGACTGAAAAAATAATAAAAAATAAACATTCTGAATAAAAAAGTAATGTGGAGTTCATGCCCAATTCAATCAGCTTAATCAATGGCTAAATAAATAGCAGTTACTCCTACATTAAAAAAAAAATAAAATACCCATTCTCTATAATTACCACACCACATTTGATGGGGTGCAGATAGTAGGCAACAAATCATAGAGGGAAATATACATATATATGCATATATACATATTTTCAGATATATATACCAAAGCTCACATCACTCAAACTTTAACAACATGTCAGTGATATCCTGTAGAATGTTTTAATGGCACCTGCCAAAATAGAACAATCTTCACACTGTTTCCTATATGAACACTTCTTTGTAAGCATGTTCAGCAGTTCTTCATAACAGATAATACAAAATATATTCTTTCTGTTGTGTTTTGGGATAAGGATTAGGGTTTGGGATTGAAATATCCCGAATTTGGTGGTGGGAAGGTATATTGGTGGTGGGATTGGTGTTTGAATATTGAATATAATCAAACATTATGAGCTAACTTATAAAATTTAAAAATTAAAAAAAAAGTAATGTGGAGTTCATGCCCAATTCAATCAGCTTAATCAATGGCTGAATAAATAGCAGAGCTCCTACATTATAATTAAAAAATAATGGGGATACTGGGGACACTGGTGGTGGAAAATGTGCACTGGAGGAGGGATAGGTGTTCGATCACTTTATGACTGAAATTCAAACATGAAAGCTCTGGATTTCTTGGTGATTAAATAAAATAATAAAAAAATAAAAATTCCAATAAAATAATAAAAAAATTCCAAAAAATGTAAACATTTCTGTTTGGGCCACACCTGGCACTGCTCTGTAGCTATCTGCAACTGTGCTTCCCGAATAAAGAATGCTCCCCGCCCTCTGTACCCCTCTCTGAGCCTGTGTGTGATTTTTTCTATAGGCGCCCCATCTGGTGATGTAAATACCAGGGACTGAGCTCTCACTGTTAAGCAGAGGCTCAACCACTTGTGACAAGTCCCCAACCCCTGAACATTTTTTTCTTATTCATTTGTTTTCTTGGTAATACCCTGCTGTGCTCAGGGGTTGAGTTCCTTAAACCAAATACTACCTCTCTTGACCCCCACTAACATTACCTTAAAAAAAAAAAGAACTGAAGAAGTTATTTGTTAATAAAATCCTCAAAATCATTCCTTATATATTTGAAGTATACTAATTTACACTGATTTTAAGATACAGAATTGCATGAAGTAGTGGTCTTGTTCACTCTGGTGGTGTAAACACAAAGTGAATTAACAGCCTCATCCTTTCTGCATGTCTTCCCTACAGATGCTCCAACCAGATCATCATCTCTTACAAATACTTAGGAATTTAAGACAACAATGGATAAAGGACATAGCATTTTTTGCAGGAAATCATTAAACAGTTTGTAGAATCTTAAGCCTGGCCCCTTTACCGTTTCAGATGCACTAAAAGCACAAGTGGTAACTTCCAAATTTCTATTTTTTTGAGAGAGTCCCGCCGAGCTCTGCAGTGACTGCAGTAAAACCTGTTGTTGTCTGTGAGTTTTTCTTCTTTGGAAAATAACCTAAGGCAATCCTGAAGGAAAACACAAGCAGTAGACACTCATCAATTCATGTGGTCAGTGACGACCTTGCGCAAACACAGGGGCTACGCACGCCCAGCCAATGCCCAGTGGCAATGAGGGGCCAAGTACTGGGGGGGAGGAGGGGGAGAACCCTGGGGGAGGGAAGGAGTCCTGAGAACACACAGGAACCTGACCTAGTCTACCTGGAATGGAAAAAGACACTACTGAAGGAATCCACAAGCCACTCTGAACTCAGTGCTGCTATGTGGGGAACAGACTACTTGACATTCCCACCCAGAGCAAGTTCTTGTTAAAACGTGGGTCGGGGCAATGGCTCAAGTGCTAGAGCCCTGGGTCGTCCAATCCTTAGGCACTTATTGTATCGTCTGATGAGCACATTGGGAGTGACCCTCCCACCCTACCACAAAAAAAAAAAAAAAAAAAAACTGTTTCCCAACTTCTCATTTTCATTCTTTGTTTTTGTTTTTGGGGCACACCTGGCAGTGCCTGGGCAACCATATGGGATGTTGGCAATCGAACCCAGGTGGGCCGGATGCAAGGCAAGCACCCCACCCATTGTACTATTTCTCCAGGCCCATCATTTTTGCTTTTTTTGTTGGGGGAGGGAGCTGGGACCATGTGCCAGGGCTGAACCTAGGGCTCTAGCAAGCAAACACACAATCCAGCTCTTTGGACAGTCCCTGTCTTTCCATCCATCAGTTTCCCGTCTCGGACTGTGGTGCTGCACGGCCTCACGCTCAACCTGCCCTTTGAAGGAGTACCTAATGGGAAAGGGTTTTTTTTTTTTTTTAAAAATATGGAATGCTTCACGAATTTGCGTGTCATCCTTGTGCAGGGGCCATGCTAATCTCTGTGTCATTGGCTTTGTTTTTTTTTTTTAAGGTCAATTTTTTTTTTGGGGGACAATGAGACCTATCTAAAACAGAATTTTTTTTTTTTTTTTTTTTGCTTTTTGGGTCACACCTGGCGGTGCACAGGGGTTACTCCTGGTTCATGCACTCAGGAATTATTCCTGGCATTTCTTGGCGGATCATATGGGATGCTGGAAATCAAACCCAGGTCGGTCACGTGCAAGGCAAATGCCCTACCCATTGTGCTATTGCTCCAGCCCCTAAAACAGAATTTTTGCCTATAAAATGTCTATGGGGCAGAAATTCAAAAGTTGTCCAACAAAGTACATGTCTGTGTACACATAAGCAATTTTTTGATACACAAACAAAGTTTGATACATTCGAAATTCATTTTTCCAAGCTCAAACTTACCTGTAATGTGCATTTACTTGTGGATGCTAGCGGCAAAGATAGATACATGAAGGCCTCAAATGTCCGAGACTTTTTGTGACAGGTGAGGCACTGGACTGTGGATTTAAACTGACCCTGAAAAAGTGTAACAATAATAGACTCATTGAGCTGCTTGTGCTTCTGCCAGGCGTGCTCTGCAGCTTTCAAGTCATCGAGATGATCGTTATTTTCTTCTTTATGTCTCTTCCGGTTATCAGCCTGGAAATAAGATTAAACTATATTAGCATATAGTAGCTCAAAGCCAACACTTAAGCAGACAATTTAAAGAATAAATGTATTTTCCAGACCAGGATACTTCTGATTCTCAAAAGTAAGTTCTGATCCCGTTATGTGCTATAGTATTTTTTTTGTGGGGGATGGAACTAATGGTAAAGTTGTAGGCCTTTATGTCTGAGATTTAAATTCAATCCTTAGTCTTGCCAAAAAATTCTAGCCAAAGGCCAGAGAGATAGTATGAAGTTAGGTGCTTGTCTGGCTGCAGCCCTGGTTTAATCCCCAACACTAAAGATGGTCCCCCAAGCACCACCTGAGCATTGCCAAAAAAAAAAAAAAACCAAAAACCTCACTTTGAAAAGAGAACACATCCTACATACAGCTGAGAGGTAAGCTACAACTATAAATTACTCTTTTGTCCTAGTCTCATGCACACATAAATGCAGGTGTGTATAAATAAGTAAATAAGGCAGCTGAGAAAGCCTGACCATACAGATGAATGTTAGTTATGGTCATTACAAAGAAAAAGCAGTAATTTATGTGGAATTTTTGTCTTCCTTCGTTGTGGCAGCCTAGGTCGGCCTTGAGATTTTGTCGGCCTCTCCTTTCTCATCCTTCTCAGTGCTGCCATGTCGGTGAAGCCTTCAGGGTCAGGTGAATGAGACCAGTTGTAGTTACTGGTTTTGGCATATCGAATACACAGCGGATAGCTTGCCAGGCTCTTCCGTGCGGGCGGAATACTCTCGGTAGCTTGCCAGTCTTTCCGAGAGGTATAGAGGCTTTTGGGGTGACCTCTAATCACCCTTGTAGGTGTTACCATATTTGAACCCTATCAAATATGGTACGACAATTCCAGAAGACGGGTATTTAGTGTCTTATGATGTGTCGCGCGGTCGCTTGCGGCCGCGCGGTTCCGGAAAGCGTCCTGGAGTGTGGCGACGGCTGGGTAGTGGAAGTAGTGTAGACGATCAAAAATGATCGTCTGTACTTTCAATGCACGTACGCTAGCATCAGATGCATCCATCGAGGACCTGATGGTACAAGCGCGAATGATCAAGTACGACATCATTGGTCTGACCGAGACAAGAAGACACGAATCTCACCATGCCATTTTCGACACTGGAGAAGAATTGTTCCTCGGAAAATGCGATAAAAGAGGTGTTGGAGGCGTCGGTGTCCTTATCAACACAAACTTGGCCAAGAGCATTGATTCATTCGAATGCCTAACAACCCGAATCGGACGTTTACATTTGAATAGATGTGGCTCACTGCCTGCAGTTTCTATCTTCGTTGTCTACGCACCAACATCTCATTATGATGAAAGAGAAATCGAGAAGTTCTACATGGAGCTAGAGAAATTCTATAAAGAAGACCACACCTTCTACAAGATCATTGTGGGTGATTTTAATGCCAAGATAGGACCGAGAAGATCAGCTGAAGAACTTCACATCGGAACCCATGGCCTAGAATGGAACGAACAGGGTGAGAGACTGTCTGAGTTCATCATGTCGACCAAGACCATTCATGGTAACTCACAGTTCCAGAAGGCAGAATCTAAACGATGGACATGGGAGTCTCCCGGTGGACGATTCCACAACGAAATAGACCACATCATATTCAATCGACGGTTTTGCCTGACTGATGTCGCTGTTGTCCCAAAATTTCGAACGGGATCGGACCACCGTCTCCTTCGTGCAAAATTCTACTTCACAGAGCGGGGAGAAAGGGCTGCAAAGTTCAAAAAGAGAACTCCCAGAACGACCACCAACTGGGAACTCTTTGGTACTATTGCGGCAACATGGGAAGATGCCATTGTTGACAACATTGACGAGGAATACGATCGACTGGTTCAGCACCTCCATGAATGTGCGAGGAACGCCAAGAGAGAGATAGCCACAAAAAGTCGCCTATCTTCGAAAACTCTTGAGCTAATTCGCCAGCGTGGTTTGGCGCATGCCTCAGGCAACCGCAAGCTAACGTCCGAGCTTGCAAAGCAGTGCAGAGATGCGATCAAGGAAGACCTCAAAGAGAGAAGAGCAGAAGTACTGGTAGATGCGGCAGAAGCCGGGAAAAGTATTCGTAACGCCCGCCTGTCCTTCGCCAACTATAAGACCAAGATGACTGCCCTCCGACGTCCTGATGGATCCATCACATCCTCCAGAACGGCAATGGAGAAGATTATCCATGACTTCTACTCAAATCTCTTCGATAGCCATGTCCACTTGCCGACATACCAAATTCCACAGGATGGGTATGTCGTTCCCAACGTTCTCCCTTCCGAAATCCGACACGCCATTTCGTCAGTAAAGAAGCAAACAGCACCCGGCCCAGACAAGGTCAGACCTGAACACCTGAAGAACCTGCCGTCAGTACTCATCAATACACTGGCTCGGCTCTTCACTCGCTACCTGTCTGAATGCAAGGTTCCATCTCAATGGAAAACCAGCAGGACCGTACTACTGTTCAAGAAGGGAGACATCCATGACATTGGCAACTATCGCCCGATCTGCCTATTGTCTGTCATCTACAAGTTGTTCACTCGAGTCATCCTGAATAGGATTGGCAGAACACTAGATGAAGGACAACCATGTGAGCAAGCAGGGTTCCGCAAAGGATTCAGCACCATCGACCATATCCACACGATAACCAAACTCATTGAGGTTTCTCGGGAGTTCAAGATGCCGCTCTGCTTAACGTTCATTGATTTAAAGAAGGCCTTTGATTCTGTTGAGACGGAAGCGGTCATTGAAGCCCTAGCCAATCAGGGCATACAAGCCCAATACATCAGGATCCTCCGTGAGCTGTATTGCGGATTCACTACCAGGATCTCACCATTCTACAAAGAAGTGATCGTTGATGTCAAGAGAGGGGTGCGGCAGGGTGATACCATTTCACCGAAACTCTTCAGTGCCACCCTCGAGAACATCATGCGACGACTGGAATGGGAAGGAATGGGAGTGAAGATAGATGGTCGGCAACTACACCACCTCCGCTTTGCTGATGACATTGTTTTAATAACACCAAACATCAGCCAAGCGGCACAAATGCTGGCCGACTTTGACCGTGAGTGTGGAAAGGTAGGACTACAGCTGAATCTTACGAAGACAATGTTTATGAGAAATAGCCTTGTTCCTGACGCCCCATTCGCTCTCAATGGAACGACCATCTCCGAATGCAACAGCTATGTGTACCTAGGTCGAGAGGTCAACATGACAAATGACCTGGCACCCGAGCTGCGCAGGAGGAAGAGAGCGGCTTGGAACGCCTTCAAGAACGTCGAAGAAATAGCTAAGAGGACGAAGAACCTCCGGCTCCGGGCACATCTCTTTGATTCCACTGTTCTTCCTGCATTAACATATGCCTCAGAGACCTGGGCCCTACGCAAACAAGATGAGAACGCCATTCAGGTCTCCCAAAGAAGAATAGAAAGAGCTATGCTTGGAATATCACGTTTCACTCAAATGAGAGAACGAATCCGGAGTTCTGACATCCGTCGACGATCAAGGATCAGGGACGCTGTCTCATATGCCAAGGTGTCGAAAATCAGATGGGCTGGTCACGTAATGAGATTTAAAGACGACCGTTGGACTAGAGCTGTTACTGATTGGATTCCACGGGATGTCAAGAGACCGCGTGGCCGCCCACCTACCAGATGGTCAGACTTCTTTGTCAAGGTCATGAACGATCGGTTTGAGGCCCTCCATGTTCCCGGAGCGAAGAGATGCCATTGGGCTACACTAGCACGCGACAGGGACAAATGGAGACGTTACTGGCGCCCGCTCGAGCAAATCGACGACTAACGGGAAGTTAAGTGATTAAGTGATTATGTGGAATAATTCTTACCACACACACTGAACTATGCCCAGGTTGTCTGTAAATAATCTTTTTTGATAAACCATATCTACAATTTTACTATTACATACACGTAGCAACTACTTAACACTTAGGAATTTCGCACAATACAACTTGTTAACATAAATACAATTATCAGAGTCAACAGATTTGAATAAACTAGTAACTAAAAGTTGCTATATAGATGATTATTACATTGCTAAGCAGCCCTAAAGTCTGTTAACATAGAAAAGAAAAATCGAACCGCTTACTTTATTTAGATCTTCATGGAGACCATCCATCAGGAACAGCAGCAGTTCTTGTGAATCTTGTTGGCTATATCCTGCAAATTGGTCATTGATCTTCCCAATGGTTATTTTGAAGTCTTTTGGGCTGATATACCTGTACTGTCCTGCCCACAAGGCTTTCATGATTATGCCAAATTCTTCTGCCACTTCACCTTTGTGCCCCAATAGATTAGACCTTGGCAAATAAAATTGAAGTATTAAAAAAAATTCAAGTCAAAGTACAGTATTTTTTTCTTTTTGGGTCACGCCTGGCGATGCACAGGGGTTACTCCTGGCTCTGCACTCAGGAGTTACTCCTGGCGGTGCTCAGGGGACCATATGGGATGCTGGGAATCGAACCCGGGTCGGCTGCATGCAAGGCAAACACCTACCCGCTGTGCTATCTCTCCAGCCCCACAGTACTTTCTTGATGTCAACGTTAAATCAATTCCAAATTATGACCCACACACATCCATTCGCAGGTTTATTACCAAATCCTCACCAGAACCCTAGTCGGTGAACTTCGTTTCTTTTGAGGCTGATAGTCCTGGCCCTGCCTCACTTACTTACCAATAGGCTCTGAGGCAGTCGAGGGCTGCTGCCCTGAACCTTTCCTATCTATCCTTCATCAGCCAGAGGTAGCTTTCCTCGCCCCTTTTAAGATTAAAAACATTTTCTCTAATTTGAACTCTCTGAAGTTGAATGATACGTGTGGTTGGTTCACTCTTAATATTGGAGTGTGCAAAATATGATATTCCCTTACCTGTTAATATCCTCCTGGTAATAGTTTCGGTTGAAATAATCAGCCAAACATGGAGCATTACACAGGCACTGTAGTATTGAGTTCATGTAACAAGTATTTCCTAAATTACGAAGTCCAGTGAGAGCTGGTCCAGGTCCTCCAAAAACGGGACTGAGATTTCGAATCTGATTACTCCAAAGCCTTGTAATCTCTGCTTTAGGGTGACATGTTGGCCTGAGGAAGAGAACACACAGAAGATGTCTTAAAATGCAGAATACCTGAAATTAAAGGTATAGAATAAATGACAGCAGACTCTAGCCCTGTACCTCAACGTATCATCTTATCAACAATCCATAGGTGCTGGGTCTATCGAACACGTAGTACCAAGGTAGTACTGGTGACAAATATCTTTAATCTCTTTACATAAGACCAACCACACATGTGGTAGTGACAAGGAAGCCTAGTAAATTAACAAATGTTCATAGAATCCATCTGCAGGTTTATCAGGATCCTGAACACAGAACAAAAAAAAAAAAAAAGGATATTAACTAGGGAGACAGAGCTCATATAACCCAAGTCCAGAGCTACACTGACAAATATGGCAGCTTCTGACCAGGACTGTTTCAATAAAGTCTGTTGCATAAGCCACAATTCAAAACAGAATGGGGAGAAAAGAATCAGACCTTTTGTGTCATCAGAGAAAAATGGAATGGACTAGAGCACGCTGTCAAGACTTTTGCTACTGAATTTATTTTACAAATGTGATTTCTAGAACTATTAAGAGAATTAAGAAAACTCTTAACTGATGGGTGGTTTATTATTAATCCTAAGCATTCTCCCATCTTAATTGGGATACTGAGAACAGACTAAACTATTCCAGTGACCTTCTTTAGATACACGCAGATCGATGTATTTGTGAACTTTTTCTGTCCAGTATATGTAAAAATATACTAATGGCACATGCTCTGGTCTTAAAAGCTATCAAATTAATGAAGTGGCAAGAATAATGATCAAAGGAAAAAATAAGTTTCACTTGTCTCTGTGGGGAGAGCGGTGAGGAGAGGCTGTTCCTGGCTCTGTGCTCAGGGACCCCTGAAGTGCCAGGCCTGACCTGGGCCTCCCACAGGCAAAGATGTGGTTGTCCTCTTGAGCTATATTTATGGCCTCTGAAATCTCACCATTTTAAAATACTGAGTATCAAAATAAGAAACTACTTTCACTGCATAAGTCTCCAACTCATTTCCCACCTGTAAGAGTAAGTTTCAGGAGAAAACAAAAATTCTGATTTTGGGGGGGCATGCTACAAAAGAGGTAAATGAAAATATAAAAATAGCTGAAATTCCTTAGCAATTGAGAGACTGTATTTTATACTTCCATGTGTATTTCCTCCTAACTCTAAGAAAGTTAAGATTAGAAGGGACAGGTTGGGGCCATGAAAGGTATTTATCTTACATGACATCAAGTCTGGCTGGATCCCGAGCACCATATATGGCTCGTGAGCACAACTGGGCGTGGCCAAATACCACTTCCCCTCCCCACCCCACGACAACAAACCAAGAAAAGTGGAAAGCAGACTTATAAATTTCCTCCTGATAACCTTTTTAATTATAAACATTACATTTCCTAAAGGGCTACACACAAAAATACATCTAAGTGAGATGCTTTTGGGCAAACTAACCTGTGTGTTACTATGGATCAAGCCCAGTGTTTGCTTGCCAAGCACATGCTCTAGCCCTGAGTCACACCCCAGCCAAGGCTTCGCAGACATTGAAATGCTCCAACTGATCATTACTTAAGAACAGAAGACCACTGGGAAATTCACTGAGGGCAAAGGGAACAAACGAACTAGAAGCAGACACACACTATCATGCTTGTATAAGCCTGCTCCCAGTTACTGGCTGAGACTTTTTGATACTATGATTTTGAGATCTGCTACAAGACAAGACAAAAAAATCCTAGAAACTATGGTCCTCTAAAGGACCACAGGAAGCTTCTGAAAAATTTTGAGGTAATCTATGGCCTTAAAATACACCAAAGTTGAAGCAATTTGGGGAGGAGCGGGGGGCAGGAGGAAGGCTCAGCTCCTGGGTCTGTGCTTGAGCAATATTAGGGGTTGAATGCAAAGCATCCGTCAGCCTGCTGCATCTCTCAGTCCTGTGTATACACTTTTGTAAATTTATTAATACTTTTTGGGTTTTGGACTGTATCTGGCAGTACTCTGGAGACATCCTAGTGCTGGAAATCAAACCTAGGCTTCTTTAATGCAAAGCATCTGCCTGGCCAGCTAATCTCTCCAGCCCTTCCATTACATAGATATATCATGCTCATAAATTTAAGTTAGTACGTGGGAGAAAAAAGAAGGGCGATTAATTGGTTTCTTCCTTTCTGGAAAACATCAATGGCTGGTATGGCTATTAAGAGAAATGACAGACTCAGCTATAAGCTAGCTAAGTTTAGTGTAGAAATTTCCAAACAAAGCCGATCATTCTAGTTCTGTGAGTCAGAATAAACTTACTTGTTATCCCGATTAACTGTTGGAGTTACTGTTGGTTTTCTCTTCTCTTCCTCTTGAATAGCCTGCGTTATATCTGGGGAGGAGTAGGAACGCTTCAGCTTAGAGGGTTCCCGGTCCCGCTCAGCAGGGATCTGTGGTTTGGTTTTATGAGTTGGGGTGGTGGAAGGGGGTGCAGCAGGAGGAGCCATTTCCGGTGGATACATATGAACAGTGTTGGTGGGTGAATGATAGTAACGAAAAGTTCCAGTGATCGGGTCCAGGAACTTAGGGGAAAAAAAAAAGATTAGAACACATTAAACATCAACACACACACACACATACACACACACACACACACTCCATTGTTAAACTTTCCAATTATTTTGGATAAAAGGGTGATTCGCGGCACGCGAAATCTTATCAGGACATCTTTTTATGACATCTTATTATCTCATTCCTACTTTGAACAATCTTGCAGACTATCGAATGTAGCCTGCCCACAGGGCAGAGTCTGGCAAACTCCCCGTGGCGTACCAAATATGCCAAATACCAGTAACAATGATGGGTCTCATTCTCCTAAAGAGCCTTGAATATAATCTCAGGGCTAGGATGAAAGAGACGTTACTGGGGCCTGCTCGAGGCAATCGACGAATAACAGGATGATGAAATGAAATGAAAAAGGGTGACAATTAAAACTTCAGTAATTACACTTTCCGAGAAATTTGGTTTTAAAGCAACAAATGTATTTCTAAATAAACTACAGGTTCCAGGACGTTGCAATCTTACAGCCAAGATGCCAGGCTGAATGCTGAGAATCCAAGCCTGCTATCATTAGGGTATAAACTATGTCCTCAATACAGAGGAAAAAAATAGTCTGCACTCCAGGAAGTGCACAATAAAGAATGTTAAAATCGAACACATTTATACATAGTAACTCTGAAAATGCTGAGTTACCTTGGCCCAGCCTAAAGGCAGTCCTGGTACAATCCTTCCCATTTCTTCACTCCGTGCTCTTGTCAAAGGTTCTCGCTGAGCCTAGTTTAAAGCCAAAAAACACAATTAAAAAAAAGATCCCACTACACACAGGCTGCTTATCTCCACTCCCGTCTCCACCCCAATCCCTCACAACGACCCTCTTTAACATTTCATGAAATGAGTTCAAAGATTAAGAGCCCCATAGAGTCCAAAAACCATCACATCAAGAAGTACACACTTCTTGAGTGTACACACTTCGTATAACAAAGATACTTTTCTGGGTTCAACGGGACCAGGCTTCTGCCTGTTTCCTGCTGTCTCTGGAGACCCAGCAGTCACGTACATAAGCAACCTCTGGCCGGCGCAAGATAATCTCGTCATCAGCCACCATCCAGATCGCATGTCCTTTTCTCCCGGAAGGGAGCAAAACATGACGCTCGCCATAGCCATGCCACTGGACCTATCCCAGGCTGTTTCACTTGGGGCACCCCAGAGGGGGTCGGGTGAGAGTCCTCCCCGCCCCAAGGGACCCAACCCCAGCAGCCGAAAATCTCCAGAATCCCGCTCAAGTGCTCATGGCCACTTCCCACATGATTGGGCAGAGCATCACCCACAAGTGAATCTCTTCCTGCACCATGCGGCCACGCAACACATAAGATACACCCTACCCAGTCTCCAAAAGTACCACATTTGATGGAGCTCAAGGAGTAGGCAACCAACCAAAGAGGGGGGAAAAATACACACACACACACACATATTTGCAGATACATATATATATATATATATATATATATATATATATATATATGGAAGTTCAAAAGGCTCAACCTTTTAACAACATGTTAGTGGTATCTTATAGAAGGTCTTGGGCTGGAGTGATAGCACAGCAGTAGGGGGGTGTTTGCCTTGTATGCGGCCAGTCCGGCCGAGCCGGGTTCGATTCCTCCGCCCCTCCCGGAGAGCCCAGCAAGCTACCGAGTATCTCGCCCGCACGGCAGAGCCTGGCAAGCTCCCCGTGATGTATTCGATATGCCAAACACAGTAACAACAAGTCTCACAATGGAGACGTTACTGGGCCTGCTCGAGCAAATCGATGAGCAACGGGAGGACAGTGTTATAGTGTTGTAAAGTCTTAATGGCCCCTGCCAAAATAGAACAATCTTCACACTCTTTCTTCTATGGATACTTTTTTGTATCATTTTCAGTGTTTTTTCATAACAAACAGTACAAAATATATTATTTTGGTTCACTTTGGGACAGGCATTGAGGTTTGGGATGGACGTACTCCAAATACGGTGTGCGAAGGTGTAATGGTGGTGAGACTGGTGTTTGAATATTAAATGTAATCAAATCTTGTGAACTACCTTGTAAAATAAAAAAATTAAATAAATTTAACTTGGTAAAAACAAACAAAAACAAAGGTACTTTTACTAAAGTTCATTTTATTGGGGGAGGGGGGAGGGCGGAGTGTCTCCCGGGTATTCTAGGCCAGGGGCCCTGGGACTCCTAGCTCCTCAGCTCAGTAGTGCAGGCCACATCCTTATGGTGCTGAGGGTCTTTAGGGCTACACCCAGCAGTGCCAAGGCCCTCCAAGAAGGGCCATTTGCCATTTATGATGCCAGAGATCGAACCTGGATTTGCTGTGCACAAGGCACCTTTTTGCACTAGCCCCACCACGTGTCCTTCAATTTTTTTTTCTTCCTCCTTTTTGGGCGACATCTAGCAATGCCCAGGGCTCTGCATTTAGGAATTACTCCTGTTAGTGCTCAAGGAACCATATAGAATGTCAGGAAGCAAACCATGACAAGCACCCTACTTGTTGTACTCTGGCCCGGGCACTGACTTTCCCTAAAAAGCCTGGATAATAAGCCGTTATATGCCACACTTTCATTTCTATATTATCTGACCACGGATACTTAGGATGCTGTCATTTTTTTGCATGAATAATTCTTCTATGAAAGTAAGTTTGCTGGGAGTATGGTGCTGCCAGCTCAACCTGTACCTGTGGGGGAGTGCATCAGCAGCCTGATGGTGACTTCAGGCTTCCTGATACCCCAAAATTGCTGCTGTGCCTTTGGTCTGACCCCCAATAACTTGGGACCAAGTTTATCAAGAAATTAAATGGCCAAAATTTACGTATGTGGGAGCCACACCCTCAAACCAGCTACACAAGTTCATTTATAGGTCTTATTTCAGAGACCCAGAAATTAATCCTGAGAGATCAAAAGCTGCAATTAATCTCGGAACCAGGCATGGCTGAACAGACCAGGGTAAACTGGAGGGAGGGAGCAGGTCAGCCTGGAGCTCGCATAAACAGGTACGTCTCAGGACAGACCTTACCAAGGTATCACAAATCACAAAAATCTAGTATGAGGGTTTTGTGACTGAAATCTCCAGGCTTTCTTGGGGTTGGGATGGGATACCTCCCCCCACCTCCTGTAATTCCAGAAACCTTGGCAGTCACGTCCACACCTCAAAGCTGCAGCCCAATTAAAAAGCTACTCCAGCCTTACCATCCCAATAAAAATAATGAAAGCCCTGAACAAACACCATGGCCTCTTAGGACCTGTATTGCAAACCATAATGCACCAAAGATAAAGAGAGAGTAAGAAGGAAAGTGCCTCCCTCAGAGGCAGACTGGGGGTGGGGTGTGGGATGTTGGGGGATGGTGGGAGGGAAACAGGGGACATTGGTGGTGGGAATATACACAGGTAGAGGGATGGGTGCTGGATCACTGCATGACTGAAATCCAATTATGAACAGCTTTGTAATGGTCAATCTCTCCGATATTCAAGTAAAAAAAAATTTTTTTTAAAAGATCAGGAAAAACAACTTTTACTTTAAAATATTATTAAATGCAATATTACTAAATGCATAGGGGTTTTCTGGCAATTATATTTTGACAATAGATACCAAACATAAAAGTACTGTGGGAGAGACCTTTACAAAACTCATACATATAAAGTTTGGGGCCTCTGTTCTAAAGCATTGTGCTAGCTCTTGTTGGAATTTTCTAAGTTTACTATTTGTATCTGCATTTGTTCACTCAAAAAGTTAAAAGGGATAGTTCTTGAATAAATGTTGATATGACATATACACAAGAACTTTAGTAACAACCAAATTTATAAGTTAGAAGTTGACAAAATCAGAACAGGAGTAAACTGATGCAACTTCCACAAATAATAATGTTCAATAACCTGAGTATATTTCAAAGTTATATCAGATAAGAAAATTTCACGATCCATACATCACTTATGCTAAGTCACTTATAAGTGATCCTTGTTTGTATTTGTCACTGTTCTCCCGTTGTTATCGACTTGCTTGAGCGGGTCCAGTAACATTGTGAGACTTGTTACTGTGTTTGTCGAATATGTCATGGGTAGCTTGCCAGGCTTTGCTGTGCGGGCGAGACACTCGGTAGCTTGCCGGGCTCTCCAAGAGGGGTGGAGGAATTGAACTCGGGTCGCCCCAGTAGGCCGCGTGCAAGACAAAAGCCCTACCCACTGTGCTAAATGAAAAAGATACTGATGGCAAAAAAAATCTCCCCCTGGTGCCAAGGATCAAGTTCAGGGGCTCAAAGACTAGCGGGGACTCATACCCATTGGCTCAAACAGGAAACTACCCATCAATTACTCACTTTACTTTTTTCGGTGTCCTCTATATTTTCTCTCAAGGTTCCAGTCTTCAGAATTCCACTTTCTGGTTGTCCTTTAATCTTAACAGGCTGTGAAGTTGTTAAAATGTCAGAACTGTAAGAAAACCAACTTCCCCCAATACAAAGCTACTTCTCACAGGCTACCATAATCAAATCCATAAGACCAAAAGTGTGAAAGGAAGAAAAAAAAAGAGGCTTTGGAACATTAAGTCTATTCTATTGTCAAATCAAATACGTTTCATTTAAGGGGCCCATGTGGGAGACCATGTGGCATTTTCTAACAAAATGGGTTTTGAGGGGCTGAAGAGATTGTACAGTGGGGAGTTTTTGACTTGCATGTGGCAGACCAGGTTGGATCCCGGAAAACGCATGTGTTCCCCTGAGCCCTACCAGGAGTGATTCCTGAGTCCAGAACCAGGAGTGAGCTCTGAGTGGCCCAACAAAATTTTCATCAATTAGTCTGGTTAAAAAAATGTGAAACACAACTTATTGTAAAACACATAATAAAGTCCAAGTATAAGAAGATGGTCACTAGTATGTTGTTTTCCCTAATTTCTTTTGAATATTTTCCTTTTGCTTAAGAATATGATGGTGATTAGCATGACAGTGGGAATTGAAAAAAAAAAACAAGTTATATTAAAGCAAATCAACACAGATTATATGGGGTGGTGATGTAGCTCAGTGACAGTGCAAGATGCCTGTGTACATGGTGGTGGGTACATTCCCTGGAACCACACTTCAACCCCTCAAAAAAGATTCTAGAACTTTAGAAAGTAATATTAAAAAGTGCAAATCCACTCTATTCATGGACCTGCCACTATTTCCATTTTTCTGAGGGGTGGAGCCTTCCAAGCACTGCTCAGCAGGCAATACTTGGCCAACCAGACCAACATGGTTCAATGCCAGTGGTGCGGGGGGCTACCAGGGCATAAAAGAGGAAAAATGAACAAACAGCATGTACTATAACAACACAGAATTGTGGGAATCAATATTGGGGTGTAAGACTAAATCAACAACAAGAGTAATAAAGTCATGACCAGTATTATTAGATAAATGGAGAAATAACAAAATGGTACATTGGACCAAAACGAAAATGATCATGTACAAAGATAAATGTGGGGCCATTTAAGTGCCCCTAATTTTGGCCAGTCTAAGCAGACACAAAAATCTTACAAATAATACCTAATTTTCTGTCCAGAGAAGAATATACGCTAAAAACTCAAAATATACTTAAGTGAATTATTAAAACTATGTAATTCCATTTTCAACCAACCAAAGAGTAGGTGAGCACATCAGATGAGTCTATAACACTCGACCATCCACTGGAGATTTAAAAATGCCTGCCTGGTTGTGGGATGACTGAGTTATACACCCATTTCACAGAGCTGGCAATTTGTATAGTTTCTGCCTGTACCTTGCCTGCACTTGAATCTCCTGGCACAGAGGCCTGGGGCACATCTGTCGGCTTTCTCTGCAGTTCTGGGGTCGGGTCCCCTTTCCCTCTGTCTTCCACAGATTTCTTAGCATCAGTAGTTTCATGTTCACTCTTATTCTGTCTTTTCACTCCTGTTATCTCTCTGCCCCTCTTTGCTGAGATTTCCTTCTCTTCTTTCTTGGCCTGTTCACTTTCTCTCTTTTCTATTTCTTCTTTTCCTTTTTGCTGCCTTTCTGTGACTCCATTTCCTTCAGCTTCAAGCTTCTCTCTGATTTTCTGTTCTTCCCTCCGAAGTTTCTCTTTCTGTTCCTCTTGAAGCCTTTCTCGGAGTTCTTTTTCTCTCCTGTTTTTCTCCATGAGCAGAGCAGTTTCTGCATGGATAAGAGCTTTTTCTTCATCTGTTAGCATGGTAGTTGGAGATATAAACACAGGCTTTGTGGAACGATCGGGAACAACTTTTCCATTCTGAGACTGCGGCTCATAATCTGTATTTTCAGATTGTATTCTATGATCTTCGGGCAATCTGACTGCCGGTTTTTTTGTACGGTCAATCTATAACAACAAAAACAGAGCAAAATACACTTTTGCCAAGACCCAGGATACATTACCACTACTTCAGTTCTTGAAATCAAGGTATGCTAAAAGAATCATCACACTGTGGAGACAACTGCTACAACCTCCGTGAATGTCATGAAGGTCAAGATTTTTCACAGGCACTTGAATGGGAAGAGTCAACTACTTAACCTCCTCTTGTTGCCACACTTTCAGTTCATTCTGGTGTGTTCTACATGGAAGAGTCCATTCTAAAAAAAAAAAAAACTACACTTGCGAGTACCTAGACTAAGCTTCATTTTCTATATATCCAATTGTCCACTCTGTATGTACAACATTAGAGTTCCACATAAACCCAGTAAGACAAAAACAAATATAAGATCCACAGTTTAATTATATTTTAAAAATGCACGATAATTTTCATGTAGAAAACTTCAAAGTATGTTTGACAAACCATATACACTTGTTGAAAGGAAGTGCAGTAAGACAGGCTTATTCAGAATTGCTTTACCATGCATTTTCAGAAAACTTAAGTCAAATGCTAGTCTTAAATGTTTATCTGAAATAGTAAAATTGGAGAACCTTTATTTTTTTAAATTAAATATTATTTTTTGGTTTTGGGGCCACACCTGAAACCCAGTCAAACTCAGCAGTGCTCAGGGGTTACTCCTGGCTCTGCACTTAGGAATCACTCCTGGCAGTGCTAGGGATTGAACCAGCTCAGTTATGTGCAAGGTAAATACTATCTACAGATAATACAACTGTACTATCTCTTCAGACCCTGGAAGACCTGTTCAAAAGGAAGAAATAAGATGCCTGCTTTATTTAAAACAAAAATAAAACACTACCATGGCCATAAATTTTACTTATATCCCCAGGGACTTGAGGAATTGCACAGGGGTTAAAACACTTTACATGAAGCCAACCCTGATTCCACCCCCCCGCACTGCACAGTCCCCTGATCATTGCTCCAAGTGATCTGTGAACATAGTTGGGTATGCATGGCACATTGCAGGAACAACCCTCCCCCCCAAAAAAAAAGGAAATCTCTTTATTTTGTATTTATGGTCTCCTCTAAGAATCAATGGTCATCCACTACAAATGTAAACGTTCCCAGGCAGGCAGCTGCTCAATGGCAAGAGCCTGGGCTCTGCACGCGGGAGGTTCAGGTTCAAGCCCCAGCACAGAATAGCTCTCCAGGCAATGCAGGGAGCAGCACAGACCCAGGAACAGTTTTCAAGAGGTGATGGGAGTGGGCCCTTCCTGAAAATTATTTTTAAAAAGAAAATACTCTTGAATAGTATATGAGGAAAAAATGTTTAAGCAAGTGCTAAAAAAAATCTTGTTGGAAAATATATGTATGAACTTCATTTAAATAAAAGAAAAGAAATATCTATAACATCTTGGATATTCAAAACATCTGAAAAGGCTTTTTAGTAACAGAGGTACATTTCAAAACCACCATAGTGACCTCAGATATGGGTCATCAGTAAGCCAACCGTTTTATTTATTTTTGATTTTTGGGCCACACCCAGTGATGCTCTGGAGTTACTCCTTACTCCTGGCTCTGCACTCAGAAATCACTCCTGGTGGGGCTCAAAAGACCATATGTGGTGCTGGGAACGGAACCCGGATCAGGCATGCGCAAGGCTCCAAGGAGACTGAATTTTAAAGAAATTTCTCAAAACAAAGTATCTACCAAAGCCAACTCTTCTCACTAATATTTTTCTTCCTAAAATGTTAAGGTTATTTAATTTCTATATTACATATTTAGTATAATATTAAAACAAAATCACATACCAATGGAACATTTTTTAAGATAGGCACTGGTTGAATCATGGGCGAAACATCAGACTTAGAAGAAACAATTGGTTCAGATGGAGCGGATAAGCTCAGTGGTCCCATTCTCTCATCCTGATCATTTATCAACTCCATATTTTCCTCTACATCTATTGAAAGAGGCGGTATCTGTGCAGCAGGCTTAAAAGGAACTGGTTCTTCCAGTGAGGGATAAGTAAAATCCACTAAAATCATTAAAAAAAGTAAAATTATAAAAGAACAGTCCATCTCCAAAACAGTGTGTAACAGCTGATGCATGTTCTGTGATATTTAACCATCAACTACATGGAGACAACAACAATCTCAAAGACTGAAACATCAACTCCCAGAATGAGAACATTCTGTAATATGGATGCTTGAATACAAATGCCTACTTAACAGGACAAATGCACATGCCACCGCGAACATTACCCGGTAGAAACAAACCGAATCAATTTAAACAAAAAATTTCACATACATACATGAGATAGACACCTCTTCATTCTTGCCTCGTGGTGGCGGGGTGACTTTAGCGTTGGTTGTGTACTGGGGATAACAAAGAAGCCAATTTTCATAGCCTCCTTCCAGGACTAAGGGCTCATTGCGCAGGATTGTTTTTGTTTCCCACTGTAAGATACAGAAGTGGTGTTTTTACTTTATTTTTTAAAAATTTTTTATTTATTGAATCACCATGAGAACAGCCACAAAGCTTTCCAGTTTAAGTCTCGGTTGGTCATACAATGACCAAACACCTTTCCCTTCACCACGCACATTTTCCACCACCAAGAACCCCAGTATACTCCCCTTCCCACCCCTGCCCCTGCCCCTGCCTATGTGGCTGATTTCCACTTTACTCCCTCTCTACTTTGATCACATTCAGTATTACGACAAAAGACCCACCATTATTGTTTGGAATTTCCCCAACAATCAGACCTGCCCAAAAGGCATCATTAGGTAATTTGTTTTCTATCTTTGCTTATGAAGAGCATATGATGTTGCGCGGCTGCTACTGCGGCCACGTGATTTTGGATTTCTGATATTTTAGTAATAAGTCTGGAGGGATTACTGCCAAAAGCCACCGGGTTCTGAGATTGGTTTGTGTGCCTCGGGGATCATGGCCGTTCAGGAGCCGCAGGAGGTATTCATGGGTGACAACTCAGGGCCTCATCAGGGCGGGGGGAAGGGCCAGTTCCACCCCCATCCCATGAGGCCCTGCGTGCCTCATCACTGCAGTCTTCTACCTGGCTGTCCATTAGGCTCTGAAAGACGGTGGCCATCATGCTGCCGCCTCCAGGGGGAAAAGGTGGAGGGACAAACACCCTTCCCCTCCAGGGGCAGCATGGCACTGTAGTTTAATGCACAGATCCACATGCATATCTGTTGGGCATTATATTTTGCTCAAATTTTCCTACCACCATTCAAGAAGCCTGCCTTCCAGGTACACATGCTATAACATTCACTTTCCATTGCAGAAGTGGTATTTTTAAATACGATAGCAATGTGCTGGCAGGTCGGGCTGGTTCTTCTCCAGGTGCAGATTTTCCTTATCATTGGCAGGCAGCCCCCTCTGGGTTCCGTGACAGTGTGTAAGCGGTATGTCAAGTGTGTACTGGCACCCGAGTACCTGCGGTCTTCTGACACTCTCATTTAACAGCCCTATGTTTGGAGGGGCCCAGAATGGGAAGCAGGCAATGAGTTCAGAAAGCAGGTGGAGAGGATGGGGGTGGGGGGGGTGGGGTGCTCTTCTTCCTCGGGGTCTATTCTACTTACTTTGCTACTTTAAGGAAAATCCCTATTTATTTCCCAAACCTCTCCATATTTTAGGTATTCGAAATCAGTCAGTGTTTCTCATTCCCCGCTCCCTCCCCACCTTTTGTATTTTTTCTGAGAGTGACAGCTGACTGTGCTCTCGGATCACTCCTGGGGATGCTCAGTAGATCTGATATGGTGCTAGGGACTGAGCCTGGGGGTCAGGTGTATACCAGGCAAGCACTCTACCCCCTAAACTATCTCTCAGGCTTGTTTTTACCTGACCATGCTCCCTTCTGATCTTATTTCCTTCCTCTGGATACTTGCTGGCTCTGGGTTCATGCTGGGGCCCATCACTTGGGTAATTTCAAATGTGCCCCCCTTGGACTATCCTGAGAAGCACTGTATCACTGTCCTCTTGTTGTTCATCGATATGCTCGAGCGGGCCCATTATGAGACTTGCTGTTACTGTGTTTGGCATATCGAATACGTCACGGGGAGCTTGCCAGGCTTTGCCGTGCAGGCGAGATACTCTCGGTAGCTTGCTGGGCTCTCTGAGAGTGGCGGAGGAATCGAACCTGGCTCGGAAGGGCCGGCGGCTTGCAAGGCAAACGCCCTCCAGTCCATCCTGAGAAGGGCTATTCTAAACACTGCCACATTTGCTGCAGACATTTTTATCATTTTACAGTACTCAGTTAAATCTGAATCTTTATTTTTTCTATTCAATTTGTAGGAATCTTCAGTTTCTTTTTCCAATTTTCTTTTTTATAGATATCGCTGTACAAGATCTTGTTTTCTTTAGATGTCTCCTCCTTTGTCTTTATTTTGGTCCCCCCAGCAGAGCTCAGGCACCTGGTGAGGTACCACTGGTGAAGGTCGGAAAGTTCAGCACTCAGACCCTGTGATGCGGAGCCACCTGTGCCTGGCTTAGCTGGACACCACTAGGTCACAGTCCATATGGCCAAGAACCAAACTCAGGGCTATGTACACCAGGCAAGTACTCCGGTCCTCTGAGCTACCTTACTGATCCAGGTTCAATTCTTAGGGGGGTTGGGGCATACCCAGCAATGCTTAGGGCTTACTTCTGGCTCTACACTCAGAAATTACTCCTGGGAGTACTTGGAGAACCATATGGGATGCCAGGGACTGAACCAGGATTTGCTGCAAGCAAGTCAAGTGCCTTACATGCTGTACTATCTCTCCAGCCCCACAAAATACAATTCTTAAAACAAAAAAAATGAAACACTTTCACCTGTACTTATATATTTGAACATTCTAGCATTCTATTTTATGCAGAGTAGTTTACTGCTATTTTGTGATTCTACTGTATTCTTTTCTATATAAACTAAATTCCACAACCAGAGCACGATGGATCTTAACAGTACTGAGTAGTAAAAAATACACATTTCTAATCAGATAAAGTTTACAGTTATAATTAACAGGAAACGTTCTGACCTTGAAAAGTGCATCTTTCAGACTCCGTAGAGTTGTTCCAACATGTAAATCTTTTGTTGAACTAAACCAGTCAAGAAGTACCACAAAATCCACACTTCCCCTCTTCTTCCATGTGTCTTTAGAATCAGTGGGAAGGTTTGTTTCAATCCAACTAGCAGTGACCCTGAAATGTATGAATACTTGTATTGGGCAAAAGTAGGCAATGCCTAACACACCAAGATCTTTTGTACAGTCTGCATCACACCAATACCATAGCAAACTTTAGGGCAGACTACATGGGGATGGGGGAGATTGTAAAGATAGCACAAGGGTTAAGGAGCAAGCCTTGCATGTGGCAGACCCAGGTTCAATTCCAGGACCCCTGAATTGCACCACTGTCTTGGCTGGATGAGAATTATCAGGAGGGGTCCCTGTCCTCCTGAGTACTGCTTGGGATCCATCCTCCACCAAATAAGAGCAGTTTCTTTCAGAGAGGGGAGACGGCTCAGAGGGCTAGCATACATGCCTTAGCCCCAACTCTGATCACCAAGATCTTGGGGTTCTCTGAGCACCAGAGGGACCGGCCCCCAGAAAATCAAGATTCCCTTCAACACTGAGACTGTCCATCAGGACGTTCAACAGCCTAGGGCTGGAGAGATAGTATAGGGTCAGGTGCTTGCCTTCCACATGGCATACCCCAGTTTAATCCCCAGAACCAGATTTGGTCTGCAGATACAAATCCCCAGAGGAGATCCCTGGGCACAGAGCCAGGAGTAAGCCCTCCAGTTAACTCTGAGATTTGGTAAGAACACTCCTGCAAAGGAAAATGAAAGGGGGAAGAATGAGCAGAGAAGTCTCTTTTGATAATTATGGGGCAGTGCTAGAACTTTGGCGGCAACAGTAAGTAAGTAAATATGTGAAGCTACACCCTAACCCTAAAGTTCTAAATAGGGCCAGAGAAACAGCACAGCAGGTAGTGCGCTTGTCTTATACATGGCCAACCTAAGTTTGATCCTTGGCACCCCACAGTTCCTGGGGCAACGTCAGGAGTGATCCCTGAATGTAGAACCAAGATAAGCCCTGAGCATCACCAGATGTGGCACAAAAACAAAAAGATTCTGGGCTGGAGTGTTAGTACAGTGGGTAGGGCACTTGTTTTGTATGCGGCTGACCCCGATTCAATCCCCGGCACCTCATATGGTCCCCCATACTTGCCAGGAGTAATATCTGAGCACTGCCAGGTATGGGCCAAAAACCAAAAAATAAAACCAAACTTAAAGATAGCAATATAATATGAATATAGTCTGATTTTTAGAGATTATTCTTTCTTAAATACTGATACTATAACGCTTTCTCTTCAAAAAGGTACTTCTTGAAGTATTCTCTTAGCACAGATTCTAATATAGGGTATCCAAATATATCCAAATATCCAAAATAACTATTTCACATATGAAGCTTATGTTTTACAAGCTCAGAAATAGGATTGTAAACAAACACCCAAGGAGAACCATAAAGGTGGCTTTATCTGGCTTCAAAAAAGACTCCAAATAACCACAAAGAGCAGAAAATGACCACAGAACAGGAGCTTTATAAGACCCTTCAGAAAAGGTCTTTTGTTCAGTTGGCAACTTTCTCTAAAATACACAATACCCACCCTGGAGACACAATACCCACCCTGGAGAGATGGCTTCTTCGGGAACACAGAGAGAGTTAAAAATTCGGGAATGCATATAATCCTGCTTTCTTCGAGCATCCATAATGATTAAGCTGGTACTTTTGTCCATCATCATTGTGTACAGTTCCTTGGCTGAAATTGATCCTTGAAATTGAGACAATGTAAGTTACAAGACACACTTAATACTTAAATAAAAGCTAGTAAAAAGAAACTTTTACAGGGGCAGAGACGTAGCTTAGAGGGTGAGAAGACATGCTCTGTATGTGGGAGTCCTGGGAGCCCTCCTGGCACCACACGTGCTCCTGAACACTACCAGTTCCTTTCCCTAATATTACCTTCCCTCCCCTGCCCCACATCAAAGAAAAAAATCACTGTTTCTGGATGAGTGAGGCATACTGGAGTGTCCCATACTTGTTATCCCAACATGTTATTCATTCACCTGATAAACCAACACTAAACATAATTTTAATTTCTCAACTCAAATTGAAACCTCGGAGGTCCAAGGATTCTTCCTGGCTCATTTTTCAGGGATTATTCCCAGTGGTGCCCAAGGGACTGCAGGACTGTGTGGGACCAGTATAAAGCCCAGGGATGCAGAGCGTGTGCTCTGGCTCACAGCACAGTCTCTGGGCAGAATAAAGAAGCCTTTTTTTTTCCCCTTTGGCTTTATGGGTCACACCTGGCAATGCACAGGGGTTACTCCTGGCTCATGCACTCAGGACTTACTCCTGGCAGTGCTCGGGGCACCATTTGGGATGCTGGGAATTGAACTTGGGTCGGCTGCATGCAAGGCAAACACCCTACCCGTTGTGCTATCGCTCCAGCCCTAAAGAATCCTATTAAATACACTATTCTCTGGTTCATAACTGTGACATCTGTTCATGCCACTGCGTGTTATGGATCTTGCTCAAACTTTGATTACACAGTCAGCACATTACCTATTTGGCATGAAAACATCATGTAGTTAATGTACAACTATAGCAATCGCCAATCTATATACTGATTTTGCTATGTATTCTAGCTCATTCAATCTACACAATAACCTTCAAAGTGATTTACTGTCCGGGATAAAGTACAGAGGTTAAGTCACTCGCCTCGAGAGTGGCTGGAGCTGCCAACCTGGTTCTAATCCCTGGCACCATATATGGCCCCCCCATGCACTGCTAGATGTGACCCCTGGGCACAGTCACAAGAAGCCCCTGAACAGAGTCAGGTATGACCTTTGTGCAATGCTAGATGTGGGCCCCCCCAAAGAAAAAAAAGGAAAAAAGAATCAGGTACCAATATTATGTCCACTTTACAGATGGGAAATTTAATGCAGAGAAGTTAAATAACTTCATCAAGAGTGTTATGGAAATTCAGAGACAGTGTGGCAGGTATTCTGACTTCTCAGTGAACACTATGCTAAACTAAACCTTGACATGAATAATGGAATCTTTTTTAATGTGTGTGGAGTCAGGGAAAGAACCCAGGGCCTCACACACACAAAGCACGAATGGGCCATATTCTCAGCCCACTGGGGCCATGCTAAAGTTTATCTACAAATAAAATAATAGGCAAGTACAAAAAGTGGCTTTGCTGTTTCCAATTGTGTATTACCAGATATTGCCCCTGAGATCAGTCTATATAGAATATTTAACACATTTTCTATGTAACTGTATAGTTTGGGGGAAATAATCCAATTGACAGAGATTAGACAGTGCTGGGAATTTCATTTCACCAGAATACCCAACCTGTACACACTTACCTTTCTCTGTGGTTTCACTTTTTTCACTGTTTTCACCATTTATCTATTTTGTAAAGGAAAAAGGGTTTTACTTTCTTGAACAGAAACAAAAATTTTCAGATAAAATTTAAACCTTAATACATCAATGAAATTGCAAATCTAGGAAAGAAAGATCACATAGTAGTAGCATTTTATAAAATTACAATTAACTAGTCTCTCAGAGAGGCAGATGATTGAAAATCTAATTATTAGGCCATCTGACATTTCTCAAACTTTTTTCATACAGGGCAAATATGATTTAAATACAATGCTAGTAGAAATTTAATATTTAACGAGAGCAATTTTTATGAAATAAAAATCCTAGTGTTCCCTCTACAGCACTCCATTACACAATTCAAGTATGTAATGAATAAAAATATTCATAAATCTACCTTTTCTAACCAGGCTAACATGGGGTAACTGTGTAAGGTATAAATTCATTTCATAGATGGGAAAACAACTTATTGTATTTATCAAAATAAGAAATATATTAATACATATTAAATGCCTCCTAACATAGTGCAAAACAAAGTGAGAGGTATTGCTTAGGAAGCATTCATAGCAAAAATAAAACTTAAACATAAATCTCTGGGGTTGCAATTCTAGCTTACAGAAATCATGGGAGATAGAAGAACAAGATACACCAAGGAAGCAATCAGTTAAGTTCCAATGGTGAGCCAGAGTTAAGAAGTTTAACTTGTGAAATGAAAGATGAGAAGAAGCATCCAAGCAGAAAACAATGGAGACTTAAGACACAAGGCTTGGGTTTCTGTTATACAATGATCGAGTACCCGTCCCTCCACCAGTGCCCATTCTCCACCACCAATGGTTCGGTCTATAGTCTAATAGTGTTTCACTAATTAAAAAATTAATTGATTTTAAAGAAGTGAAACAAAAACCATCTACTGAGAGCCACCTAATGTATATTCCATTTCTATGAAATGCCTGGAACAGGTAAACCCATCATGCAAGAAAGCAGATAAGCAGTTTCCAGTAGAGAGGAGAGATACAAGGTGTGTTCCTTGGGAGGGGATAACGTTAATATTCTGGAATAGTGCTGGATATATTGGTGCACATGATAAAATAACTGAACTATAAACTTCCAAAAGATGAATTTTATAGTATGTGAATAGTATATGCATTTATTTTAGTTGTTAGCAAAGTACTAATTGAATTCATATGTCTGAACATGACCACATAAAAACTAGCAATTTTCCTTTACTCCAACTCCATGTTAATCTAAATGGTTTTCTGTTAAAAAAAAAAAAAAAAGACAGAAGGCAACTACACAGATGAGAGAACCTGTCTTTTTTTTTTTTTGCAGAGCAATCATTTTTAATTAATGTATCTACTGTCCTTTATTTTTTTTTTTATTAGTGAAACACCATGAGGTAGTTGTAGATTTACAAATTTTTGTGCTTGGATTTCAGTCATACCATGATCAAATACCCATCCCTCCACCAGTGGAGAGAACCTGTCTTATGTCCTGACTCAAAACAAAATAACTCTAAAATTCCTTCTGAGAAAAGCTGGGAGACAGCAGGGAACATTATTAATTCTGTGAAATGGAAAAATAGCATTATGGCTTTTATGGAAACCCCCCATTTTGGGATGATGTATACTGAAATATTTTAGACTAAAATGAGGGGGCTGGAGTGATAGCACAGCGAGTAGAGCATTTGCCTTGCACGCGGCCGACCCGGGTTTGATTCCCAGCATCCCATATGGTCCCCCGAACACCACCAGGAGTGATTCTAGAGTGCAGAGCCAGGAATAACTCCTGAACATTGCCGGGTATGACCCAAAAAGAAAAAAAAAAAAGACTAAAATGATAGGAAATGTACTTTGACATAATCCAGCAAAACAGGAAAGGGGACATAAACATGTAAATGTTAGATGATCTCTGAAAATTTAAGAGTGTTTTACTGTACTCTGAAAACAAAAAAAGCTCAACAAAAATCAATCCAACAAATACGAGTTGCCCTGCTGCAGGACAGTGAAAAAAATTATTAGACTGACTTTTTATGGGCCAGGAAGGTGGTTCAAAGGGCTGGAGCAAAGATACTAATTGGGCCCTGTGCATGACCGGATACAGCCCTGGCGGCCCCCAGCAATGCTGGGTGCAAGCAGCACCTTATCAAGGAGCTGGACACCAAACCTTCAGGCCAGCACTGATGTCCAGAGCAGTGCTGGTGCCCTCACAGCAATGCTGGGGAGGGTATATATATATATATAAATATATAGCACTGTCCTCCCATTGTTCATCAATTTGCTCAAGCGAGCACCAGTAACATCTCCATTGTTAGACTTGTTACTGTTTTTGGCATATCAAATACTCCACGGGGAGCTTGCCAGGCTCTGCCATGCGGGCGGGATACTCTCAGTAGCTTGCCAGGTTCTCCAAGAGGGACGGAGGAATCGAACCCAGGTCGGCTGCGTGCACGGCAAATGCCCTACCCACTGTGCTATAGCTCTAGCCCCTAATACATATGTATATATGTATATGTATATATAACATATGTATACACACATTAAAGCCTATCTGTATAGTTTCTTGAAGTCTGTTTTTAAAACTACATTAATGATCTGAACTGTCTCTAAGACATTATGACTTATTTTATGCTTTAAGTTCTTAAACTCAAAAGACCAGAAAGATTTATTCACCTTTAAGACAGCACATGGCCCAATGTCACAACCAATTCAACTGCTACCTTTCAATGATTTTGTTTTGGTTTTGGTCTTTTGGGCCACACCCAGCTGTGCTCAGGGATCAGTCCTGGCAGGCTCAGGGTTGGCTGTGTTGGCTCAAGGAAAGTGCCTTACCCACTGTACAATCTCTCCAGCCCTCTACTTCTTAATGAAATCAATGATTCACATATAATTGGTAGCTGAAAGACACAAAATGCTTGAAAGCAGAGTCAAAGAGAGAGATAGTACAGAGGTTAAGGCAATCGCCTAATAGGGGCCAACCTTCGTTAGCTCTTCAGTATCACATACGTCCCTGAGCATCATCCAGTGACCCCCGAGCATACTCAGTAGTAGTTTCTGAGCACTGCCAGGTGTTTTCCCCATCAACCACCTCCAAAAATTAATAGCAAAAATCCTTTCATGAATTTCAGGAAGTTTCTCAGGGAGTGAAGAGAACAGATTGGGTGCATTTATGAGAAAGAAGACCAGACCTTAAAATTCATCTGTTTCAAGGTCTTCATTTGGCAAATAAGGAAACAGTTCTCCTGGGTAAGTTAGGTAGGAATAAAGCACAAAACCCCAAATATATTTAACCATAGTTCTAATCCTCTTTCCACTGCTCTAAACAAGTTTATAAAAATTGCTCAAAATGAACTAAAATACAAATTTCCACAGATGCGCTGGAAGCCTGGAATCAACAGGAAATAGAAAATTTAACTCCATTTCTAACAGGAACATTGCACTGTGTCTCATCTAGGCTGCCTGAGCAGCGAGGCCTCAATTCCTCTTCCCTCACACAACAAACTTGAAATACCTCTAGGGTTTTGTGTTTGGAACCTGGTACATTTTCCAAAGAACCTTTAGCTGATGTGCCTCCTTCCTCTCTGCCTGCTTCCTGCCTTTTATGTTTCTGCAGCTGCTCCTCCTCCTGCCGGTCCTTTTCTTCAAGTTTTTTCCGAACTTCAGCTTCTTCATATCTGGTTAAAGAGAGAAGCCAAGAGGCCTGTCACGGGCAGTCTCAGAGAAGGGGAAAATGGCTCTAAGAACCGAGTGCTCGCCTGGGGAATTTCTAGGCTGCAAAGTTTCTCCCTTCAACAGACATTCCACACTGCCAGTGTCCTCTTACGGTCACAGTCGGTGAGCTTTCCCCCATGTGGATTTATCCCCAGTTGCTCACAAATCTTGAAAAGCAGCTCTATGCTGTTTAGTGCTCAGTGCTCTTTCGATGCTATCCCCCCACCAACAGAAGCTAGCTCTCCCGCAGTGCCAGGACAGAACCAGTAGAGCATAGGGCATGCACTCCACCTCTCCTGGAGCCACATCTGGGGACTGAGGGATCTTTTCAAGGAACTGAATCTGCTGCCATTTTCTTTTTGAAGGATTTATTGTTTCCTAATTATTTGGGGAAAGAAAAATCCAAACGTCACAATTATGTTTATTATTATTATTATTATTTTTGGGTCACACCCAGCGATACACAGGGGTTACTCCTGGCTCATGCACTCAGGAATTACTCCTGGCGGTGCTCAGGGGACCATGTGGGATGCTGGGAATCGAACCCAGGTCAGCCACATGCAAGACAAACGCCCTACTGTGGTAACTGTGCTATAACTCAAGCCCCACAATTATGTTTATTATTTAGAGACAAATGTGAAAGTGAGCAGTCAACATCCATTCATGATAAAAAGTCTCAGGGAACTACATGGTACCAAGAATCAAACCCTGGTTGGCCAGGTGACCTTTAAGTTTTCAAGCACTTAACTTCAATACTCAAGGGCTTAGCAACTCCTCTGAATTTTTAACACGGTTGCTTGAAAAGATCATAGGTCAAACATGCATGTGGAGCATTGCTGGTAGTTTACCCAGTGTACCATCATTCCAGTCCACCCTGCTGTTTCTTCGCATTGTATGTGATGTTGGCTGTTGATCTGTTGTTCACATTATCACCTTGAGTACTCCTTTTATTCCAATTTTGTTACAAGCTTTTATCATGAATGGATGTTGAATCGTGTTAAAATCATTCCTGCATCAATCTTTCCTACTGTTGATATGGTGTACATTACACTAATTGATCTGCACATATATTGAACCATCCTTGCATCTCCAAAGCATATGGTCGATATATTTCTGGATTTAGTTCTGATTTCAGTTTAATTATAAAAGCAGAACTTATGGTTTTGTTGAAGGTCTTTTATGTGGGGAAGAGGGGCTTTTTTAGGCCACACCCAGGGGTTACTCCTGGCTTTGCACCTGCATTCAGGAATTACTCCTGGAACTGCTCAGATTATACGTGATGCCAGGGATCAAACCCAGGTCGGCCAGGGGCAAAGCAAACCAATCCAGCCCCATGATTTTCGAAAGTCTTTTGTTAATCAGGGATGTCAGCCTAAAATATCTTTTAAGTAGTTTCTCTGTCTGCTTTTGGTACTACAATGTTGACTTTATAGAAGCTGTTACGATAAATTCGCATTTCTGGGGATAAAAGATGATACAGGAGGTAAGGTGTGTATTGTACATGATGTCAACAAACGGTACAACCTCTGCCACCACAAATGGTCTCTAAAACACCATCAGGGCTGAGAGGAGACCAAGAATAGCCTGTGAGCACTACCAAATCACTCCCTACCCTTACTACCACAAAAAAGAATTTCTGGCCAGACAGATAGTACAGAAATTAAGGCACTCCCATACATCCTGTTGACCCCAATTTAAATTCCTAGCACTATATATGGCTACTCCTGAACAGAGAACCAGGAATAGCCACTGAGCATCATTGGATATGACCCCGGGGGGGGGGGGGGGGGAACCTGCCTAAGAAATATTTAGAAAGAATTTCCATTTCTTCAATATGTTTTTTTTTTTTGGCTTTCTGGGTCACACCTGGCGATGCACAGGGGTTACTCCTGGCTCTGCACTCAGGAATCACCCCTGGCGGTACTCAGGGGACCATATGGGATGCTGGGAATCGAACCTGGGTAGGCTGCATGCAAGGCAAAGGCCCTACCCGCTGTGCTATTGCTCCAGCCCCTCTTCAATATTTTGGAAAAACCCGAGTATACATAATCAGTCTTATTTAAAGTGTTGGTAGAACTGATTGGTGAACACATCTAGACCTGGGCTTTTGTTCTTGGAGGGATTTTTATTTTGGGGATGGGGGGGGGGGGTCACATCCAATGATGCTCAGGAGTCACTCCAGGCTCTGTAATCAGGAATCATCACTCCTGGTGGTACTAAGAGACCTTATGAGATGCCAGGGATCAAACCCGAGTTGGTCACATGTCAGGCAAGCCTCCTACTCACTGTACTATGTCTCCAGCCCCAAAAGGATAGATGATTTGGTGCACATGAAGAATTATGGTCAATTATATGCAAAACAGACATCTCACCCCTTGTACTATCACTATGGAGATTGTTCCCATTACTGCATTGGTAATTTTTGCAAATATTTGGTAATATTTGCTTAAAAACAACTGCATCATGGTATCCACTTTAGAATCCCCTATACCTCAACTTGGGATACCAAAAATCCTTTTACTTTATCAAGTTGTACCTTATTTGTCTCCTCTCTTCTAAACATTTTTTAAAACTTCTGGTTTGTGAGAAAGCTCTAAATGTGTACAGCTATTTTCTTTGGTTGAAAATACCGAGATTTATTTATTTCTATTATGTATCTTTTGTGAAGCTCTGGGGATCAAACCTAGGTCTTACATGGGCAAAGCACATGCTTTGCATTGAGACATATCCCCACCCTAAAGCCCTAAAGATTTAAATTTTATGTGTCTCTTCTATTTCTAGGAACAGGCAGTCAGCTGTTCGTCAGAAATGAGCTCACAACTTTAAACATTCTTATCTTTTAAATTAACATTCTTTTACAGATTTCATTATAACGTCCATACCTGAGTTTAAGGCTTTCTGAGAGTCTTTCAGCTTCTTCAATAGCTTTTTTGATGTTTGCAGGTCCAAGAATAGAATGAAAATGCTCCTGAAATGACAGAAAGAACATCCCGAACTGTTCGTGTATAAGCTTAAAGCTAAAGCATTCAAATCATGGTGCATGGTTCATTTACACGGTGCACATAAAGGAAAGTTTAGATGGGAACATTATAATGATCAAATGAAATACAGATTAAAATGTGAATGTGTGTAAGTATGTACTTTATCTTACAATGTTTCCAAAGTCTCTTTATTCTTTCAATACGCCTTCGTTGTGATCTGGACCCCAGCCAGATGTGCCCATTACTTCTGGCAGGACTCAGGAACCATGTGGTACTAAGGATCAACCTGGGTCAACTGCACATAAGGCAAGTGCCATACCCACTATACTATCACTCCGGCCCCAGCAGTATGCTTTAAAAATAAAAACACTAGAAAGCAAAATATTTTACTTATTTCCAAGGTACAAATAATTTCAGTGTAAATTATTTTATGAACTACTACTCATATGGACACCAAAATGAAAAAATTCTAAAGCAAAAGATGTTTTCCTGTTGTAAATATATTCCCTAGCTTTTATTCTCTACTAGAGTAGTAAAGTGAATTATATATAGATCTACCGCACAGAGTTTTTCACTTGTTTTAAACTCATATGTTTCTACTTCCAGTTCCATTTTCACAGTTGCCTAATTCGCAAGAGGGTTCGATCACAATGAACACATAAAACAACTTTCACATTTGATGAAGTCCTGAGGAACTGAAAAGCAAATGATAGAAAACAAATCACAGTGATATACTGTAGAAGTCTGAGAGACAGCTCAATAGGCTAAGTTCGCAATTTGCATGTAGGAGGCCTGGGTTAGATCTGCTATATGGATGAGCACAGAACCATAAGTAGTCCAGGAGCACCACAGAATACGGTACCCATCAAAAATTTGAAGTCTCTGGTACCTGACCATAGTATAGTGGGTAGGGTGTTTTCCTTGCATACAGCCAACCTGGATTCTGTCCCCAGCATCCCATATGTCCCTCCCTTCTTCCTCCACAAGCACTGCCAGGAGTATTTCCTGAGTGCAGAGCCAGGAGTAACCCCTGAGCATCGCCAGGCGTGACCAAAAAAGCCCCCCCCCCCGCCCTCCCCAAAAAAGATTAAAAAAAACATGCTTTGGGGCTGGAGAGATAGCACAGTAGGAAGGATGCTTGCCGTGCACGCAGCCAACCAGAGTTCAATCCCTGGCACCCCATATGATCTGCCCAAGCACCATCAAGAGTGATCCCTGAGTTCAGAGCCAAGAGTAACATCTGAACACTGCTGGGTGTGGCCCCAACTCCAATAACAGTAATAATAATACTATGTTCTAAAATATATTTTGGCAAATAATTTACTAACTAGCATAATGAAATTCTTGTTAGAAATGATTTCTCATAAGCCAGAGGGATAGTACAGTGAGCAGGGCACTTGCCTGGCATGTGGCCAAACCAGCTTCAGTGCCTGCATAGTCCTTAGAATCCCCCTGAGCACAGCAAGGAGTAAACTCCTAGCACTGCCAAATGTGGCCCCAAAACAAAGAAATAAAAGATTTCTCAGGCTAGAGAGATAATATAAGGGTAAGGCACTTGCCTTGATGAAGCCCACTCTGGTTTGATACCTGGCACCAGACTGTTCCTTCAAGCCCCACTAGGAGTGACTCCTGAGCACAGAGACAGAAGAAAGTCCTAAGCACTGATGGGGGTGGCTCCCAAGCCACTATGAATAAAAATGCTTTCACCAAAAGCTCACTTATTATTAGTGAGTTAATTCTGTACTCAGAAATATTTTGAAATCAACATGTCATGTAGGATAGTGAGATCCACTACATACGTGCCTGTTGGACTGCCACTGCCACAACTGAACAGTATGACTTTATAAACAGAACCCTATTCGCACAGTTCACCGGCTTGGTAATCAAGATTTATTTGACTTTTAAAAGATGAAGGAGGGCATCCATCAGTCAGAGGTATCCACCTTTGGTTCTCTGAGGTGTAGTCTCATGAACTGATGAAACCTCTCTTCTCATCACAACTATTATGTGTGTGTCTAACTTCAAAGCAGATTATATTTTGGTTGTATTTATTTTTCTAGATAAAAACGAAACAAAAAAGGCCCTTCACTCTTAATTTTTGATGAAAGTATACAGTTTGCTCAATATTGTAACAACTTAAAATTACAGTAGAAGCTGAATTTAATAATCAAAGTCCTGACCAACACTTTAACAGAAAACTAAGTTTAACCACTACTGGAAGACATTTAAGATAAAAAGATAAAAAAGTAAAACCTTAGATATACTATCCCTTTTTTTTTGAAAAAAAAATTTGAGGGTAGCTGGGGACCATACCAGGCAGTACTGGAGCGTCACTCCTGGCTCTGTGCTCAGCTCAAAGTCACTCCTGGCAGTGTTCAGGGGAACATCTGCAGTACTAGGATCAAGAAAGGTGATACAACGCAAGCACCTTACCAGCTGCATCATCTCTCTTGCCCTGCTTTAATTTTTGTTTCTGTTTATTAAAGGGTCAGATAAATAAAATGAGATTACCTTAGTTTTAATAATGACAATTGTTTGGGAGCATTCCTGCTGCATACTCCCAGGATACTTCCACTAATATTAGTGAGACTTCTTATCAATGGTTATCTCTGTGCACAATTAAAGTATACATATTTTCAAATTTCCAATAGTAATGGAAATTACAGAATAAAGAAGATAAAAGTTTCTGCGAAATCTAAAATTTTGTCTGCTTTACCAAACCCTGAATGCAAATGTAAACAATAGTAATAATTTCAAAAAGAGGGAATTTATCAATGAAAATTATAGGCTAATCATCAGGCATGCATGGAGATATTTTATTGATTTATTTATTCTTGCTTTTTGGGTCACACCCAGCAATGCTCAGGAGTTACTCCTGGCTTTGCACTCAGGAATTACTCCTGGCAGTGCCTGGGGGACCATATGGGATGCTGGGGATCGAACCTGGGTCGGCCGCGTGCAAGGCAAATGCCCTACCCGCTGTGCTACTGCTCCAGCCCCCATGCATGGAGATATTGAAGTATCATTTAAAAAAATCTTGTTGCTTTTTGGGACCACACTCAGTGGTTCTCAGGGGACCATACTGAGTGCATGGGATTGAACATGGGGTTGGCAAGACGCAAGGCAAGGCTGTACTATTTCTCCAGCCCTATGTAATTTAAATTTTATATTGAGACTTTACAACACTATTATCTAAACATATATGCCTCCCCCTTTGTCACAGGGCCCTAAAAGACTGCCAATAAGCTGATGCTTTGAGTGTATACATAATAAATGCAAGATGTTCTTTCTAAGTGAGTTTGCTACATTGACTAGTTTTAACTAAATCTTAAATCTTTCCCAGAGCAAACAGGCATGAATGATAAAGTTTCTAAAGATGATCAGAGACCAAACATTCTGTCTCATGGTACAGGGGAAGTGGTAACTTGGGACCAGGACTAGGTGCTGAAAGGGGGTAAAGTGACATTCATGATACCCCATTGGTAACAGTACTCTAAATCACAATGCCTAAAAGATAGGGAAAAAGGAAATAGTGCCTGCCACAGAAGCAGGATGGGGGTGAGGTGGGGGGTGGGGGCGGGGGTGGGGGGAGTTAGAGGGAAACTGGGATCACCTGTGGACACTGGTGAAAGTATTGGTATTAGAACATTGTACACCTGTAAATTCAACTGTGATTAACTTTATTAACTCCGTAAATCACAGTGATTCAATTAAAAAAAATTCTGTCACTACCTGGTTGCGCAGGCAAAATTCAAAAATACCCAGTCACAAATTAAACTTATAATTCACATACTTGAAGTGCACAGGAGTTAGGTTAAAAAGTTCCTGTTAAGACTGACTCAGCAGTGGTGCCCTGGAGACAGGAAATGGACACAGTCCACCCTCTGAGAACAGAGATGACCAGCTGCAGCATCTGAATGGAAGCCTGAGTTGGCGCTTCTGCAGGGAGCCTCCTAACCAGAACTTCCACAACTCTCCAATGTCTCTGGGAATGTAAAAGTCTCTAGGAAAATCCTCTTTTTCTTTTCTTTTCATTATTATTATGTTTTCACATTTTTAAAAATGAGAGTTAAGGTGGCATGGTTACAATCATGTTAAAAGTTTATGGTATCAATATAAAAAGTCACTGCACCTGACCACCTCCCAAAGTGCCTGGGAACTGATCACCACTGTTCCTACGTCCCTTCTGGTCCTATACTCATTCCCCACTACTTCATCCTCTCTGTAATTCGAAGCCAAGGGTTTGTCATTGTTCAATACTATTACCTTGCTTTATCCCTTTCTATTCCACCAATTAATAAGAAAAATCAGATAAATGAGATTTTTTTCCCCAAACTGTAAAGTCTAGATAAAATGTGAATTAATTTGGGGCAAGCGAGATAGTATTGTGGGCAAAGTGCTACCTCAGCAATTAACATTTACTCCATCCTTCTCAACTAAAAAAGATAAATTGTAAAAACACTTCAATCATGTAACAAAAAAGAAAAAACAACACCCTGCTAACTTAGGAGAAGAAAGCATACAGTAAACAAGCATATTAAAAATTGGCATAACTACAACAAACAAGAGTAATCGCTTCCAAAGTTATCCAAATTTGGAAATCTTCCCAAAATATTTCTTTGGTAAACACTCTTATACACCTTTTATGCACTTCCACTTTCATAAACACTGTAAACTGCATCAAAGAAAACTGTTAAATTCCATCAAAGAATATTTAAAAAAGCAGTTTTAATTAGAGCAGGCCTCTGTAGCGCCAGATAAATATGCCCAAAAATGTTCCAAGGGCAGGAGCAAGCCAACATTTGTGGACAGGTCGGTGAATCTACAAATACAAGGAGTCACCCTCCCTCAGCTACGGAGAAGACTGTGGTGAAGAAATACCATCCATGATGTGCTGCCATTAATTACAACACTAACATTAGCCCTAACCAACAACTGAAAGATACAATAGTCACTATTAATATAGCAATCAATATCAATAACCAATGTAGTAATCAGTATCAATACAGTAGTACTGACACTATTTTATAATTAGAGTGCTACTACACCACGCCCACCACATTATTCCCAGGTCCCTTCCTTCCTGACCCTAACTCCTCCTCCGTAACCCCGGTCCCCCACACCCTCAGATGAGAGTTCTACTGATGGGATATCACGGCTGCTTCCACAGAGGATTGTATAATTTCTTGCTTTGTTTCTTTATACTCTGCTTATGAGTGAGATAATCTGGTTTGTCTTTTTCTAACTTTCTTCACTTAGCATCTTAATTATGACATCCTCCAATTTTATCTAAGCTAAAACAAACTACAAAATTTCCCTTTTTGGGGGAAGTGGGGGGCTTGATTCACACCAGGGATCACTCCTGGCAGGCTCAGGTAACCATATGGGTTACCAGAAACCAAATCTATGTTGGCTGTATGCAAGACAACAGCTCTACTGACTATGATAATTCCAGTCCAAAACCTCTCTTTTCTCATAGCTGAGTAAAATTTCATGTTTAGTTACATTTTTTATCTGTGTAAAAGTTTAAAGTTAATATGAGTAAAATTTGAGCAGGTTAAAATTTTAGAGGGAGTCACAGTTTCATTGTGCAAAAATAATTCAGCAAATAAAGAAATTAAAGGTACCTGCTGTTGCTTGAAGTCAGGCCTATTTTTGATTAGATTATAAACAGTCACATATTTCATATATAATACATAGGCCTTTTCCTCATCACGATCTAATCTGCTTTCTTCTGCTGTCTTGAAGATCTTCAGAGCACTCTGTACATAACTTCAATTCAGAGAAAAAAGCAATTAAAGTACTTAACATCTGGACATAATTAAGTCATGTATAAAACCTACATATGATATATTTAATATTTTAAGTTAAGTCATGTACAAATTTCATACTTTAAGTTGCACTACTGCAAAATTGAGTTTGGATGCAACCTTAAACTTTATCATATGGTACAAGTAAATACTTCTATTTCATAATAGCTGTTTGGGATATCAATAAATTGTTAAACTCCACTTAAATCCAGTCTTAAAACATTTGCTGTAATAAGACACATACTGGGCCCATGATGTAGCCCAGTAATAGAGCACTTGCATGTGTAAGGCCTAAGGTTCAATACCTGGTTACAAAAGCAAAAAAGGCCATCCTGAGCAAGTGGCGCTCAGATAGCCAGACAGTGGTTACAAATCATAGCTGCATACAAGTTGTACTGAAGGAAAGGAACAAAAAATTATAAAGGTAAAACAAGCACATATTTCTTAATTGTTTTTTTGGCCACACAGAGCTGTATTTGGGAGACCATATGTAGTACTGGGGATTGAACCCAGGAGGGCTATGTACAAAGCAAGTGCCCTATCCACTATACAATCTCTCCAGCCCATAAAACACTTTTCAATTTTACCCACTCCTTTCTGTCACTGTCCTCCCGTTGTTCACAGATTTCCTCCAGCGGGCCCAGTAACATTGTGAGACTTGTTGTTACTGTGTTTGGCATATCGAATACGTCACAGGTAGCTTGCCAGGCTTTGCTGAGTAGGAGAGATACTCTCGGTAGCTTGCTGGGCTCTCCGAGAGGGGCAGAGGAATCAAACTCCAGTCAGCCACGTGCAAGGCAAACACCTTACTCTTAACCAAAAAAAACAATGAAAATAGGAGAGGAAAGCGGACACAAGTCCTCTTCTCATTTTAATTTGATTAAAGTCTTATACAGAAAGTTAAACTCATTCCAATTCACTTATTCTAGAAGGAAAAGCGATTTTTAGTCTAAAAGTCATGTCATCTTCAATCTTCTCTTTAGTAATTGGAGAATTCTCTGATAATCATTCTAAGTACTCTTCTTGGTTTATTTGAATAATCTTTAGAAAGCAAATTAATAGGCATTTCTATGAAAGAAATTCATTCCTCTAGAAATAAAGTTTTGGTGACCAAGTTTCAGTGCAAATGATTATATTCACTTGGCTTTGTCAATAATATATTTATAAAAAGCTAATTTATCTTTTGTATCCAGTTTTCTCTAGCTGTTAACTCTGATCCAAGACTGAGGCATGAATTAATAATTAAGCTGTTGGGGGCTGGAGTAATAGCACAGCACGTAGGGCATTTGCCTTGCACGCAGCCAATCCAGGTTCGATTCCCAGCATCTCATATGGTCCCCTGAGCACCGCCAGGAGTGATTCCTGAATGCAGAGCCAGGAGTAACCCCTGTGCATCAATGGGTGTGACCCCCCCAAAAAATAGTAATAATAATTAAGCTGTTTAGGAAAGAAATGAAACAATACACAAGGGTACAGGGCCAGATGATATTTAGGACTCAGGATGAGTCTATATAAGGACTTCTTCAGTCAGCAGATAAGCCCAGCTCAGCATGGCATTAGAGACGGGTCAGAGAACAAGTCAAGGCTACTAAGAACATTCTCCTTAAGAGTGTAGGAGTCAGTGCAACAGTACTGAGTTTTCTCCAAATTTCTTTGCCTTGGATTCCATGGGAATGTATGTAGCAGATCAATTTGAGATCACCACAGTACTATCAAGTCCAGTGAAGTGACCAAAGAGACCCCCACTCAAAAAAAAAAAACCTCCAGCATTCATCAGAAACAATGCCCTGACACAACCAAAACAGGAGTTTCCATTTTAGTTAAGTTCCTCAAACAAACCTCTTTGCTTGGGATCAGTTAGTTCTAGTGTGAAACCAGAACTTGCTAGTAAGGCTTGATGTATCGTCCAATTAAAGGAAGCTCTCTGAGAAAATGGGGACACCACGTGCTCTGGGAGGTTGAACCAAAGGTCTCTGCTCTGCAAAGTATGCACTCCGGCCTTTGGAGCTATCAACCAGCCCCCAGGGATTTTCTGTTTTAAAAAACTCCGTTTGTCCTTTATTTAGAAATACCTTTTCTTTCTGGATTTTCTTTCCTGGCTTTCTTGAAAGTCCCTACCACTCCCATCTCCATCCTTTCCATTTTTGTTTCGTTTGCTCTACTGAAGATCCCCCCAAGTTCCTGTTTTGTCTTCAAAACTCTTTATTTCCAACTCTGCAATAATGTGGCTACTGAATAGACACCAAACTTTCTCCTTTGTAGGTGGAAATAAACTCAAGAAAGTTTCCTATTTTCTTCTAGAAAAACAATCACTAAATAGAAAAATTAATGAGAGCTCACTTTCTGCAAAATCAAATAGTAAAACAGGTGGATTTTTCCTCCTATGTTTCTGCTTTAATTTATCTTATTGTGGTGCTTGGGACTGAACCCAGGGCCTCACTCACATATGCAAAACTGGGACTTTACTAACCGAGTCACATTCATCACTGTTATATTGTATTTTAAGGCAGATTTTAACATCATTATCAAATAAACTATCATTAATAGCCTGTATCTGAGCAGGTAGTTATATGCTATAAAAATTTTTTAAAAATACACATATAAATCATTAAATAAAAATAAATAAATAAAGGCCCAGGGATAGCTCAGAGCCAAGAGTGCCCACCTGTTCTTCTACCACTAACAGGTACCAGCAGTCTTGGCAATTCTGCTGTCCAGGACCCTCAAGGCCAGCTGCTGGGCATGACCAAGTATGTGCAATAACCACAACTAAAAGTATATGAGCACCAAGCCTCAGTGAGCACCACAACCAAGTGTGTGAGACACCTCCTCCCTTCCCCCCTGCCTGGCAATATCGCAAGAGCAACAAGGAGAAAGGGGAGGGGATATCAGATAGGTACACAATAATAATGCACTGGATTGGTATACATTAATAAAGGGCTGGAGCAATAGCACAGCAGGTAGGGTGTTTGCCTTGCACATGGCCGATCTGGGTTCAATTCTTCCTCCCCTCTTGGAGAGCCCAACAAGCCACCGAGAGTATCCCGCCTGCATGGCAGAGCCTGGCAAGCTCCCCATGGCGTATTCCATATGCCAAAAACAGTAACAAGTCTCACAATTTGTTGTGAAACGTTACTAGTACCTGTTCGAGCAAATCGATAAACAACGGGAGGACAGTGCTACAGTGCTAATAATGCACTGAATATTGGACAAAACCGCAGATCTCCTATTTCAGTAAAAAAAAGCTATGCTAGGACCAAATGTCAAATGTGAAACACACTCAGATAAAGATCTAAGTTAGAAGTAATTGCATGCTATTTTATAACAGGACTTTAACTGTGGCTACATGACTCTTACATAAACCTTGTATTTTGGTTTTGGGTTTTTTTGTTTGGTCTGGTTTGGTTGGGTTTGATTTTGGGGCCATACCTGGTGATGCTCCGGGGTTACTCCTAGCTCTGCACTCAGGAATTACTTCTGGAGATTATCAGGTAGACGATATGGGGAAGTAGGGATCAAACCTGGTTCAGCCATGTGCAAGGCAAAGTGCTGTACCCACTGTACTATCACTCTAGTCCCTTGCAGAACTCTGTTACCATCTTAGACCAGATAATTAGGATGTAAGCAAAACATATGTGTATTCTGTAAGATGGAAAGTTTAAAATTTTCTCTAGGTTCACTTTAGTGAGATAATGCCATTTTTCCCAATAAACTTCTAGCTGACTACTCATGTACTTCATCTAGTCAAATGGAAATGAGCTACAAATAAATGGCACAGTCCAGTTACCGAAGGACACCTACTTCTTGGTGCTTATCTTCTCTGGCTTGACTTCTGTCTTCTTGTTGAGGTCCTTGAGTGAAGAACTGAGGTAGAGCTCTTTAGGGACAGAGGCCACAGCAGGCATGATGAAGCAGCCTCACTCTGTCAGTTTCATGAACAACAGTTCCTTTTCTGAAGCAAAATAAACACAGAAGACCCCACTAGTTTTCCTCATAATGAACAATCAATCAATCAATCAAGCAAGCAAGCAAGAAAGAAAAAGACACCCCCCCCCCCCACATACACACACCCTACAAACTGTATCCTTTTCCTTCAGGGAGGCAGAAAATAAAACTAGGAAGACAGGGGAAGGATATTTGGGAGATACCAGTAACTCTCAGGGTGGGGAGCTCATTTACAGATGATCATTTTCTTATCATAGCATACAATTACAGTATATAAAAAGATGCCACATCAACATAGATTTCATTTAAAAAATTAAAAAGTCATTAGATGAGCATGATAATGCAAATGTAAATAAAATATATAACTGAATATGAAGAGTAGCCAAACAGATATAAAAGGCAGACGTAATCAGAAGTTCCTAAATTTATGCTCCTCCCCTCCCCAACCCCCCAAACTGCCTTCAGAAAAAGTCACGTGACAAACACAACCTGGGCAGCTGGGCTGTTAAGCCTCAGAGTCTGATACCTGTGATCTCTGGTACTACAAGCCATTCTTAGTCATGCTGCCACCAGGTATTTGTAAGCACCCTCCACTTACCCCCAGGTGTGGACATCTCCCGCCCCCAACTAAAAAAGTGCTGGTGCTGTGGCCAAGAAACGCAAGCTCTGACGGGCACATACAGAGCATTGCAGTGACCACTGACAAGCTCCCTTTCCCGAGACACTGAGAGTGCAAGCCCCGGTGAACACACATGAGCACAACTAAATGATCGCACATCTCAGCAGTGGTCACACATCAGCCATGTTGCCCAACCCTCAGTCACCACAGCAACAACAAAGAGAAGGGGGGATGTAATTAGACAGAGAAATCAACAGCTGGGAGTTAAAAATAGTGCTACAAGACAAAACTTCTATAGAAATTAAGCAAGAGTTGAAGTGTAGTACTGGTGACTATTAGAAAGCACAGTAAGGTCAGAAGCTACTGAATTTTCAGAAAAAAACCTAAAGAAATCTGAGGCATTAGTGATACCACAACAGATATTACTGTGCACAAGGCAGGGAACATTGGGGTTTGGACTACTATTGACCACTAATGAGAAAATAAGGTAGCAGCATCAAACATTATTCTTTTTGGCTTTTTGGGTCACATCCAGTGATACTCAGGGGTTACTCCTGACTCTGTGCTCAGAAATCACTCCTGGTGGTGTGTGGGGGACCATATGGGATGCCAGGGATCGAACCCAGGCCAGCTGAGTGCAAGGAAATCCCCTCTCCGCTGTACTATCGTTTTAGCCCAACAAGCATTATTTTTTTTGCTTTTCTTCTTTTTTTTTTTTTTGCTTTTGGGGTCACACCTGGTGATGCACAGGTGTTAGTCCTGGTTCTGCGCTCAGGAATTATCCCTGGCGGTGCTCAGGGGACCATATGGGATGCTGGGAATCGAACCCAAGTCGTCCGCATGCAAAGGAAACGCTCTACCCGCTGTGCTATTGCTCCACCCTCAACAAGCATTATTCTTGACTCTTCTACCACCCCAACTTGCTAAGCGAGGGTGCAGCCTACTTAACCACGTTTGCTCCCAATATGAGCCAGCTCTTGAAATCCAATTCCCTCAAAGCCCAATAATTTTTTAATGGTGACACTAAGTACACAAAGATAAAGACTACAACCAGAGTTAGGCAGTGTAACCAAGTACCATGTAATGCTATCTGCTTTTCCAATCCTATCCTCTATCTGACTTGTGAGTACTAGTCTAACCACAGAGCTTACGATCATTGAGTCAGGCAGACTCCATTTGTTGATTCATGACAACAGGTTATTTGCTGGGAAAACTTACTGATTTGAATGTTTCAAAATGAAGGCCTAGAGTATGTCCTAAGTTGAATCTCTATGATTATCTTTGAAGTCTGGATCTTTAGAAGACAAAAGAAGAAAAACTTCCTACCTAGGCTACTGAGAATAGTAAATCCATCACCAACTCAAAGTTAAATTCAATCCAAACATTCACAGATATCCTGCTATATGGAAGGCATCATGTTTCCAAGATAACATGATCCAGTTCCATCCACACAGAAAAAAATGGGAGCAGCCGTACTGCAGTATGGTAAGGTATCAAACCCGGAAGAGTTACCCAGAGTGAAAATTTACAGCAAAAGATAAACTATGACTAGCACGATCTTACAGGCATTATGAGAGTGGTAATTTATACACTTAGCAGGAGAAGGTTTTAAGATAATGATGGGGTTGGGGATTATCCAGCAGCAAATGAACCAGGATATACTAAATAGTAGTCTGAAAAACAGTAGAGACACAGTAACTCAAAGGCCAAAGAGACAATACAAAGGTTAAGGTACTGCATCCTACCAACCCCTGCTTGAATCCTTGGCATCATGGATGGTCCCCTGAGCCCTACAGGGTTCATCTTGAGCATAGAGCCAGGAATAACCCCTGAGTACCACCAAGTATAACCCAAACAACACTCCCCCTCCCCACCCAAAAACACACACAAAGAAGAATAGAAAGTCTTTAGAATCCTATTACTTTGGTTTCTTAAGGTAGGTAAGAGTTAAAACAAGGTTCTTGGAGGAAAAAAAGCAAACTGATCCAAACTGACAACAGTACCAAGTAAGCCTTAAGAGAGTGGGGCTGAGGGAAACAGGAGCTCTGAGTCTACTGATCCTAGGGAAAGATGATGAAGGTCAGAAGCAGGGCACTGGAGATGGGCTGCCGGGTAGAATGACAGGGCCTGGCAAATGATTAGACACAAGGAGGCAAACATGAGAGTAAGATTACAATGACATCAAAGCTTTTAGTGGAGATTTCTAGGAGAAACATTGTATTTTTTAAGTTGCTTTTCTGTCTTTAATTGATTTTTGAGAAGAGCTGAAATACAGAACATCTTTACCTAACAATGCCTAAAATCTTCAAAGGACCACAGCTGTTTCCATTTTCATTCACAAAAATGTATGTCAAATAATGACCCCTTGTTAAAATCCTATGGCACTGCTTTAGTTGCAGGCATTTCTGCACAAGGTCAAGCACATGGCAAAGGATGTTTCTTTCTAATGAGATAACAAAGAAGGATAGTTATTCCACTCAAGTTTGTGAAGCTAATGTGCTAAATGTCCTTCCACTACACTCTGCCATTAAGGAAATCTCAAAGTAGCCTACAAAAATTAAGGGCAAAATGACAGAATGAATTCAACACTTCCTTATTCTGACTGAAACAATATAAACAAAGAGAATCAAGTAGTAGCAGCAGCAACCTAATGACACCCAGAGCAACTGGGAAGGAGGGTCTGGAGGCCACACCCGCTGGTACTAAAGGGTCACTGCTGGCGGTGCTTGAGGACCATGCACTGAGCTGGAGAGCAAACCGAGGACAACTGTATCCAAGGCCTTAACCCCTGTGCTATCTCTCTAGCTCCTGGAATTCAAACTTGTAGAATCAAATTTAACCCAACGAAATTTATATTACTTATTTATATTGCTATATTATTGGAAACTCAAATGTATAGGACTAGAGAGAGAGCTTGAAAGAGTGAAGACATACTTCTCGGGCAGAAGGCCCATCAGTGCTCAAAGCCTAGCACCACATGGTCCCCTGAGCACTGCTGGTGCTGGGAGTGATCCCTAAGCACTGAACTGGGTGTGGCAAAGGAAGGAAGAAAGGGAGGGAAGGAGGGAGGGAGGGAGGGAATTTATTGGTTTCGATGTAGAACCAAATATAACAAAGGCCATTATTCAAAACTGTGAAAATGCTTTTTAAAAAATCATAGAATTATAAAAATAACAAATCACACCCCAAACTTGAGATTTTTCTAAAAAACGTTCTTTTCATTAGTGTCTGGGATCAAACCCCAGTCTCATGCTTGCAAGGCTTGCACTTTACCACTGAGCCCTATCTTCAGCTGTAAATGTTCTTGAAGTGCATAATCTTGATAACCAACTCCAGCTCAGTCAAACCGCAATGCTCCAAAAATGAAATCCAGACGGTACGGAAAATAAAAAGGAGAAAATGGAAGGGGTATATATATCATTTTCTTTGACTTCTTAGACCCCTAAAGAAAATGAGTTGAGAGTAGACTGCTTGGACCAGAGTGAAAGCTGAAAAAGAATGAAGTGAAGAGTGGCATCTTGGCACTTCAAATGTCTTCGCATCTTAACTAGGGTTGCACAACGGCCACTGCCCATGTCCACAACCACTTAAAGAAAGCACAGTTTATACCTGTTCCTCATCTCGCACCTGGCCCCACCTTTGCCTTGCAGGCAGCAATGGTACTCACAGTACTCGAGGGCACTCACTATACTCATTTTATCTTGTTCTGCTGATCCTTTGCCAGTGCCAGGGACTGAACCCTGGTCTCAGCAGGCAAGACAAGTGCTTGACATTGAGTCACATCCCCGGCCCTGTGATCTTTTCTCTAAGTCTCACAGTCCACTCTGCACTGGTTCCAGTTAAAGTGTCACTAATAAATATTGATAAAATTAATTTAAGACAACTCAAAAGTATTAATGAGTCCCCTTTTCAAGATAGAATCAATGCTAAAAATTCTGGTATTTTCTAAGTGCCTACTATATATCTACCACAGTGCAAAATGAGCAAGAGCAAAGTTTTTAAATTTTAAAAGACCACTTCTAGGTTCTTCTGGGGAGAGAGTTCAATGGACTGAAGTGCATGCTTTGCAGAAAGGAGGCCCAGGTTTGATCACTGAGCACCATGCTGGGAGTAGTCCTAAGTACTGCAGGTAGTCCCCCAAAACAAACAAACCTTGATAATCTAAAGAAATAGAGCCGAAGAGAAAAATATCATGAGAGTTTTTATCATTAAAATATCACGCATACACTAAGATTATTTCAGAAAACTATTTCTATTTCAGAAAGCTTTTGTTTTGGCTATTTGTGCATGCATACACATAACACCTGGTTGAAAGCAAAATACATTTCTTCCTGTGTTTCATAAAAGTATAAAAGCCACACACAGCAAGATTACAAGTATGATCCAGA